AGCTTCCATTTCCTGCTAGTTGGATTATCTTAACCCCTTAAAATCCTAAGGCTTATTATTCAGTAACTACAAGGACTTCAGTGCAAACTAGCCAAGCTATTCTTAGGTTATAAAAGTGTGTGATAAAACTCTGGGCCTGCCAGCAGGCCCATGGCCGTTTCATGGGTCAATGTATGGTATGCCAGCCCTGTATGCCAACCAGCCCTGCTCTCCCCTATGCCATGAAGCATACTTAATAACTTTTTCCTTTAATATAAAATAGCTGCATAATCACACTGGGCCATTTAACCCACCTCACTAATAGCATAACACAAAATATTCTTATCAATAAAGTGCCCTGCCGCTTCTCTCTCCCTCTCTCGCTCTCTTTCTCTCTCTCTGCCACATATGCGCACATAGCATGAGCCATTTACTCCGCAAAACAAGCTGTGCCTTGTAAACACTTTGACAGATGCCGAGCTGAAAGACAAGAACGGAGGGAAAAAACAGAGAGGTGAAAAAGGAGAGAAATTCATGAGCATCGATCTCGCTCGCAGGCACGTCTTGTCTCTTCAATAGAGCAATATTGATGTGCTGGAATTGCCTCTGAAGAGCAGTGTGCTTGTGTGTTTGCGTTCTTTGTATCTATGAATACTTACAGTGCATGTGTCCACTTCAAATGTATATACAAAATGTCTTAAATAAGAACCAATCGTAATAATGATGAAGGTGAAGGAGCTTCCTTAAGTTTTCAGGGTCAACATTAATAAACAACACTCGATTCGAAGATACAGATATTGGTGCACCGTACAAGATTTCTTGCAGAATAATGATAAGGAAGGTAAGAGAGAAGACAGGGCTCAGTTGAAAGGAGTTGCAGGATGACCTGAAATGGCTGGACCAACAGTCAGACAGAGAGCAATAAGCAATGAACTCTTTCTACATCCCAATGCAACGTTCCTCTGCTAGAAGATAAGAACAGAGATGTCCATTTAAAATTTGCATACCAGCATTAAGAACAATCAGAGGTGGTTTGGAACAATGTTTTCTGGTCAGACACAACAAAAATAGGACTTTCTGGCAATAATTCAGCTTGACATGTTTGGAGAAAGAATGATTACGTGTATGATCCCAAGAACAACACACCTACAATGAAGCATGAAGGTGGTAGCATCATGCTGTGGGGCTGCTTCTCTGCAAATGGTACTGGGACATTACCACATTCATGTTGACAATGTTCTCATGGTAACACTTTCTATGAATGTCACCTTTGTAAGCATCTATAAACACATGCATATGTTATAATGCATTCATAAGGCATTATAAACATAGCTATAAATATTTATAAAAATGCATTATATGTTATAGCCATGTTTTTTATGCATTATGAATTGTTAACATAATACATTATAAGTACTGATCATAACAAATTATAAGAGCTCATAAGTGGTATTTGTCCACTCTAAGTAAAGTGAAGCGTACTGTACTAAAGCCTCCTCCAGTGTTAAGAGTGAGGCTTCAAGTTGAAGTATTTACTGAAGGATTTACTGAAAGACTAAAACATACACAGTAGAGCACATTACAGGCTTCAAATGTCAGAGTTTAAACTAGAGCTGCCATCAGTGTTTTACCCAATGTGGGAAAGTCAATGTACACCACCGTTAGCTTGGTATTTGTCTTTACTTTGCAGTCTCCAAGCTGGGACTGACTTCTTTGGCACTGACAGTATAACATGCTATCAACACTACTTATAATGCATTATATTAACAATTCATAATGTATAATAAACATGGCTATAAAGTGTAATTCAGTGTAATTCATTTTTATAAATGTTTATAATCATGTTTATAATGCTGTATGAAGGCATTATAACATGTTATAAATGTGTTTATAGATGCTTACAAAGGTGACATTCATAGAAAGTGTTACCGTCCTTATGAACAGATATTATAATGTGTTATGAAACCTGACATTATAGTTCATATAAAGTTTTACACAATTTTGGAAAGGGTTATGCATGTAACTACAACTACTTATACAAGCTTATCTCAGGCATAAAAATATGTTATGTATAATGTTTATTAATGTACTTATAATGCAGTATAAATACAGGATACAGGTCTTTCCTTTTTAAGTCAAATCTTGCTTTTGCTACTTGAGTAATAGCCATCATTCTTGGGTCAGAGATGTATTCCCTTCAAAGTAGGGGGATTGCTATGGGGGAAAATTTGCATACCAACATTAAGAACAATCAGAGGTGGATTGGAAAAATGTTTTCTGGTCAGACACAACAAAAATATAACTTTTTGGCAAGAAATTCAGCCCGTCATGTTTGGAGAAAGAAGGGTTTATGCATATGAACAACAAGAAGAACAACACACCCACAGTGAAGCATGACGGTGGTAGTATCCTGATATGGGGCTGCTTTTCTGCATATGGTACTGGGATATTACTTGTCATTTAAGGAAACATGAATAGAGTGATAATTTATCCTCATCAGCCAAGAAGATGGACGTTCCAACAAGATGATTCCAAAAATACAGGCAAAATAACTCAAGACTGTTTTCTAAAACGGAAGGTGCTTGCATGGCCTGGCCAGTCTTCTTACTTTATTCACATTGAAAATAGAAGAAGAATTTTGAAATTGCAAATTCATCAGAGGGACCCTCACCATCTTTAAGAAGTGAAGATGGTTCAACACAATGCTGCAAAAGCTAATTACTTTTATGTAGATATCTTGAAGCTATAATTGCCAAAATATCTGTGTGACAAAATACTATGTAATTCATTTGGTACATTTCCTTTTTAAAACATACATTTTTGCTTATGTATACATATTTTGGTAACACTTTCTATGAATGTCACGTTTGTAAGAATCTATAAACACATTTATAACATGTTATAATGCCTTCATACGGCATTATAAACATGATTATAAACATTTATAAAAATGAATTACACTTTATAGCCATGTTTATTATAGATTAGGAATTGTTAATATAATGCATTATAAGTAGTGTTGATAACATGTTATACTGTCAGTGCCAAAGAAGTCAGTCCCAGCTTGGAGACTGCAAAGTAAAGACAAATACCAAGCTAACGGTGGTGTACATTGACTTTCCCACATTGGGTAAAACACTGATGGCAGCTCTAGTTTAAACTCTGACATTTGAAGCCTGTAATGTGCTCTACTGTGTATGTTTTAGTCTTTCAGTAAATCCTTCAGTAAATACTTCAACTTGAAGCCTCACTCTTAACACTGGAGGAGGCTTTAGTACAGTACGCTTCACTTTACTTAGAGTGGACAAATACCACTTATGAGCTCTTATAATTTGTTATGATCAGTACTTATAATGTATTATGTTAACAATTCATAATGCATAATAAGCATGGCTATAACGTGTAATGCATTTTTGTAAATATTTATAGCTATGTTTATAATGCCTTATGAATGCATTATAACATGTTATGAATGTGTTTATAAATGCTTACAAAGGTGAAAGAAAGTGACAGTTACCCATATATTTTGTTCATAAGTAGATAATATGTTAAATTTGAAGTATAATCTATAATGCATATGATCAGTTTAGCCAAGATCAGCATCCACATCCACAGAGAACTGCGGGCTGCACTCACCTCCTCAGGATGACATGGCCCTCGAGCAGACGGATGATGCTTCTGCTGTGAGAGACAACAAGGCTTTCTGAAGGTGTGAGAACAAAGCAGCTTCAGAAGAAGCATCACACCTTGAACTTGCGCAGGGAGAGACATTGCTAATGCAGGGCTGGAAGTCACCATCAGAAATCCATCAGACATGATCGACAACAACAATTGAAGAGGAGCACAGATTATGAACAGTGTTAATAGCCAGGATCCTTTTGTTTTCCTTCCCTTGTTCCTCAATCTCTCTGTGTCCTTCCTCCAGTTTGGAGGTTAGCCTTGACACATAATCAATGTCATTAATCCTCCACAATGGAGGCAGTCAAAGAGCCAAAGATGGATTTTTTTAAAGGCATAATTCACCCAAATCATAGTATGGATAAAAATGAATGAAAGCCTTTGGAGATGAGTTAGCATGACCTTATTTAACTTAACTACACTCTCAGAGAAAAAAAGGTATGAAACTGTCACTGGGGCAGGACCCCTCCTGTCAATGGGGTGGTACCCTCAAGGGGACATTCGAGTACCTATAATAAGGGAACATAATTGTACCACAATCCATTGAAATGATATTTTCTAAGTTGTATTGACTCCACACACCCTGTTTAGTCTCCAGGCTTTTATTTTATTGTTCTATTTTAAAAGATTAGTTTATAAAAAGATATCAATATATACTTTTCATCTGGAAGAACTTATTTAAGGTACAACATTGGTCCTTAAAACCACTGTTGTACCTTTGAGGGTACATTTGCATTGTTTGTACCTTGATGAACGAAAAATGTACCAACATACAACCTTTATTTCTAATGGTGTACTAGCATTTATTCACTGTTAGTAATGATAGATGTCATAATCGGAGGGCATACAGTACAGAATTTGTATCAGAATCAGAATCAAATTTCCAGATCAGGAGCTCCAGAACTGACTGACAACATGGATGATATAGTGGTCTGAAAAGAAGAGTCATGTCATCTAATCATGTAGCCTCTTTCTGCAGACCTCCTAGTGGCCATTCCACTGGCAGAATGGAAATCAACTTGGACATTTTTAATCAATGTAATCAAATAAATATTTTCCCCATAACTCTGTCATTAGATTAACTAGGACACTGTTGTCTCTCTGTGTGTGAGATGTGTTTCTGTGTTGAGCTGCTAGTGAGCAATGAGGGGTGGAAGGGAGGGCTGCGAAACCCCTGCTGTGAAAAAAAAAAACAATTCAGACCTCTTAACAAAGATGGCCAAGATAAAACAGACAACTGCAGCTTTCTTCATCTCAAACAAATCATGTACAATTGCCACAATAAAAAAAAAGCATTTAAACATTTAACAATCTGGGGTCAACATACATGCTGGCGCATCGAATAAGATGTATCTCAGTGTTTTTATTAATATATTGGCAATAATACAGTACAGAAATACAGTTCAAACAGTGAATCAGTAGAGTCGCCCTTTCAATTCCATCTTATCATGAGATCATATGTGACTCACATCCAGGGTTATGAGTCAGTGAAGACAAGTTGAAATACATGCCATCTGCCTCTCACTGTGTGTAACTGGTAGATTTGTGTGTCCGTCATCTGCCTCTTGCCTGTAATTGGTGGATTTGTGTGTCTGTCTATATTTTGTGTGAAATTGACCAATGGACACTCAAGAAATAAAGACTTACACATAACATTGAAATCACTTCATTTTTCATTCAGTTGCCTTGTAAAAAGATGTGAAACATGTGCGTAAAGTTTTAGAAAATAGCAATGAGGAAAACATTTATTCACTATTTTATTCATACATTCCACTACTTTTGTGAACCAAAGATTTTGGTAAACCGATTGAACTGTTTTTGCACCAAAACTATTCATCCACATGAGTAAAACTATGTTTTCACAAGTGATATTAAGAACTTCTTAAACCATGTTTTCAGGTTTTGGGCACAAGCATCACTTTACACAGTATTCCAGGTCAAAAGGGCCTCATGAGTGAGCTGAGATTGTTCTGAAAATTGTGGACTGTCATATGTGGATATTATGTCATAAGCAAGTGCCTTTAAAGGTGGATTTAAGAATATATGCAAAAATCAAGAAAATGCCCTTTACACTGTGTATAAATTTCATGAAGAACGGACCAAAAGAAATGGCCCAAAATGACATAAAAAAGTCTGGTTCCATTGACTTACATTAAAAGTAAAGAAGGTTTTTCCTTTTCCTGTAAAGTTACCATTTTGGAGATACGAGGTTTTCTTTCGACAACAGCGATATGTATATATGATAATAACTATATTAGGGGTGGGCCAATATGGGAACTTTGGGCCAATGTTGATATCTGACATTTTTTGTGTACATTCCAGCCAAAATGGCCATTGAATACATATGATTCAGTTCTGGTAGATATTTCTGAAGAGAATAGATATAAGATAATCGACCTGTCTTTAAATAAATAAAGATCATTGATTTTGCATAATATTGTATATGCCAGTGTCGATGCTGACACATAAAAACTTAAAGCAGTAAAATGAATAAAATGCAAAGATTTTAGTACAGTAGCCCAGCATCACCTCAATATTCTGCTCTTTCAGACTGCAGTAAATGTGTCATCAAATTTCAGTGCCTAGTCATCATCTGCCAATATGATATTGTACATATATTTACTGTACATTTTGCCATCAATGCAGCCTGTGCATCACTGATTGCAATAACTTTATCATTACATAATGACAGATGCAAGACCCTTATTTCCTCAGTAATGTTTTTTACCAGTAACGCATCAAAGCTTTTCTTTTAACAGGACAATTCAATTATATACATTCATATTCCTTTTAGGTGGGGCCATTTGCCCCTCAGTATTTAATGTATATATTTTCCTCATTCTACATGTACTTGTTTGTTGGAACATTTGACCACGTAGTCATTAGCCCAGTCTACAATCTTTGTTAAGGCGTCCAGCATCAGGCAGTTGATGTCCTCATTGATACCGGTCTCGTCATGATAGTTCGCCACAGGAAAGATGCAGTTTATTGGGACGCCCAGTATGTTACTGCATTCATGTATCTGGATGCACAAAGACAGACACACATACACATTCATTACCTTCTTCTCATTCATTTGTATTACAGTACCATGGTATAGAATCTCTCCATAAATGCACATGTAAGCTAAAAATGAACTCACTTTATTCCTCATCTTCTTGCTTTTGTAGACATCACGCAAATTGGCCTTTGTCATTGGGCATGCACGATCCACTCTGGTCAGGAAAACCACCTGAGGCATACCTGTACCATAGACAGTCCAGATACATGTTATTTCATCAACCTCTTATCCAATGTAGAGCCAAATAGTTCTCAGGGCTGTACTGTGCTGTTCCACTCTGGGTCGTGCTTGTGAAGGTGGTTACGGTTTCTTTTTCCATCTGCTGTGCTGCTAAATCAGAACCCAGAAATACTGAAGAAAACTACACAAGAGATTGGCTAACTGCTAACAGGCTAATAGCTGATTTTGATTCTGTCTGTCATTACATCAGTCTCTTCTTTATCCTCTAAACAGGTGTTATTTGAACATCAGTTACTGAAACCAAGGCTGTACTGTGGTACAGGTTGCACCTATAGCTGGCTAACTATTCTAGCATTAGCATAGCCCTGCAGGGTACAGCTCAAATCATCATAGAACAGGTCTATTTTTTATCTTTCTCTCACTTCAACACGAGACATTCAAATCTGTAATCTCAGATACGAGTCTTTATCCTCTGAATGGGTGTTTTTAAGATCAGTTTGCTCGAATTGAGCCTCTAAGTTACTGCAGTGGGAGGTACTGTATGCTCACATTAGCTTAGCTTAGCAGGCTACAGTTTGAAACACTATAAAACAGGTTCGATTTCAGCTTCCAGTCACTCCAACACAATCAGTTGACTTTGCTCCCACGGTTATAAGTTTTTCATCATCTATATTAGTGAGAGCAGAGCACCAGTTAGTCAAATCAAATCTGTATTGGGTGTTTGAATCTCTTTAGCTAAGATAAGCTAGCTACCCTAGACTAGCACACATTTCATGCCACAGAACTGTATTAATTTTGGGTTTCTGTCCCTCTAACACCAGCCACTCGACTTCGCTTCCTCAGATTGAGTCATTATGATCTAAACTTGTGTCAGTAAAGCTTTTGGTTTATCAGATTCAAACATGTTTTGTGGTGAGCAGGGCTGGTAGCATGCTAGCTAAGCTAACCAGCTACTCTCCCAGCCCTGTTTAACATTTAGAAACTGGTGTTGAATCGAAGCTTCAACATTTACTAAATGGTGGATTTAGAATTTTGCGCTGCTTTCATTTATTTGGCATTTGTCCGACAGAATTGAACTTATTTGTTTTCAGGTTTGAAATAACACAGCAGGATGTGGTGGCACAATACAGATATAAACAGAGAACCAATGAGCTAATAGCTATGTCATTACGTAATCGCACTGGACAGTTCAGTGGGCCTCTGTCAAACTGTGTCCGTGTGGATTATAATAATAATAACTTAATAACTTAATAATAATAATTGTTATAATAATAATAATAATAATAATAATAATAATAACTAATAGCCAATTTGCACAATAATGAATGGTGCTTTTGTAATGTTTTCTACCTTGACTTAGTGGGTAACAGCTTGGAGCTGTTTTGATGGGGGACCAAGGGGGTGGTCATGTTTTGGCTGTGTATGGTGGTCATGTTTTGGCTGTGTATGGTGGTCCTGTTTTGGCTGTGCATGGTGGTCATGTTTTGGGTGTGTATGGTGGTCATGTTTTGGCTGTGTATGGTGGTCATGTTTTGGCTGTGCATGGTGGTCATGTTTTGGGTGTGTATGGTGGTCATGTTTTGGCTGTGTATGGTGGTCATGTTTTGGCTGTGCATGGTGGTCATGTTTTGGGTGTGTATGGTGGTCATGTTTTGGCTGTGTATGGTGGTCCTGTTTTGGCTGTGCATGGTGGTCATGTTTTGGCTGTGTATGGTGGTCCTGTTTTGGCTGTGCATGGTGGTCATGTTTTGGGTGTGCATGGTGGTCATGTTTTGGCTGTGTATGGTGGTCATGTTTTGGCTGTGCATGGTGGTCATGTTTTGGGTGTGTATGGTGGTCATGTTTTGGGTGTGTATGGTGGTCCTGTTTTGGGTGTGTATGGTGGTCCTGTTTTGGCTGTGTATGGTGGTCCTGTTTTGGCTGTGCATGGTGGTCCTGTTTTGGCTGTGTATGGTGGTCCTGTTTTGGCTGTGCATGGTGGTCATGTTTTGGGTGTGTATGGTGGTCCTGTTTTGGCTGTGCATGGTGGTCATGTTTTGGCTGTGTATGGTGGTCATGTTTTGGCTGTGTATGGTGGTCCTGTTTTGGCTGTGCATGGTGGTCATGTTTTGGCTGTGTATGGTGGTCATGTTTTGGCTGTGTATGGTGGTCCTGTTTTGGCTGTGCATGGTGGTCCTGTGTATGGTGGTCCTGTTTTGGCTGTGTATGGTGGTCCTGTTTTGGCTGTGCATGGTGGTCATATTTTGGGTGTGTATGGTGGTCCTGTTTTGGCTGTGTATGGTGGTCATGTTTTGGCTGTGTATGGTGGTCATGTTTTGGCTGTGTATGGTGGTCCTGTTTTGGCTGTGTATGGTGGTCATGTTTTGGCTGTGTATGGTGGTCCTGTTTTGGCTGTGCATGGTGGGTATGTTTTGGGTGTGTATGGTGGTCATGTTTTGGCTGTGTATGGTGGTCCTGTTTTGGCTGTGTATGGTGGTCATGTTTTGGGTGTGTATGGTGGTCCTGTTTTGGCTGTGTATGGGGTATGTATGTGTGAACAGGCACTTACGCAATGTTTAAGCACTTAACAATCAAGCCATTTAATGTGTTTGCTTTAACCTTTCAGAAAATATATATACTCTACTGACACAGACAAACAAAATTAATGATACTTTCTAATGAGCTGACTCACCCATTCTGCTTGCTGCTTGTCTGACAACCTTCATCTTCCCAATAAAGTCACCTTTAATCAGTGCCAGCTTGTCTGCTGGTATAACATTCACCAGGCAGTGCGTCATGTCACTCAGGGAGGGATTGGTCAGGTAATATGTGCTGTCTTTAGACAGTGGGTGTGTTGAAAAGAACTAAAGGGAAAAATCGAAGAGCAGAATGAGACGTCTCTGTGGTCACTGGCTTGAAGATTTGTTTTTTAAACCGTTTCCCCAACTTTGTTACCCCAGCCAACTCCAAGAAAGTGAATTTTTACCCCTCTAAATACAACTTTTGATCTTACCTGGTAGTCTTCTTTTACATGTCCTTTCAGAGCACTAATGATGTCATCAGTGAGGACCCCTTCACACTTCTCCTTTTCTACTCCCATGATGTCATTGAAGGCAAAAGGAAAGAATTTACCTTGCGCCATTGAGTATTTTTCATACTGAGATGCATTTGTGTTCATGAATTGCGATGTACATGACATACACTGGCAAGAACTGAAGTTCAACACCTTGTGTTTATATTTGTCAATCTGTATAATTCAAAAGATTTCAGCGGTTGTGCTGGTTGGTTCTTGGAAGATAACTTTTTAAACACAAAAATTGTTGTAGTTTTAGGATTACATTAATGTGAAGTTTGACTTTTAGTCATATTAACTTTGGAAGTTCTATTCAATATCTGAGTAAATCAACTAATTTACAGCACTGTGCAAAAGGTTCCACTCAAGCCATTAAGTACAACTTACTCATTTGTTAGTATGAGGTAAAAAGCAAGAAAACATTTCACAGAAAATTACACAGAAGCCTCAACAACTAAAAATAATCGATTTTTTACATTTTTACTTATTTTAAAAATGTATATTTTATTTGTCCACCCTTGATTACAGATTCTTCCATTCTTTTTGGGACATGTGCCTAACCATAATTGTAACTGCAAACCTAAACCTACACTTACCCTTAAAAGTAACCTTCACTTTAACCATAAAGCTACATCCTCTCCTAACCATAACCATAACTTCAACCTTAAACCTACACCTACCCCTAAACCCCACCGGAACCATAACTTCAACGCTAAATCAACAACTACTCCTAACCCTAACATCAACCCTAAACATACACCTGCTTCAAACTTTAACTTCAACACAGAACCTACACCTACTCCTAAACCTAACCCTCACTATAATGTTGTTGATAATCAAGTATCACCAAAATATTAATTTAAGGTTTTATCATATTTTGTCTTAAATCTGTCTTGTAGTTCAGTCCATTAAATCTTATTCCACATCTCAGATGACAAGTTCTGGTATTTTAATGCAATGCACTTCTTTTTTGAAATACAGACTCTGAGACTTTTTTTTTTCTTCTTCTGTGCATAAATTAATTTTGAACAAAAAGATCAGCTAAAACCTTACAAGCCCACAAATGAGTGTCTCATCTTATACTGTAACGAACCTCTAATACTGCACTGTGTACTCACATATATGGTGTGACTCTTAGAAGACTCTGCTGCAGCCAGACAGTTGATGAACTGACGTCTTTCAAAAATGCTTTTGATGGTGTTTATGACGCTGGATTTCCCAGCTCCAACTGGTCCATATAGAAGGAAGCGGAGCTCACTGACTTTGTCATCGCCAATTTTAAAGGTCCTCAGGTTCTCAATCATTGGCATTTGCCTGAGGGAAAAAGTGGAAATCAGGCATAATTAATCAAACCCCTACAGTCTGCTGTACCCAATTCTTAATCTAAACACGATCTCCAGCTAGCATGAAATTTGGAGGTGGTTTAGCCAAGAATAACACATTACATGATTAGGAACACCTGTACACATGTTCAGGCAAGCAATTGTCCAATCAGCCAATCATGTGAAAGCAATGTCATGCAAGATCTCAAGTTAATGTTCACATCAAACATCAGAATGTCTTTGACCCTGGTATGATTGTTGGTGCCAGGCAGGGTGGTTAGAGTATTTCAGAAACTGCCAATCTCCTGAGATTTTTGTGCACAGTAATCTCTAAAATTCATACAAAGTGCTAGAAAAAAGTTATTGGCAGCTCTGTGGGTGGAAATGTCTTGTTGACCACCTTTTTACAACACTTGTGATCATAGAAGCATCACAGAATGCACACTGAACAAGCCAATCCTTGAGGTGGATGGGCTACAACAGCAGAAGACCACATTGGTGGAACAGGATCTGGGGCTACAGTGGGCACGAGTTCACCAAAATCAGACATTGTATAATTGGAAAAATGTTGCCTGGTCTGATCAATCTCAATTTCTGCTGTGACCTGCAGATAATAGGGTCTGAATCTGTAGTAAAAAGCATGAATGAATGGACCCAACCTGCCTGTGTCAAAAGTCTAAGCAAGTGGTGGTGTGTAATGATGTGGGGAAGGTTTTCTTTGCACGCCTAATACCAATTGATGCAATCACCTGAATGCCACATCTGAGCTTTGTTCCTGACCATGTGCATCCTTTGGTGGCCATGTTTTACCAATATTCTAATGGCAGGATGATGTATCTTGACACAAGTAATCTGAAACTGGTTCCAGGAACAGGATAATGAGTTCAATGTATCAGTGACCTCTTCAGTGACCAGATCTGATTTCAATAGAGCACCTTTGGAATGTGGTATCTGCAGCTGTAAGTGATGCAATCAGTCAACAGAATCTCTAAAGAATGCTTCCAGCACATTGTTGAATCAATATCATGAAGAACCCAGGCTGTTCTGAGAGTAAAGGGGGTCTTGCCCTGTATTAGAATGGGGTTCCAAATAAAGCTGCAAGTTCCAATCTGTGCCATCAGTGCCCTCTGGTGCTATTAGTCCAGGGAACTCCAGTTCACAGAAAACTACAGACTTATTAGTGCCAACAAGGCACACCTGTGGATCTCTGCATTTAAGGATGAGCCCAGACTCTCACCTTGGTAGAGGGGTGACTGGTTGAGTACTCAAAGGGTCTTTCTCTGAATGAAAAGAAAAGATTTAAAAAGGGCTAAAAAGAGAAACAGCCCCAAAACTACATGAAATGAAATGAAATGAAAAATGCTCCAAATCAAAAGAAAACCAAAAAATAAATAAAAAAATAAATAAAAATTCCTCATAATACATTTTTCCCATATTTTTCATTTTATTTTTGAGAAGATCTGCCTTTGTATGAGCACACTATTTAGGCAGCTTTTTTCCTGTCTTTACCCACTGTTTTTACGTCTTAGAGGTGCAATTCCACCTACCGCCTGCACCTCCCAGTGGCTCAGTGGTAACATACTGGGAGTGATCTCCATGCAAACATGCACAACCATTACATTCAAACTCATCCACACCCATCAATGTCATTTACATCACTTATATTCTAATAATCTATACACAATAACAACAATGATAATAATATACAACCAATCATATAATCTTAGTTCACTGAAACCCTTTCCCATGAGTTTTTGTAAATGCCAGCCTATCATTTAGTTACAGAAATAATTAAATATATTGGGACAAAATGCTAGCATTTTTGATCTTATCACATGAATGACGGTAAACTTACTTCCATTCGACAGTCCTCCATTCATTGAGCTCTGCAAGAAATGCATGAGTTATTGTAGAAGCAAGTAAAACACGGTGTACGGTGAAATTGCCTGAGATGAGTTTCCACTAATTTTTCAATGGCTATATTTAGCAACATTTAAAAAATAGGTAATGTAGAATTTGTTTTAGGCTGGCATCTTCTGCACCATAGAATTTGCATTGTCATTTCTGTGGTGACCACAGAAATAGTGGATAACAGTTCTGTAAAGTAGTACACATATATAAAACCTGAAATCAGCCTGATTTAATGGAATGGACCCCAAAAAGTCTTTCAGGATATTTAAGAACGTGTTGGCTTTTGTGAATTCACTAATCAGATTGACTGATGTGCAGGATTCATACATACCAACAGTGACCATGGCAGAGCAGGAGGCACTACCAGCCTTATTACGCAGGTTTAATTTGTAGTTCCCTTCATCTCCTTCTTGAGCATTTGCAATTTCCAAGGTACACCTTTTGACATCTTGTGTTATTTTATGCTTGCCCTCCACGCATTCCAGTCTTTGGTTGTTCTTCTCCCACATTGTGATTAATGCTTCTGTGTTTGCCTCACACTCAAGTCTAACAGTTTGTCCACTTTTTACTTGTTTTTCAGCCAAAACAGTGACAAATTCTATGGAAAACAAGAGATTATTAGAAAAACACATTCAACAGAGAATGCAATCATAAAGTTTCAGATAAGACTGGAAGCTTTGCTACCTCTATTTCTACATGTAGACAAAATAAACATGTCCTCTTTGTGGCAGGTTCAACTTTTTCAACTTTTTGCTGCAAAGGGGAAACATTTATTTTGTCTACATGTAGTAATGGAGGTAACCAAGTTTCCAACAATACAAATTGTTGCAAATGTTTTGCAAAAATGCAGCTACAGGTAAACAACAGAAAAATATCCAACAGCAATTGAGCAACAAATCAATCTGGTATTAAATGTACCAACACTTGACAAAACCTACTTGAGTTTTTGTAATGCAAAATATAGCCACTTCACATTTACAAAAATAATGCTTTTTAACTTTATAAATATGAACTATGTATTCATAAGCATGAACAAAGACATATTTAACAAAGAAATTGAAATGGAAAAAAATATTCACGAAACACAAATGAACAATATTAGTTCAGTTAAAGTTTTGGCTTAAATGACCAGAGCCCAAAGTTTTATTACACACGTCTATAACCTAAGAATAGCCCAGCCAACTTGCATTGGAACCCTGTAGTTAATGAATAATAAGCTTGCTTATTATTAGCTTTTAGTGTATGTAATAAGCCTAGAGTTAAATTAATTGGCTAATCAACTGAGTGAGTGTATGTACAATTTCTTGATGACTCGCATGTGTGACCAAACATGTTTAAAGACATAATGGAAAAGATACTTCAGTCCACGTCAGCTTTTTGCTGAGGATGTTTGCAAACTAGTTCAGATGTTCGTTTTTGTGGGATGGTGTTCTCCTGTGAATCGTTAAGGGCACGCTACATGTAAATGAGGGAAAAGGGTTGTTGGAGCATGTGTCACACAAATGGTAAAACAGGGCTTCATGAACAGTAAAGTGTGTTATTGTGTAAAGCAAAGACAAATATCAAGCTAACGGTGGTGTACATTGACTGTCCCACATTGGGTAAAACACTGATGGCAGCACTAGTTTAAACTCTGTCATTCGAAGCCTGTAATGTGCTTTATTATGTATGTTTTACTGTTTCAGTAAATTCCTTAGTAAATACTTCAACTTGAAGCCTCACTCTTAACACTAGAGGAGGCTTTAGTACAGTACGCTTCACTTTACTTAGAGCGGACAAATACGACTTATGAGCTCTTATAAATTGTTATGATCAGTACTTATAATGTATTATGTTAACAATTCATAATGCATAATGTCTATAATGTATAATGCATTTTCATAAATATTTATAGCTATGTTTATAGTGTCTTATGAATGCATTATAACATGTTATGAATGCATTTATAGATTCTTACAAAGGTGACATTCATAGAAAGTGTTACGAAAAAAACTTTAACAAACTGCAAGTATTAAGATTAAAACTTACCAGGTTTGATCTGAGATAATCCCATGTTTGAATCTCTGGAACTGAAGATAAAAGAAACTTTTAGAAATTGTTATTACTTTTATACAGTGGATTTACTAGAACTGTGTAAATAGGGTGGGCATTGAGTGGCCAAGGCAATTTTTATGTGAAAGAAATGCTAACACTGATATTGGATGAAACAAAAACTAAACAGAAGCATATTTTTAAACACACAGTATAGAGATTAAGTAGTGAAATCACCAGAGGACATTACTTTGACTATAACACTTTGTAAAAAAATATATTATAAATATACACTAGTGCACACAATGCAAAATTGAGCTAGTGTTAGCTTCCCAGCTTCCTATTCAAAATTTCCATTCCATCCTAAGTAGTGCAGCATTTACATGAAAAGACATTTGTTTTTTTTTTTTCTACCCAATCACTGAAACATACATAATGTAACATAGTGTTGTGCAACAAAAGACAACTTAAGGCTCAGCGTGTTAGTGGAACATTTTTTTTAAGAGATATGAGATTTTCTAAGTTTCTAGTGCTTAGATAGCAGTGATGGTTGTCGCTATGTGTTAAATTAATAATTGCAAAGACAATTTGGTATGGAAGGAAATAGAAAATGTAACAATTTAAGTTTGAAAATTTGTAACAAACAAGGTAAATCAAACTTTGTATTTCAAGAAGCAAGAACAATGCGGTTTCCTTATGGGCCATTTAAGGTCTTTTAAGGCCTATAAGGTAATGCAGAGGAAACAAATGGACCAGGGTCATATTAAAACCTGAAATAATGATGACAATGATGATTTCCAGAGCAAGTCAACACAAAAAACAGCAGTTTCTGATCATGTATTGAAACCCTTTCTTGTTTTTGTGCACTGGTTAATATTAAAAAACTGCTGGAACTTCCTCTGTGTGATTGCGCATACTTATATGAGTGTGTGTTAATGATGATAACGGCTGTTAAGAGCATGTCCTCATATAGAAACCTTTCTTAAAAGTTAAAACCGAAAGTGTGGCAGGTTTAGCAAATGAGAACACTTTCTCATTGTTGTTACATTAATTGCTTGATACAGCATATCAGCCTTGCTCTGTTCTCGAATCCTCTGGGGACACTGCAGGTCAAATCTGCAATTTATTTCATATTAAATTATAGATGGTGAATGTACAGTAGATTTATGCAGAACTAGTGCAACTGTAAATGTCTAGGAGCAACAACAGCTCAGCCACAAAGTGGTAGACCACAGAAACTCACAGGGCAGGGCCATCAATATAGAGTTCCAAATTTCCCCTGGAAGCAAGATCAGCTGAAGAACTGTGCATTGGGAGCTTTATGAAATATGTCTCCATGGCCGAGCAGCTGTGCACAAGCCTGAGATCACTGCGCAGTGCCAAGCGTCAGCTGGATTGGTGTAAAGTACGTCCCCATTAAGCTCTAAAGCAGTGGAAATATGTTCTGTGGAGTGATGCATCACACTTCACTATCTGGCAGTCTGATTATGAACCTGGATTAGGCAGATGCCAGGAGAACAGTCCCTACCAGAATTCGTAGTACCAATAGTAAAGTATAGCGGAAGAGGGAAAATTGTCTGGAGCTGTTTTTCCGGGTAATGTGAAGACATTTTAGACAATCATATGCTTCCAACAACAGTGCCTGGGATCATAAATGCTTTTTTGATTGAATGGGCATAAATTCCCATAGATACACTCCAAAATCAAGTGGAAGGCCTTCCCAAAAGAGTGAAGGCTGTTATAACTGCAAAGAGGGGCCAACTCCATATTAGTGTCCATGATTTTGGAATGGGATGTCTAGTAAGCTCATAGAGGTGTGATGGTCAGGTGTCCACATGCTTTTGGCCAAATAGTGTAGTTTAGCCATTATATTTGTTGTTCAATTAGAGTGATAAGCCATGAGAGGCCATGCATTACAGTGATTTTACAGCTAAGCGGTAATTCACAGGTAAGTGTGTTATTAGGCACAAGGCTATTTTTCTCGCATCTGACCACAGAATCCAGTTCCAGTAACATCATGCAAACTCCAGGTGTATACATTAGTGCTTAGATGAAAGAAGAGGCACGCTTCCGGCATATCTTAAAAATAGTTTATTGGTATGTCTAATTGTTATTTTGGAAACTTGGTGATCCTAAAATGCTACCATCTTCTACAAATCTCCAACTGTGATCCTTGTAGAAATGCTTGCCTCTTTAGCCATCCTCCTTACTGTATGTGTTCAATACAGCTCCCCTGTTGTTTAAAACCTCTTAATGTTGTCATGTTTTGCTATTGATTGTAGCTGATTTAAAAAATAAATAAATAAATAAAAAAAAAAGTGAAATAACATAAATGAGAACATGTTTCAGTTACTAGGGGTTTATAGGGGTGCATTTTGTTTTTGAGGCTTTTTTAAGCTAAATTTACATCATAAATAAGCATTAACATAATGTATTGCATCACTACTTTATGTTTAAAAATGACAAGACTTCTAGAATTACGTCTTAACCATCAAGACAGAGACTTTTTCATGACCTTTGGAACTTTTACCAAGGTGCCAGTAGTTATCAAGTGAGCTTCTGAGTGTAGCATGTGGATAACACAAACTGTGCATGGCAAAATATGAACTACAGTCTCTAAACCTTCAAAACATTCAAAAACAAGAAGTGACCCAAGCAGGAAGCAATGACACTTACGGTTCTAGTTCTAGATCATTTTCCACTTGCTTGAAATATAGCTGGAACCTTGGTAAAAACCAAGTTTAATGACTTAATTGCCATTTTAGTCATTTAATGCCAGTCTAACATATCTAATCTGGCAAATTTTCTAACTGCTGACATGAAACAATGTTCTGCATTGTTCTTTCATAGAAATATGTACATAGTTACACTGACTTGTTGTAAAGCTTATGTTTTGTGAAAATATAAGCAGGTTTGAGAGCTAATACTGTTAGCATTAGCTTCCCAACTAGTTTAGTGAGCTCTTTACAAAGTAAGAATTCTAAAAACAGCAGGTGACATCAACATATCATTCTAGCTTTAAGTTCTGGTGCTCTTTGAGTGATGTAATACTGCTTGGTGCCACACCTGGAAGAGTCAATAATTCACTGACTTGGCTTCAGCTGCAAGTGTTACCAAAGAGAAGAGAGAACGCCCTTCGAGTACCAACAGGCCCTGATGGTAGAGGTTCTGAACAAATACCAAAATCTAAAAAGGATGGAACCTTCAGTACTGGATTGATGGCCAGTGAAAAAAAGCTACAGTTCCAGTTTTATGGTGCTAAAGTTCCTGTTACTTTACTACTGTACACCAGCACAGCATGCTAAGGGATTTGGTGCCAGCATGTGTACACTAGACTTGGACTTTGGCTCTGATCCTTATCTCCCTCTATTTATGAAACAGTTCTTTGTGAATAAACACAGTAGCAGTGGACCCACATAAAGCATGTAAATAAGCGCAAAATGAACAGTTAACATAAAAAGGAAATCTGAATTCTGAACCTACTTAAACTAACATGAAGTGTTTTGTGTTTTTAAGCTTTTTTAGTAAGTACCCAAAACATTACAGGGAACAAATGCTGTAACCAGTCCTTTGCGTGTGAATGTGTTCAGTTATGGCATAAGTGCTTGTTTACAACATACTGTGTTTGTAAAGACATCATTTCAAATACAGTTGTTTACTTGTTTACTTACTTATATTCTTGTTGTGTAAGCTTACCATTCGAAATTCTATGAACTAAAAAATTAAACTTTTTAAAGTTTTTGAAGAACTTATTTTATACAGTAAGTTTTTTTATATGTAATGTTGCTGATGGCTGATAATAGTTGTAAATCTGAAAACGGTGTTCTTGGGGAACTACTTTACATCCCTTGTGTAACCTTCCACCATTAAAGGGTTTTAAAAAATATATCTAAGGCTAAAATCAGAATAAAACAATGTCTCGGATATCAGGTAATGTTTTTGGAACCATTTCATGTTTGGAACTTTCTGGGAAGGAACACAGTACGTTTCCCAAGAACAAAGCATTTGATACCAAACAGCTCTGAATGACCTTCTATATGTTGACTTCATTTTGAAATATCAGTGGACTTCCTCTTTAATCTGCACTGAAGAAAGTGTTTTGCATAAATCCATGCATAAAATATTTGAACTTAAAGTTAATTCCCAGCAGCTTGACTTACCTGTATGAGATGTGTGAAGTGTTGGACTCTGTCTGCTGTTCTGCGTCCGCTGCTTTCTCTGTCTGTATATATACACGATCTACTTTCACTTTCAGTTGTAGGCAGTGCGTGTGAGGAGGGCTTGTGAAGGTAAAGAAAACCCTGGTTACTGACTGTATGCAAAACGTTTAAGCCTGTGTATCTGTTGGTTTGTTAATATTGTGAATTTAGTATTGAAGCTAATTCCTTACAGTTTTTTCCTGTGTTAAAATGGTTATGATTTTCCATGCATGTGGGTTTTGTCCAGGTCAACTAACGACAATAGACTCCCAGATATACACCAGAAGACACTGTCCTGTGTTAATATGCTACTATGTATAAAGAAGGTGAACAAACTCAACAATATAATTTGCACAACACTTCATTTCATTTTCTAAGAATGGGCTTCTTAACATTGACACATCCTTTTAGTCTCATAGCACTGAGTTGTCTTATTACAGTGGAAGGATGGACAGAAACTCATGTGGACGTTTTGGTGTCTACCAGGTCTTCCAGGTGGTTGTTAGGAGTCCAGCTGTCTCTGTAGCTTTTGATCATTTTTTGAACTCCTGTGTTTTCACTCATCGTTCTTTCACTTTCTGCTTCCTCATACAAATCAAATAATGGCACTAAACAGTCATTGGACTGGAAATGCAGTGTTTTGGCCCAGAGGGACTGAAGCTTGACACATGTGCATTAAACACACGTGCTTGACAGGTGTGCATTAAAATGTAAATACTACATAAATGTTAAAATGAAAGCGTATAAAGTGTATAAACAGATCCTTCCCTGCCAACTTTGGAAGTCTACCAGTCATCCAAACATCTAAACATATCCAAAATACACAGACAGAAAAGTGGTAGTGTGCAACTGAGAGCCACTGTAGACATGCATTAATAAACATAATGCAGTACATTTCATCAAAAGCTACTAACAATAGGCCAGTCAGTAAAAATAAATAAATAAATAAATAAGACTTGAGGATTTGGGGGATTTGGAGACCTCTCTGGTGGAAATGTATAACTGCACACAAAGTGTGGAAAAACATTTTGTAATGTTCGTAAATTGAATCATCTATTAGTGTCATCATATCTTCATTTCTATAATGCTGTTGCATTTGAAACCAAAAAATCGAGCCGCACTTCCTTTTTGAGGCTGTGCATGTGACACATAATGATGTGTGACGTAGTCCGAAAAACTCCTGGAACACCTGACACCTCTTCATTTTCAATTAGCATTTCAGGCTTTAGAAGGTGACTCACAGTAGCGCTCTCACACACACACACACACACACACACACACACACACACACACACTATTTATATCCTTGTTTATATCCTCCTGACTTAGTTATGCTACTTCTTTTAGTTGTACTAAAAACAACAACATTGTGTAGCTTTAAACATTACCAATACACAAGCTGGCCACTTTATTAGAAACACCTCCCTTGTAGCTCCATCTTGTGGGTGTACAGTTAGACACTGTAGCCCACAGGTTTTCAAGTAATTATGAACTAAATGCACAGTCTGCATGCAAACCTCCACCATCAGGCAGTTCAGCTTCTCGTTCTGCTTGGTCTCTTCATGATAGTTCTTCAGTGGAAAAATGCAGTTCATAGGGACACCCAGTCTAGTAATGCACTCATAATTGAGTACCAGTTATAACATTCCATGTTCTTCCTGGAACAGACTCACTTTCTCTTCTTGCTTTGGTAGATTTCAGTCAAACTGTCATGTGTCAGAATGCACACCTTGCCCACTCTGTCCACTCTTGTCATAGAAGGCAGCTGAGGGATTCCTGCAGCACAGACAGCAGAGATGCATGGAGATGCATCTCTTGATAAACATGAGAATTTTTCTTTTGACGATGGCATTTGGTTCAGCATCAGAGGCAGCCAAGCAGCCCCACATCATGAAGCTCACTTCACCATACTTCTGAGATGATGTTTTCATGATATTCAGTTCCTTTTTTTAACGCCATACGTGGTCTTTCTGAGTAATTTAAGCTTAGTTAGATCAGAAAATAACACATTTTCCCAGTCATGCTTTGAATAGTCAAGGTTGGGAAGTTATGTACATCAGCTTTTGAATGTATATACATACATACATACATACATCATGTAAACCGCTTATCCTTCTGGGTCACGGTGGTGTGCTGGAGCCTATCCCAGCTGTCATTGGACGGCATGTATGTATGCTTTTGAATGTAAATTTCTAAATATAAAAATACTAAAAGTGAGTTACATGAGAATCAAAATCAGAATCACATTTGAACTCCACCCACAATTTTTGTGAGAAACACAGAATTACAACCCAAAAGTGACCATGATTGCCAGCTTCAAGCATATCTCTCGACTGTATGATTGCAATTCTTGAAGATGTGCAATTACACTGTCAAAAAGTTGCTCATAAGCAAATTGTGCTAGTTAATCCAGAAGAAGGTATCACAAAGATTGAGGGTGAAGTTCAAATCTGCCTTTTAACCTTCATGGTTACAAACAGTAACACATCTACAATGCAGACTTTATGAGTTACAGATTTCATGGCACACGATTGTGGTAGCAGTGCAACAATACTGCCAACAGTTTGCACATAACTGAACAACTGAAACACAAACTTGTACTTGTTGATCTGAATAAATCAAAAGTACAAAATGTAGGGAAATACAAATTTGCATATGTGAAATTGGATCTAAATTAACTAAGACACCAAAATTACTAACATTACTTTAACTCCACACAAGGTTTAGTTCAACTGTAGATTACTACCCTAAGACCGCATTTTGTGTGCAAAGGGTAGGTCATTTCTAGCCTTTATAACTTCAGAACAGGTTTAAGATACAAACATGGACCACATATCAGAACATTCAGCAGACCCGCCCCTAACTAGCAAGCATGACGTCTTTGAGCTGAGACGTCAGCATCAGTGAGTTATTCGGCTCGGAAAATCACCTAAAATCCTGATATTATTACTCTGCTGTTTGGCCTTCATATTCCAACAAAGGGTTAAAACAGTGACATGATTCACACTTCAGGTCACTCATCAGACTCTGCTTCACCATCCAGAGTGATTTCATCCACCTGTGACCATCGATCAGCCAGCAGTCCAGCTCCAAAATCACCCAAACCCCACTCGCTACTGTTATACTGCATCTCTGCTTTTAGCCTTCATATTATAAACAAAGGGCTTTCAGTTTACATTGATTTTGAGTATTAAACATATCTGATATTAAATATGTAACTCAATTTATAATTAAAAATAAAGCCTGTCTTGCTGTGTATCAGAGTTTTAGCACTGAGCCTGAATCCAAGAGGACAGAAAATCAATAAAAAAACATGTCCATATTATGCTAATTGTTTATTTTTATTAAATAATAACCAATAGAATAAATCACAAAATTATTGCACTTTCCAGACTAACAATTTCTGAAAAGATAACTACTATTCTACTTGTTTTCAAGATCTCTATAATTAAAAAAATACACAATTTTGCAAGTGTTAGGTACATTTTTGATCAGAAATTCATAAAGATATCAAATTTCTGTTAGCATTTACATGTCAAACAGTGGCATATCTGAGTAGCCCAGGGTCTCCTGAAAATAACAACATATGGCATGTGTGACTGTCACATGTAAATACTTTATAATTGCAATTGTAATTGTAATTGACCCAAAAAATTGTTTACTAAACTGTTTGAGATTATGAGCTTTATGCAAATCAACAATAACTGATTGTAGGTCTTCTGATATCTTTTGCTTCACGTCAGAAGATGCTTCTTGTACACTTGGTTTAAGTCAAATTAGCTCTAACCCACACCTCCAATCACATTTCATTCACTGGACTGTTTGCTAACTCCTAACTCCTATTAGCTTTTGTTGAAGTCATTGGCATAGGGGTTCACATATTTTTCCAACCTACACTGTGAATGTATGAATGATGAATTTTCCTAACTGATTAGATTGTATGTTCATTCTTTCATAAAATTACAATAACATGAAGACAAGGAAAGTTGCCCTGGACAGTGGACAGTGCTCATATTTCAAACAGAATATGGAATGATTTGAATTAATAATTAAGCATTTATTAACAAAAAGATTTATTGTAATGTGACAGAATTATGGTTATATTTGTCAGTGCAATCAGAAAAATGAAGCATCCTGCCAAACACCCAAATACAGTTCAGTATATTACTATCGAATGAATGAAAGAAAACAGTATTTCAGCCCATAATGTTCTGTCATTTAGACATTATACCACAGAATAAAATGCTTTACAGCAACATCTCCACTCATACATCCAGCCATACATACACACCACCAACTTAACATAAACTCTTTACACTCTGGCAGTCTCCTGGTGTTTGTGATGGTACTTGACCATTTCAACCTTATTACCCACCGATCAGACAGTTATGTTTTTGTAAGTCAAACATTAAAATTAATATTGTAAAGGTTGTGCACAAGACTATGATGATACTCTACTTACTGTATAGAACAGCTAGTTAGATTTGTAAGCTAGATTTGTAATGCACATGTGTAGAACAGCTAGTTAAATAGCAATTACTGGCTTGATAAGGCTTTATAAAAGCAATTGAAGGGCATTATAATATCTCCTCATACCAGGGGTGCCCAACATTCAGTCTGTGGACTGGAATCAGCCTGAGTCTAATCTGGCCTATCAAATTAATTTAGGAACAATAATTTATAAGTTAAAATCACTTTGTGGACATTAATTGAAACTAAGGATAAGTAAAAAGTACTAGTGTCTGTTATTCCACTAGGGGGCAAAACAGAGCAATAAAAAAGAACATCAAAGACTATAGGCTACTGACAATTATGCTAATTATTTATAATTTTCAATCTATGAATCTGACACTGTAAGCATGTCTCTTTCCCAAAGAAGACTAAGTTTTATGTTAAATACTCTACATGGATTTTTTTTATTTTAACCAGCCTGAGAGCAGCATATCCTGGGGTGGTGGGGTGGTTAAGTTCCTTGACCAAGGGCACAACCAGGAATTCTCACTCAGCCAAGGGTTTTGAGCCCACAACCTTACAGTTCTCCAATGCCTTGTGGTTGCTGGCTTACCTCTCCTGCCACTAACTACACTACCTACAACCCCAAAATCTACCTTACTTTCATAGCAGTGCATATATACTTCATATCCTGTTTAACTGTATTGTTACAGTTTGTTACCAGATACTGTTGGACACTTTTACAGAACTATCTAAATGTTTGAAACCTAATCTTTATCACTTTATCAGTGTTCTGTATCAATGTTTGTGGGGGTATATATGGTAAAACTATAAATGGGAAAATTTGGTTATTATGTAATGAACTGTCATATGTTTTGGGATAAGATGTTTGATCAGTTTTGCATTCAGAATGTATCTTTGAGATCGATGGCAAATTCAAACAAACAAAAACAAAATCAAAGTATTTCTCCATGAAATCTTAGCTATTTTTTCCACATGGAGCAGTCTGGAGAAAAGGGGTAAACTGGAACTCTAAACAGTTACAGATTCTGAAGTGCTGCACTGGATTTTGTTTTTAAGAAATGTAATATATTCTGTATTATATAAGCTTGAAAGGAGAATATTTATCATAAACTTGTAAAAAGAATGAAAGCAGAAAAGTTGTTATACCAAGAAAAAAAAAAAAAAACTTCATATATTAATGGATTTTACCACATATTTTGCCAAAAATACAACCTGTCCATCACTGTTTACAATAACTACATCATTACAGAATGGTAGATGAAGGAACCCAGGACAATTTTTGTCCCATAATGCATGAAAACTGGACATTCAACAAGACAAAACTGTTATATATGTTTCGTAGGCAAAACTACTGACTCTTCAAAACTCATTGCCATTTTGATTGTATCTATTTGCCTCATTCTACATGGGTTTGTTTGTTGGAGCATTTGACCACATAGTCATTAGCCCAGTCAACAATCTGTGTTAAGGCGTCCAGCATCAGGCAGTTGATGTCCTCATTGATTCCGGTCTTCTCATGATAGTTGCACACAGGGAAGATGCAGTTTGTTGGGACGCCCAGTAAATTACTGCATTCACGCATCTGGATACACAGACAAAGACAGACACACATACACAGAGTCATTCATTTTCCTTTTACAGTGTAGTAACTGGGAATGTCTTCATAGATGCCCATACAAGGTCTCAAACTAGCAAATGAACTCACTTTATCCCTGATCTTCTTGCTTTTGTAGACATTGCGCAAATTGATCTGTGTCTTTTGGTGTGTATCATCCACTTTGGTCAGGAAGACCACTTGAGGCATACCTGTAACAAAGACAGATCAAGACCCAAGAGAAACACATTTACTTAGCTACAGCTATTTAACAGTAAATTATGAAAATAAGAATACCATGATTATGAACACATTAATAACACATTACAATGCATTCATAGATCATTATAAACATATAATATTATAAACATATAATATAATTATTTAAATTACACATTATTTGAGGCAGGTTAACACATTATACAGGCATGCATTACACATAATATCCATGTTTTTATGCATTATGAATTGCTATGCATACATCAACACCACATCAGCCTAACACTGCTGTCAGAACCAATCTCATATCTCCAGAATGATTACTTTACAGGAGAAGAAAAAAAAAACCTTACTTTTAATGTAAGTCAATGTAACAATGAGTTTTTTTTTCCTTTTTTTTTGCTCCATTTCTTTTGGTCTATTCATCATTAAATTTACACACAATGTAAAGGACAACAGGCATTTTCAGATTTTGACCAAAAATGAAAACCAATAAAAAAATGCAGATATGAGGTTTTGTTCCAACAGCAGCGATATCTATATATTCACCCTGGACCACTAGGAATCAGCCATAGTTTATCAAACAGAAACAGAAATAGAAATAGTTCATCAATAATAATATATATCCATAAGGCAAGCTGGGACTGAGTTTCTTTGATACTGTAATTTGGCAATATAGTATGTTATGTTACTTATAATTCATTATGTTTATAATTATAATTATGTTTAATTCATAATGCATAATAAACATGGCAATGAAGTGTAATGCAGTTTTATAAATATTTATAGCTGTGTTTATAATGCCTTATGATTGTTATGAATGTTTTCATAGATCATTAGAGATGATATTCATGGAACCTGTTATGGTAAATTCGATCAATGATGTGGATTTTAATTGACTGGTCCAGCCTCCACCCAGAATTGTGTTTTTTAGTAGCAACTAACTGGATGGGTTTACAGAACATTGTAAAAAATCTTAGTCAATCATTTCCATTTAATTTTTTTAATAAAAGGAAATCTATAAAAAATTGAGTATTTGCCAGCCATTGCTGTGGCTGTCAATGTTGTCATCCAGCATACTAGTGATTTTAAATATATAGAGACAAATGCTAAATGCCATAATATTTGATGTCATGATAGTTTGTGCCACATGCAAATATTTGCTAGAAGCACTCTAATTACATCCACAATTATAACATCTGCCACGACAGTTACCAGTAATACAAACATGACACTGTTCTATTACTAAACATAATCTGTCATGGAAGCTCATGACAGCATATGACTTCTCTCATGACATGTTTATGGCGATGTTATGTAGGGAGGTTCAATTAAAGTGTTACTGATATTTTCTAATAAGCTGACTCACCCAATTTGCTTGCCGCATCTCTGACAGCCTTCATCTTTTTGACCGTCTTATCTGGAATGATTGCAAGATTGTCTGCTGGTACAACATTCACCAGGCAGTGAATCTTGTCATTCAGGGTGGGATTTTCCCGGTAATACTTGCTTCCTTCAGACAGTGAGTGCATAAAGTTGAACTAAAGGGGGAAAAACAATTAGCAGAGTGAGACGTCTCTGTGGTCACTGGCTTGAACATTTGTTTTTCTCCATCATGTTTTCACAAACCTGTGACATCAGCCAATCCTAAGAGTGTGAATTTTACACTTCTAAGTAAAAACTTTGATCTTACCGTGTAGCCCTCTTTAATGTGTCCCTTCAGAGCACTGATGATGTCATTCTCGAGCACCCCTTCATCCTTTTCCACACCCATGATGTCATTGAAGGCAAAAGGGAACTGTCCATCCTTCTCCATTGAATATTTTTCATACTAACAAAAAAGGAACAAACAAACAAACAAACAAAAACAAATAAATACGCATTATATACCACACACATTATGTACACCTTGCTCTGGTGGGCTCCTGGAAGACAATGTAGCAAAACATTGAGATCATCCAAAATCACAGTCGAAAACCAGAGATCCACAACAAGACAAAAGGGCAAGGCAAAAATCAAGGTCAGGACAGAAATACAGGTCATACATGGAAGTCGATAAACAGGAAAGGAAAGAATGCTCTTCCGATTCAATACATTCTGATTACAGATTAAGACTGAGATGTTTATATGCTCACTCTTCTCAACCATCTGATGAAAATCTCCGTTTACATGTTCACTACAAGTAATCAGATCCAAAATGATCGCCTAGAGTAAACGTTACCATGACAGCGAACATCATGTGAGTCCAGTCAGAGTGAGATGAGCAGCAATGAGCAGCGTGTGTGCTTTTAATTACTTTAAAATGATGTCAGACTCAGGAAAACTTTCTTCACATGTACTTATTAAAGCAAGCCGAGAGGAAGACGTCATGTTCTGAGACACTTACGCTGGACGTCCGTCCCATCGCCGCCTTTTAAAGATCAGAGCATAAACTTCGTCTCCTCTGCAGAGCATTTTCTGCTCCATGTTGAACGTTATAAACTTTTGCCTGAGCCGGTTTGAGTTCTCTACTTTCACTGTGACGCGAACGCACAAGTGCAGAACGTACTTACATATTCTGATTGAAAGTGTAATCGGATACAGACATTTACATGGCTATTATTCTTCTATTTAACGAATTATTTACAGGATTACCCACCTTGTTCAATCGGATAGAAATTGTTTTCCGAATGGCCTCAGTAGTCTATTCTGATTGAGGTGTTTACATGGACATATTCTATTCCTATTGAGCTATTAGTTTGATTATTAATGAATTATTAGGCTGCATGTAAACGTGACTACTGTCAGAATTCCTCATTTTTGAGAGGGTTTTTTAATATATTTATTTATTATTTACAGAAAAAATCTGTAAATGTCTGCAATGCATAAAATAAAAACATAACTAGTTTTCAATAAACAAGGTTAAAAGCTCAAATTCTAGCAGCAGAGATTTTAAGCAACAGTAGCATAATATTTATCTGTGTTTTTAATGCACAACAGAATATCAGGGCTGTATTGTGTACTCACGTATATGGTGTAACTCTTAGACATCCCTCCTGCAGCCAGACAGTTGACAAACTGCCGTCTTTCAAAAATGGTTCTGATAGTGTTTATGGTGCTGGATTTTCCAGCTCCAACTGGTCCCAACAGAAGGAAGCGGAGCTCTCTGACTTTGTCATTGCCAGTTTTAAAGGTCTTTAGTTTGTTGATCATTGGATCTTCACTGGGGAAAAAGTGGAAGACAAGATTTATCTTATTAGAGAGCCTGAGATAACCGTTGTTTAAATATTATTCATAAAATGGCTAGTTCCAGTCTTAAAATCTGGTTTGCTGATTTTGTTAAAATGAAGGTCTGAAAACCTATTTGCTTATTTGCATTTTCAGCTCTCTTATGAGTACAGGAACAAAAGGTGGATTGTATTTCTATGATATTTCTACTTAATAGATGAGAGAAAGCATTTTAAATAGAGATACTGCTTGTATTTCTGATTTCATTTTTGGTTCTTTCAGTACCAGAGTATATTTTTGTGTATACAGCAGGACCACAATGAATGTACAAACCAGAAAAGAAAGATAAGATCAACCAACACCAACCACTGCTCATCTATTGTGCTTTGTTAATTTGCTGTATCCAATAGTAAAACTCCACAAGGAATGTAATCCATTATATAATCCAAAGATTAGACCACATCAACTGCCTTTTTGTACTGCTCAATTCAAAGAGGTGTGTGCCTTCTAAAAAAATTAATATAATGCAACATATGATGGCATAGCCTCTTGATCACTATGTAACATTATACCTGTTGCTGAGAGTTCAGGTCTGACAGCCCAAGTCTGAGAGTGCAATACTGCGGCTTTGCAATCAGATCATTCTCAAATAGCATTAAACTCAGGCTGGATCTCCAATAGTTTCCTACAACGTATGAAATTCTGGCTTCCAAATAGTGCACCAAATACTTTGTCCATTATGAAATGTACACATGGATTACAAATGGCTTTATTTTAAATATTTTTTGCACTATTTGGATGCAGGAGCCAATTTTAATACACTGTGTAGGAGGTTGGGAAGCTTTTGAGATTCAGCCTGTAAAATCTGATTGGCTAAGACACATTTGAAGCCATTGTGAAATATTTGATATATGCACACCAACCGCCTCACAACCACTGAACACTGTATTACTGCGCCGCATCATAAAAAGCCTTTTGTTGTTAATGGATTCATTTTTACTCTAATGCTGCTCACATGAAGCACCAAGTTAATTGATGAAGTAAGAACCTGGTTCTGTTTAAACTGAGAGAGTGGTAACTAATTGTCTTAAATAGAACTAGGGTAGTTAGCTGGCTAAAACATACCATACAAGTAAACATACCATACTTGCTAAACATCTCCTTCAGTAATATCGCAGGCTTGAACAAAAGCACTGACGATATGATTCAGTGTCAAGCTGCAATATAAAAGACTAAAAAATGTCACTTGAACAGCTTACATTCTTCAAATGTTAGTGTTTCAGTCAGAACTACCATCAAATCCAGGCTCAGACAGTGCCAGAGTCTCAAACAGTGCCGTACTTCCTAAACAGTGTGCTATGTAAGTTTTGAAATTCTAGATTAGACAGCCAAATAGTGCTCTATTGAGTATGAATGTGGCTAAATCTCAAATTGCTATATTTTAGCTATATTAAGCACTGTTGGGTTGCAGTATGAATGAAAATGTTATGAAAAATTGAAACATTCATGAAATGTGCTGCAATATCAATGTTTTCACTGTAAAAAAAAAAAATACTGCTACTGAACTTTAAAAAACAAGTAACCAGGATAAGTTGAAATATTTGTAACTCATTAAGTTTAAAATAGTTAAAATAGTGAGTTGATAAATTTAAAACATGAAACATTTTTTTGTTAATTTAATATTAAATTTTAATAAACACAAAATTTCAAGTTAACTTGATTATTTTGAAGGTTAAATGTACAGTTTATCAGTCCATGGTTGCTTGGCAAGGACACCATACTCTAAAGAAACTATTTCTTGGCAGAATACTTGTTTATGTTGATTATTATTAATAATAACAAATTGTTTATTGAAAATGTGTGTGTTTTGTCAAATTTTGTTGGCTGCCATTTTAGAAAAACAATAAGCCATGAAAGGCTGTGCAGTACAGTGATTTTATCAATGGGAATAAAGTCACAGTAACACATGGCCTCTCATGGCTTATTGCTTCAGTAGTATATTTGATACCGTATATATAAATGGGGGTAAGTCTATATTATCCATTTTTTAAATAAATTGTTGAATAACTACAGCCTGTATAGGCTAGCATGCATATACTGTAAAAATGGTTCGTCAGATCAACCTAAAAAAATTACTTAATTTAGTAACAACTAATTGAACTAGTTTTATTCAACTCAAAAAAAATGACACTGACTGAAAGAATCGTCCATTCAAAGTGTGTGTCTATTTAGGTTGGATAAAAGTAGTTAATTTACTTGTAGCCACATGGAGTAAATTTTTAGGGTGATCTGACGAGTTATTTTTTACAGTGTAGGAAAGAATGTTAAATAAATAAATAAATAAATAAATAGACATTTCTTTTCTTTTAAACAGAATCATTAAAGAATGATTATGGACTTACTTCCACTGGACTGTCCTCCATTCGTTGAGTTCTGTAAGAAGTGCACAATGAAACAAGTAAAACAGCAATACTTTTAAATGATTTTATTATTGAAAAATTAGGTCTTATTTAGCATTAGGCAGACAGTAGAGTGTTACAGAGTGCTGCGTCTTGCTAAGAACATGTTGGAAGTAACATCTTTGTGAATTCTCTGATGACTGGAATGCAAAATTCATACATACCAACAGTGACCATGGCAGAGCATGAGACACTACCCGCGTAATTCGTCAGGTTTAATGTGTAGAATCCTTCGTCTTCTTCCTGAGCATTTATAATTTTCAAGCTACATGTTTTGCCAGTTTGTTTTATTTCATGCTTGTCCTGCACACAGTTAAACTTCTGTCCTTTCTTCTCCCATGTGGCAATGAAATCTTCTGTGTTAGCCTCACAGCGAAGAGTAACAGGTTGTCCAACTTTTACGTGTTTCTCAGCCAAAACAGTGACAAATTCTACAGGGAAGAAGAAATTGTTAGAAATAATACTCATTCAACAGGAAATACAATCAATACAATGTTTCAGATAACTACAGCTTAAGTTCAACCTGCCTTAAGTAGGATCTGTTTTTTGTTCCCTAATAATGAGAGGAAGCAGAATTTTCTTAAAGAATCATTGATGGTTGCATTCCATGTCACCAAGACTCCAACAGTACACCAAACTACAACAAACTATTTGCATGGTTTAACAAGCAGAGCTGTAGTTCAGCTACAGACTGGAAACAACGCTGAAACCGAGGCTAAGCACAGAATCCAGCTTTTGCAAGACTATCTCAGATCCGAGACATTCATTTCTTCATAATTAGCTAAAGATTTTAATCAAGTACACTGTATGGTCAAAGTATGTGGACACCTGACCATCGCACCTGTATAAACTTGTTGGACATTGCATTGCATGAGTGGTAATCAGTGCCCACTCAGTCAAAAGAGCATTTCTGAAGGTCAGATGCTGATGTTGGACAAGAAAGTCTGGCTCGCAATCGATGTTCCAATTCACCCCAAAGGTGTTCAGTAGGGATGAAGTCAGGACTCGACTCTGTAGAGGCCACTGGAGTCAAGCCATGTCCTTTTGGAGTTCACTTTGTGCACAGGGGCACAGTCATGCTGGAACAGGAAAGGGTCTTCCCCAAACTGTTGCCAAACACTTGGAAGCATACATTTCTCTAAAATGTCTTTGTACGCTGTAGCATTGACATCACCGTTCACTGGAACTAAGGGGCCCAAACACTGAAAAACAGCCGCAGCCCATCATCCCTCCTCCACCAAACTTTACTGTTGACACTATGCACAACTGTACTGTTCACTTTAACTCATTCTACTGCTAATGTTCATCTACAGAGACTGAATGGCTATGTGCCTGATTTATACACCGATGGGTGCATTAGCGATGGGGGTGGTTTCAAGATCTGTTATAGGGAACTAATGAATTATCTTCACTCCTTTGGTAATTAATACAGGAGCCTTTTATAGAAATGTTATAAATTCAAAATCAAGATTGGTTATATGAGAATAACTTCTGATTTAATGCATGAATAAGAAGATTTTTTAATTGCTGTTTAGAGATAAAGTATCCAGTAACAAGTTCATTGAGCCCTGGCATATGCGTGACCATACCATAAATATATCATGGCCGAAGTCATATGTTTTCATGTGGTGTCATATTACTTAATATAACATTATTATTATACAATTATGTCAGTGTTATACAGCAGAGTTCAAGTGTCATGCTTTAGGATAGTCAAGATGTCAAATTATTCTTTTACTGTTTATTATTGGAAGCTAAATTAGACATTAAATTGCTTAAAAATTCAACATGCAAGTTTAAACTTACCAGGTTTGGACTGAGATGACCCCATGTTCGAATCTGTGAAACTGAAGACAAATAATATGGCATTATTACTTATTTATAAATGAAATGTGGAATTTGCCATTTAGCAGTGGAGAAATCTCAGGACTTTCTAAGCCCTCAAAAAGGACTAATGATTCACATGTCTGTAACTTGTAGTTTCCTTTTAATTTAACATAATCATGTTTTGTATTTAAACTCAGCAAGTATTGTTTTAGTAATACTCTCATTTCATTGTTAAGGTTTGTTTGAGTTAACATCTTGAAATGCCCAATCCAAACTTGTCCAATCAGGATTTTTTTTTATATCTGATATATCTGATTACCTACCAGAAAAAATAGAAAGTGAAATTATTAGAAAGTTTGGTAACACTTTCTATGAATTTGTAAGCATCTATAAACACATTTGTAACATGTTATAATGTATTCATAAGGCATTATAAACATGGTTATAAATATTTATAAAAAAGAATTATACTGAATTACACTTTATAGCCATGTTTATTATACATTATGAATTGTTAATATAATGCATTATAAATAGTGTTAATAACATGTTATAATGTCAGTGCCAAAGAAGTCAGTCCCAGCTTAGACAGCGTAAAGTAAAAACAAATACCAAGCTAACGGTGGTGTACATTACCTTTCCCACATTGGGTAAAACACTGATGGCAGCTCTAGTTTAAACTCTGACGTTTGAAGCCTGTAATGTGCTTTATTATGTATGTTTTAGTGTTTCAGTAAATCCTTCAGTAAATATTTCAACTTGAAGACTCACTCTGAACACTGGAGGAGGCTTTAGTACAGTACGCTTCACTTTACTTAGAGCAGACAAATACGACTTATGAGCTCTTATAATTTTTTATGATCAGTACTTATAATGTATTATGTTAACAATTCATAATGCATAATAAACATGGCTATAACATATAATGCATTTTTATAAACATTTATAGCTATGTTTATAATGTCTTATGAATGCATTATAACATGTTATGAATGTGTTTATAGATGCTTACAAAGGTGACATTCATAGAAAGTGTTACCGAAAGTTTTCTGTAAGTTTTAGTCCACTGTTTATATTTATTTGCAAAGTTTAACACATTGGACAAACAAAATATTAAATATTGAATGCACCATAATTTTTGCAGTTTTATTTTTTCAATATGTTCAATTCAGCAAATAAACAGACATTATTCATTAAAATGAGCAGAAGTGTGTTCTCTGTAGAGGACGTGTTAACTTGTTTTCACTTAGAAAACCAACAAGACCTGACACTCGACTAGGACACCCAAGCTTTCACACTTCACCATGGGGAATAATATTTTACCTGGATTCTTTTTTCAGATGAACATAATGGAAAGAAATTAACTCATAATGGAATAGTTAGCAAACAAATTGCAACCTCAATTTTAAACCTTGATCTTTTAGTTATTTGTAAACAAGTACACAAAATATCATGGATCACAAATATATGTTTGTGGTTATTTGACGAAGGGTTGTTTAAAACATACCTGTTTGGGAAGAAATCATTTATTTGGAAACAAAACTTAAAGTGTCTCTCATGTCTGCTTTAGTGTACCACCTTTCATTGTCTTTGCATTCTTTAGCTATTAATATGTATCTGCTTACGTAAAGTTAGATTAAAAGGTGTGGAACTATAGCAGGTTTAGCAGCTTTAGCAGGTTTAGGCTAATACAATACAGATCATTAAGTGTTGTGACACCCAGACTTTGGAATGTCATCCTTCACTGGCCACCCTTCACAGTACCAGCTGTAAATAATAAGTGTTTACAAGGTTTAGGTTTAATGCACAAAGCTGCCATCTTTGTTTCCCTGGCAGCGTGTTTAATGACTGGTTCTGAACTTCATCACATCGAAGCAATGGTGTTTAGCATTTGTAGCTGTGTACATTTTAGTTAGTTGTTCATTAATTAAAAGGCAATTTATGAATTGGTAGTGCAATCAAACTTAGTGAAAGGATAGTTTGAAACTAATTTTAAATAAGGACTTAATAAAGACCATATGCACAAACTTTAAGGCTTTCTCTATCTAGCAAAACTTTAACTTTCTTCCTCTTAGTCTCTTTCTACACTTATCCCAATTATTATTATTATTATTATTATTATTGGCTAGATTAACCCCTTAACATTCCAAGCTTATTACATACTAAGGCTTATTATTCTGTAACTACAGGGACTTCAATGCAAACTAATTGAGCTTTTCTTTTGTTGGCCCATGGCTTGATAAGGGGTTAAGTCAAAATCTAAACATGATTTTCAATGGTTAATTGCTCTTGGCATTGCAGAGTACTCTAAAATTAGGCTAAAGCAATTTGTCTACATAAAAGAATTGTTGATTAGTGATAAGAATAAGAACCAGAGGTCATAATGTCTGCCATGCAAAAATAGTCATTTTATTAATGTTTCAAATTTGCGTTGTTGTTCATTTAATAATCAATAGTAGATTTAAGGTTGATAATTGGGAAATAGTAGTAAATCTGAAAAATCCAATAAAGTCAAAATTCTGATTTTTTTGGGGGGCTTACATTGTCCTGCATGTATTGCTCCAACATGAATTGATGTCAACTATATGGTTACGGCAAAATCACAGTATTTCTGGTGTAAGGCATGAATTCAAAACTATTTTATGCAATAATTTTCTGAAAGAGAGCTTAGGGGGGCAGTAAACACTGTGGACATCTGGTTCCTATCACCAGAACTTACTCAGTAATTTTCTCTAGAGTGAAACATTTAACATCAAACTACTCTGAATAAGTTTGTGTACCTCTTAACAACTTGTGCAGAAATTTAGAAAAATCTGTGGAATTCCTCTTTAATCCATGTTCAAGAAAATGATCTTAATCCACACATGAAATATTTCATCCCAAAGCTAATTCAAAGGCAGTTTGGCTTACCTTTATAAGGCGTCTGAGCTGTTGCTGAGATCTCTGCTGCTTTCTGTCTGCACCTTTTTGTGCCTTTATATACACTTCATTCTACTTTCACTTTCAATTGTGTGCAGTACGTATGAGGAGGGCGTGTGAGAAGGTAAGAACAAACCAGAGACTTTGGCCACTGAAAGTTTTCTGCCAAAAATGGCTAAAAGAGTCACTTTTGGTTTCTGACCAAAAGAGAAAAAAAGTCTGAACATTCTGTGGAAAAAACAAAGAGAAAGATTAAAAATGTCTACAGTGAAAAGTCAAAATCTAACACTGTTCAAACAGTTTGAACAGCAGCAGATCAACAGTGAAATGCACTCCAAAGTCTCTGTTTTCTACACAGTCTTTAACTAACATTCATTTTTGATTGATTTCATCAGTCAAATTTGATTTATTTTTTATTTAAATCAACTAAATACTACTGAGTAACACAATACATTTTGGTAAGAAACCGCTTAACTCTCTTTGCTCCCGCAAAGCATTGTTAGATGCTTGTAGGGTTTATCAAACACTAAAGTGACCTGCCTTCTTAAAGCACCTCTGTTTGAGAAATTTTGACTGCTAGACACTAAAGCCACATCCATTTTTTTATAAAACAAATTGTTATCTGTCTGGTGAGACTTTGGAATTCAGTTTCAAATGCATTTGAGAAACCATGAAGTGTAATATGAAATTCTTATTAATTATGAAGCTATTTAAAATGAAATTAGTCCTCCAGCTGTTGCTTGTTGTTTTTGAAGCACTGTTAGCATCATTATGTAAATTCAAAGGCATGAATAATATGGCAAATTGGTTTTGATTTTGATCCGAATGTGTCCTGAGTTTCACTTTTGATTTCAGTCAAGAATTGTCAGTTCATTTTTGCTTCATTAAAATACCTATGCTCAGTAACAGTTTATAAAATTATTGAGCATGTATATTTGATATTTTGTTTTTATTTGGTAATTTAGCATGAAGCTAAACTTCATGCGCCATCCTCCCTACATAAAAAAGCTAAGACAGTTCGTGAAACACTAGTAAAAAAAAGAAAGCGGTAATTCATAAATTCTGCTTGACCTGTATTAAATTGAAAACAAGACAAAAACCACAATATTTAATGTTTTACCTCCATCTTCACCTTTTTTTTTAACAACATGTAATAATCATTTCGGGACTGGAGAAATTAGCTGATCCAGTTTTGAAAGCAGAAGTTTTGAAATTCTTGAAGTCCTACAGTTCTGTATACATCCAACTTTTACTTTCTTCAGTCTGAACAGTTGTAGTCTAACAGGTTAGTGTAACATCCTGTCTTGCCTTCTTCTTGTCTCTCTCTGTTTCAGCCTTTGTTGTCTTGTCAAGCCATGTGCTTGTTATTAATTAAGCATTTAATAATGAAAATGTTTAATGAAATATGAAAAAAATATAAATTTTTGTATTACAATTACAATTATTGCAAACCTAAAAATGAAGCATCCACCAAATACAGCTCAGTAGATTACTATAGAATGAATAAAAACAAAGCAGTAATGCTGCAGATTACACTTTATTCATATTTATACTGTATTCAGCTGTAACAACAGGTTCAAAATTCAGCCCAGAATGTTCCATCAGAAATTATACCATTGAATTAATATGCTTTACAGCAACATCTCCACTACACATCCAGCTATATATACAGCACCACCAACCTAAACATAAACTCTTTACAGTCTGGTAGTCTCCTGGTGTTTGTGACAGTATTTCACCATGTCATACTTATTACCCACTGATCAGATACTTAAGTTTTGTAAGTCAAACATGAAAAGTAATATTGTAAAGGTTGTACACAACACTATGATGCATACTAGTCTAGTTACTGCTTAAGAAATTAGTAATGAACAGCTGGTTAAATAGCAGCTACTGGCTTGATAAAACTTCATGAAAGCAATTTATGGGCGTTAATAATGTCTCCTCATACCAGGGGTATCAAACATTTGGTCTGTGGGCTTTATAGGTTCTAATCTGTCCCACCATTCAGGCCTGCCACTAACTACACTACCAGCAACCCCAGAATTTACCTTACTTTCAAACTAGTGCTTAAATACGTCTTATACCTGTCTGAGTGGCAGATGAAATCCTGTTTAAATTGTATAGTTGCAGTCTGTTACCAGACATTGTGAGACATTGTTGCAGAATTATCAAAATATGTAAAAACATAACCTTAATCTCTTAGTGTTCTGTATCAAAGTTTGTGAAATTATTACTGGGAATTTTGATTTTTCAGAATAGATAGATAGATTCAGAATGTATCTTTGCGATCAAGAAGAAAAAATGACACATTGATTAGCAGTAATTAACATGTTATTGGCGTAATAAACTGATTTTTTGGTCCAGGCCTTTTGATATTGGACAAAGCGTAATTTTGCCAGTTACCCTCAAATTAGTTTGAAAACCCTAGTGTTGCTGTTTTTTGCAAAAAAAATTAAAAATAAAGATAAACAAATAATAAAAATTATGAGTACTACATAAAATTTGAGCTAGTTTGGAACAATCTGGGGAAAAAGGGTGAAATGGAATTCTTGACAGTTCCAGATTCTGAAGTGCTACTTTGGTTTCTGTGTTTAAAACTTTTAAAATGTTCTTTATTATATAATCTTGGAAGGAGAACACTTACGATAAACTTGTAAAAAAAATAATGAATGTATAAAACTTGGTTTACCAAGAAAAATAAATCAATAAATTTACACATTATTCCAACAGTGCAGCCTGTTCATCACAGGTTTAAATACTATATCATTACAGAGTGGTAGATGAAGGAACCCAGCACATTTTTTTTCCTATTACACAACAAAACATAACCTTAAACAATCAAATCTTGAGGTATTCTTTGTAGGCATAACTACTGACTCTTCAAAACTCATTGCCATTTCGACTGTATCTATTTGCCTCATTCTACTTGGTTTTGTTTGTTGGAGCATTTGACCACATAGTCATTAGCCCAGTCAACAATCTGTGTTAAGGCGTCCAGCATCAGGCAGTTGATGTCCTCATTGATTCCAGTCTCCTCATGATAGTTGCACACAGGGAAGATGCAGTTTGTTGGGACACCCAGTGTATAACTGCATTTACGTATCTGGATGCACAGAGAAAAACACACACACATACACAGTCTTTCATTTGCCATTTAACTGGAAATGTCTTCATAGATGCCCACAAAAGCTCTCAAGCTAGCAAATGAACTCACTATTTCCCTGATTCTCTTGCTTTTGTAGATGTTCTGCAAATTGTTCTCTGTCATTATGCATAATTGATCAACTCTGGTCAGGAAAACAACTTGAGGGATACCTGTACCAAAGACAGTCGAGACACAACAGAAACACATTTATCTAGTTTACCATGATTATTATGCATTATGAATTGATGTACATACATCAACACTACATCAATATATATATATATATATATATATATATATATATCTTCTGTCGGAACAAAACCTTCTATTTCCAAAATGGTAACTTTACAGGAGAAGGAAAAAACAGACTTTACTTTTAATGTAAGTCAATGGAACCAGAATGTTTTGCAAGACATTTTGGCCATTTCTTGTGGTCCATTCATCATGAAATTCATAAACTCAAAAATTCATAATTTGAAAATGCTTGTTGCCATTTGCATTGTATGAATTACATTAAACTTTATTTCATAAACATTTATAGTCATGTTCATAATGTCTTATGAATATGTTCATGTATTCTTAATGATGGTATTCATAGAATGTTTTAGGGTAAATTCAATCAATGCTGTGGATTTTTAATTGACCAGTCCAGGCTCCACCTTCAAATATGTGTGTTTTCATAGCAACCAGAGTAAACAGACATTGAAAAAAATCCATTCCAAATATTTGTCTTGTCCAAATAATATATATATATATTTTTTTTATTAAAGGAGTTGTGATAACCCCAAAAAATGTGTATTCATCTTACTATTGATTTCAGATATACATAGACAAATGCCAATTGCCATAATATTTGATGTCACGGACGTTTGTGATACACACTAATTTTTGCTAGGAGTACTCTAATTACATCCGAAAGTATGACACGTGTCATGACAATTACCAGTAAAATAAATATGACATTGTTATATTACTGAACATAATCTGTCACAGAAACAGCATATAACTTCTCTCATGACATGTTTATGGCGATGTTATGTAGGGTAATTCAAGTTATCAATATTTTTCTTATAACCCAACTCACCCATTTTGCTTGCTGCATCTCTGACAGCCTTCATTTTTTTGATTATGTTATCTGGAATCAGTGCAATCTTGTCTGCTCGTATAACGTTCACCAGGCAGTGAATCTTGTCATTCAGGGTGGGATTTTCCAGGTAATACTTCAGACAGTGAGTGTTCAGAGTTGAACTAAAGTGGTAAAAACAATTAGCAGAGTGAGACGTCTCTGTGGTGACTGGATTAAACATTCGTTTTCTCCATCATGTTTTCACAAACCTGTGACATCAGCCAACCCTAAGACTGTGAATTTTACACTTCTAAGTACAGGCTTTGATCTTACCATGTAGCCCTCTTTAATGTGTCCCTTTAGAGCACTGATGACGTCATTCTCGAGCACCCCTCCATACCCTTCTACACCCATGATTTCACTGAAGGCAAAAGGGAAGAGTCCATCCTGCTGAACTGAATATTTTTCATACTGAAAAAAAGGAAATTGATTAATTAATCAATTTATTCATTCATTCATTAAACATATTAATTGCAGCATTCATTATATGCACCTGCATCGGAAACAACACTAATGTTCAACACAACTGGTGTGTTGATTTGTCAATGTGTACGATTTCAGAAGATTTCAGCTGTTGTTGTGGGTTTCTGGTAGATAATGTAATCATGTAATCATTTCCATCACTTTCAGTCAGTTCAATTTCAGAGATACATGTTCCAGATATGGACTGACAGATATATTGGTTGGCTTATAACATCAGTTTATAATGTGATCCAACTGACTTATCAGTACCAACAAAATTCCCACTGATAAAGAAACACTTATAATAATAATTAATAATATTGTATTGAACCTCTACCATTGTCAGAATTCCTCAATTTTGACAGTATTTCACACAAAACATAACATAAAAATAATATAAACATAAGATAAAAGTTCCAAATCTAGCAGCTGAGGTTTTAAACAACAGAGTATCAGGGCTGCATTTTGTACTTACACATATGGTTTGAATATTAGAAGACAATTGTGCAGCCAGACAGTTGATGAACTGGCGTCTTTCAAAAATGCTTTTGATGGTGTTTATGACGCTGGATCTCCCGGCTCCAATTGGTCCAAACAAAAGGAAGTGAAGCTCTCTGACTTGGTCATTACCAATTTTAAAGGACTTTAGTTTGTTGATCATTAGATCTTGTCTAGGGAAAAAGGTGGAACACAAGCACTCTCTTATTAGAGAACATGAGATAACCAAGTCTATTAAAATATAAGCTGTTTAAATATTATTCATAAAACAGAGTAGGTCCAGTTTTAAAATCTGATTGGCTGGTTTTGTTAAACGGATGGGCTGATAATTCAATTTCTTAACTAGAACTAGAAGAAATCATCTAGCTAACAGGCTAAAACATGATCGGCTTTGAACTAAGAAATTACTATACAATTCACTGTAAAGCTGCAATAAAAAAAAAATGTCATTTCAAATTTCTCATACATGCTTCAAGTCTGTGTGTTTTAGATAAATTTGAATTAAGTAGTAGTATGCACCTCCTGATTTAGGTATGTGACCATTATCCTCACACCAACAATAGCAAAGCAAAAGCACCACACTTTCAGACCTGCTCTCTTACGACTATTGTGTCAATTGCCGCACTAAGATCAAGGAAGACTAGCAAAGACCCATTTCCTTGGTCAGTGAATAATAATAAGAATAATAATAAGAGTTTTTGGGATATAGCCAAGGGTAAGAGAAGAGTTTATTATTGACAGAATAAGCTTGGTTATTTCTGGCAAAATCTGGGGATCAGTAACTACATATAGCACATTCAAAGCCATTGTGAAATACTTCATACACCAACCACCTCACAACAACTGAACAGTGTGTTGCTGCACCACATCACCAAAAATCCTTGTGCTGGATTAATGGATTCATCTTTGACTCCAACGCTGCTCACATGAACCATCAAGTGAAATGATGAAGTGAAAACCCTCTTTTTGTTTAAACTGAGAAATTGGGCAACTTATTTTCTTAAGTAGAATTAGGCTGGTCAGCTAGCTCACAGGCTAAAACGTTTATGCAACATGCAATCAACTCAACCATTTAAGTCACAGGCTTGAAATAAAGTACTAAAGAGCAGGAAGTTTTTTAAGGTGGAGCCCCATTGTGGGAAAAGGGGCACAGTTAGAATGGTCCTAAGTAAAACTTTGTGGTGGTTATTTGTTGACCAACTAGTACTCAGAAAGTGAAGGTTTTTAGCATTAAACAGTGCTATTTGATATGACATGATATGCAATGGTATGCTATGCTATGCTATGATATGATATGATTGTTATTATAAGAAAAAAGTCAAATGTTTATTAAATGTGCTGAAATACTGTGTAAATGTTCTCACTATAAACAATTCAGCTTTTAAAATATAAGTAACTGGGAGAACCTATAATGTTGAGCTCATTGAAGTTAAAATAACAAGATAACAAATGTAAAACACAACTTATTTTTTTTTTTTAACTTAATAGTACAAGTTTAATGAACTCAACCTGAAGTTAACCTGGTTAACTTTTTTTAAGTTTACAAGCTGCATTTTTTACAGTTTGGCAATAATACCATTCTCTAAAGAAACTACATTTCTTGGCAAAATATATGATAATGTTGATCATTACTAATTATAGCTTGATTTGTTTACTGAAAAATTGAATTGTGTATTGAATTTTATTTTATGATGGTTGCTGTTTAATAAAAGCAGTAAGCCATGAAAGTCCATGCATTACAGTGATTTTATCAAGGGGAATAAAGCCATAGTAACACATGGCCTCTCGTAGCTTATTCCTTCAGTACTATAGGTGAATTATTATATATGAATGAAGTCTGTTTTTTATGTGATCTATTTTTTGAATAAATTGCTTATTAGCTGCAGCAAGTACAGGTCCATCATATAGGAATTAATTTTAAATAAATAAATAAATATATTTATAAACAAACAAGCACACAAATATGCCTGTGTTTTCACATTGCTTTATTTTTGATTATATGATATTAAAGAATGATTGTGAACTTACTTCCACTGAACTGTCCTCCATTCATTGAGTTCTGTAAGAAATGCACAATGAAACAAAACAGCAACACTTCAAAATTATATTATTATTTTATCTTGATTTAGTATTAAGCAGGCTGTGAAGTGTTGCAGAGTGCTGTGCGTTGCTTTGCTCTAATGACTTGTTTGCAAAATTCATACATACCAACAGTGACCTTGGCAGTGCATGAGACACTACCCGCGTAATTGGTCAGGTTTAATGTGTACTCTCCTTCATCTCCTTCCTGAGCATTAACAATTTTCAAGCTACATGTTTTGCCAGTCTGTGTTATTTGATGCTTGTCCTGCAAACAGTTTAACCTGTCTCTGTTCTTCTCCCATGTTGCAATAAAATCTTCCGTGTTTGTCTTACAGTGAAGAATAACAGTTTCACCGAGTTTTACATGTTTGTCAGCCAAAACAGTGACAAATTCTACAGGAAAGAAAAAAATTGTTAGAAATACTCATTCAGCAGGAAGTGCAATCATCACAGAGTTTCAGATAACTACAGTGGGTTTAACCTGCCTCAGGTAGGATCTGTATTTTGTTCCCAAGTAATGAGAAAAAGCAGAATTTTCTTAAACGATCATAGATGGTTGCATTCCATGTCACTGAGCATCCAACAACACACCAAACTACAACAAACTATTCACAGATACAAGTGGCTGTAGTTCAGCTAAAGACTGTAAACAACATTGAAACCGAGTTGATCAGATCAGACAAAAATGGGGACAAAGCACCAGAGATGGGTTTTTGTCAAGGATCAATGTCATGAAGAAGAGCTAATCCACAGTGATGAACCAGAGATGTTTTCTTTTGAAGGTTCTGGAAGTGTTCTTAGGATACATGGTAACATTGTGTCCATTAAATGCCAGGCTAAGAGGCTAAGAGTGTTTCATACCTTAGCAGGTCAACAATCCAAAGTCTTTCTTCAAATCCACACAAACATGGATTTCCATAGCAGGTTACAAAGCTTTTGCAAGACTATATCAGTTTGTCCAGCCTTTATGTAATTAGCTAAAAAAATTAATCAGGTTCACTATATGATCAAAAATATGTGGACACCTTATCATTGCACATTAATAACCTTGTTGGATATTGCATTTCAAAACCATGGGCAATATTACAGAGTTATCACTTGTACCCTTCTACGAAGTTTTACACAAGATTTTGGAGTGTATCTGTGGGAATTTCTGCCCACTCAGTCAAAACAGCATTTCTGAGATCAGGCACTGAAGCTGGATGAGAAACCACGATCAATATTCCAAATGTTCTTAGAGGTGTTCAGTGAGGTTAAGGTCAGGGCTCAAGCCATGTCTTTAAGGGGTGCACAGGGGTACAGTCATGCTGGAACAATAATGGGCCTTCCCCAAAACGTTGCCACAAAGTTGGAAGAATATGATTGTCTAAAAGGTCCCCAAATCCTGAAAAACAGCCCCAGCTCATCATCCCTCCTCCACCAAACTTTACTGTTGGCACAATGCAGAACTTTATTGTTCAGTTTAATTCATTCTACTGCTAATGTTTGTCTATAGAGACTGAATGGATATGTGTCTGATTCATACACCAATGGCTGTGTTAGTGACCAATGACTTCTCTTCACCTCTTCAGTACTTAATACATGAGCCATTTTGTAAATGTAAATCAGAATTGTTTATATGAAAACATCTCTGCAGAGGGATCTGAGATAATAAATGAACAAGATTTTTTAAATTGCTGTTAAGATATAAAATTATACAGTAACAGTTACTTCAGCCCTGGTATGTAACACTAACATGACCACACCATAAACATGTCTTGGCCGATGTCATATGTTGTCACGAGGTGTCATATTGAGTAATGTAACAGTATTATGTGACCATTATGTCAGTGTTATGCAGCAGAGTTCAATGATTGTCAAGATGTCAAATTTTACTCTTTTATTTTTTACTTTTACTGGAAGCGAAATTACAAATTAAAACTTCAACATGCAAGTTTTATAATTTAAACTTACCAGGGTTGGACTGAAATGACCCCATATTTGAATCTATGGAACTGGACACAAAAATATAAGATTATTACTTACTAAGAAATAAATGTGGAATTTGCCATTCAGCTGTGGAGAAATCTCAGAACTTTCTAAGCCCTCAAAAAGCTTTAAATGATTCACATGTCTGTAACTTATAGTTTCCTTTTAATTTAACACAATCATGTTTTGTATATACACTCAGTTTTGTTTTAATAATACTCTCATTTCACTGATATTTGGGTAACCAATCAGGATTTTGTTCCTGTGGAATCTAAATGGATACAGCCAAGCGAGCTCTCCCATTGGACAGGACAAAAGGTGACACAGGTAACAACGATTAACCATCGGAATAATTAAAAAGTGAAAGTGGAATGAATTAATCATGTTTTGATTTCCAATGATTGAACCAAGTTTGTGTGGAAAAGGTCACTCTAGGTCTTCTGGAAATCCTAGATTTGTCACTGACTCTAAATACTAGTAGTCTAACCAGGTTTCAGACAGTTGTTAGGAATGGAAAACAGGACACTTTACTGAAAGGATGACTGTCAAACTGCTCCACATGAGGTAAAATAAATGCTGATATGTCTTTCATAAGCTTAAACCATAGGATTTATTTTACAGTCTTGAAATAACCAAGTTCAATCTAAAATGACTTGTTCATTTTCATGAAACAGAAGAGAAATGCAATTAGATAGCACAATAGATCAAAACTTGTTTTTACTACTCACTTAGTAAAAAGCTGCATTTCGCTCTTACCTTTTTCAGCCCCCTACTGGCCATTCTGCCAGCAGAATGGAAATCAACTTAGCTATTTTTCAGTAAAGAATCCAAAAAATAATTTGGTAACATAAAAAGCTTGTATTCATATATAATTATAAATGTGCTTTTAACTCTTTGTAACCTGGTAATGATGCTTTGTAAGCATACTTAGACAGTGTGGGTACTTTAATTTACTATCTCAAATAATGTGTACTTTAAAATAAAAGACAAATGAAGTGGCCAGTGAGCATAAAGAGGAATTTGACTTTAATTATTGATTGAATTAATGCTTTCTGAACTATGAAAGAGTTAAATTAGTTTGAAGTGATGTGTTCATGATTGTGACATCACAAACATGATGAATCCAAACCAAGTTCATGCTTTTTTTACAGGGTAGAACTGAGAAACTGCTGCAGCACACTGTGTCAGAGTGTGTGTGGTTAGGAAGGAAGCTGTTCAGATGTCTTTGTATGGAAATCCTTCGCTAGCACTGCTTTTTTACAAATATGTAAATATTCAGTATTTAGAAATAATTTTCTGGTACTTCTCACACATAAAGTATATATTAAAACTACCAGGAATATACAAAAGTACCTACTCAGAATTTAATGTTAAATATGTCGTACTTATAATTAAAATTAGATGTGTGCTTTGCAGGTTCAGTATCCATGTACAAAGTAACTACTGGGGGTAACAGGTACCAGGTCTACTGTAGCATTTAGTGCTAAGAAGTTCAATTGCAAAGTAATCACCAAGTACTACTTGTTAGTACTACCTATTTAATATTCTGATTATATGCTGTTGTGCGTAACTGGTTTTCATATAAGTTACTATGTACAGTCATACGCAAGTGTTTTAACACCAACTTTGTTGAGTTTCTAACTGAATACATTAACATATACTCTACAGGGAACAAACTTAAATATGGCATTTTAAAGTTTTAGTGCACAGTTTCTATTTATTTGATATATTTTTATAGTTTTTTAGTATGTTCAATTCAGCAACTAAACAGAAATCATGCATTAAAATGTACAGAGGTGTGTTCTCTGTAGAAGACAGAAAAGTAGGGAGAGAGTTCAGCATCCTGACAGCCTGGTGGATGAAGCTGTCCCCCCAGTCTGCTGGTCCTGGCCCGGAGACTCCGCAGTCTCCTCCCTGATGGTAGCAGGCTGAAAGGCTGCTGAAGGCTGAATGTCTGCTTTAGTGTACCACCCTTCATTGTCTTTGCATTCTTTAGCTATTAATATGTATCTGCTTATGTAAAGCTAGATTAAAAGGTGTGGAACTATAGCAGGTGATGCAGCTTTAGCAGGTTTAGGCTAATACATTTCAGATCATTTAGTCCTGTGACACCCAGACTTTGGAATGCCACCCTTCAGTGGCCAGCTGCACCAGCTGTATGGGAGTTGACTAGTTATAATGTGTCACGCTTTCATAATCAAAACATTTTCATACCTTCAAGCACATGCATAAGGATGCATCTAATTTCGGTTCATTAACATATAATAATAAATTATAATAATAATAAACTCAGAATGGAAGTTACTATAAAAATGTATCTTCAATTTTAAACTGTTTTTTTTCTACATATGATTTTATGTAGAAATCATTTCTGTGAAAGTGAAACTAGAATATCAGAAGTGAAAGTGTAGCAGGTTTAGCAGCTTTAGCAGGTTTATGCTAATATAATATAGATCATTAAGTGCTGTGACACCCAGACTTTGGAATGCCCTTCAGTGGCCACCCCTCACTGCACCAGCTGTAGGTGAGTTCAGACACAGAGAAGTTGTGTTTAGGTTTAAGTGTTTACAGTGTTTAGGTTTAATGCAAAAAGCTGCAGTCTGTGTTTCTATGACAGTGTGTTTAATGACTGGTTCTGAAGTTGTCATTGTTACGTTAAAGCAATGGTGAATAGCGTTTGTAGCTGTGTACGGATTAGTTAGTTGTTAGTTAGTTAAAGTAGTTAGTTAGTTAAAATGCAATAAAGAATAGGTAGTGCAAATAAATTTAGTTAGACAGTTTAATGAGGACTCATTAAAGACTATTTGCACAAACTTCAGTGCAAACTTGTGCAAAACTGGTGCATCATCTGTGGCTGCTTTAACTGACTTTTTCTATCTAGCAAAACTTTAGCTTTTCTTCCTCCTAGTCTCTCTAATTGTTTTCAATTATTATTATTATTATTATTATTATTATTATTATTATTATTATTATTATTATTATTATTGTTATATTTTATTATTATAATGATTATTTTTATTAGTGTGGGCTTGTGGTCTCGTAGCTGGATTAAGTTCCAATCTAAATATGATTTTCAGTGTTTAATCCCTTGCCATTATGCTAAGACTAGACACTTTTTATATATTAACAATTGTATTATGTACAAAAATTGTCCAGTCAGATAAGATTAGAATATCAGAACTCATATTTCTTTACAGTGGTGGTGAAAGGAACCAGGCGTCAGAATGTGTACCATGCAAATACAGTCATTTCATTAATGTTTCAAAATAACATTGTTGTTCATTTGGTGTTTTCCAAAAGACTTAAATGTTATGTAGTCATAATGTTTCCCCTTTCAAAAATCATGTTTCATTGTCAGATCAGTGCTTGATAAACATCTAAGTCAGTTAAGCAGAATAACCTTGGTGAGGGTGATTACAAAATACGCTGTTGAGAAAAGTTAAAAATCTTAGTGTATCATGTTGCCTGAAATTTTGAGGTTTTTTTTTTTTTTTAATGTGTAAGACGTTAAGTAAGGCGAAAGACATTCTTAGTATGTGTTAACTAGACCTTTACTTTCAAATGTGTCTTTATTTGGAGCTTACCGGTGATTTACTGATAGAACTGGTGAGATATTGACAGAATCAAAAGAAAATAACAAAATGCTGAGGTAAAGGTTGTGCACAAAACTATGGTGTATAATATATTAGTAATAAGCAGCTAATTAAATGGTAGCTACTGCTTTCAGAAAGTTTAATAAGAACTTAGAAAAGCTATTAGGCTTTTCAACCCCCCATAGCAAGAACATCCATAGCAAGGGTGCCAAACATATGACCCAAATGCATTTAGGATGTAGATGCTAATTAAAACAAAACATCCAGAAAAAGTGCTAATCTCTGTTATTCCACTATGTGGCTAAATAGATAAATCAAACAGAGCAGGGCCAGATTAAAAGCTACTGATAAAACATGCTAATGATGTGTAACTTTCCAAGAATTTGACACTTCAAGCATATTTCTTTCAAAGACAATTGGACACAGTTTATGTTATGTGCTACAAACTACAAGCACAAACAGGTATACCCAGTTTGGCTCACCTCTCTTACCACTAGGCTTTTGGACATCCCAAGATCTACCCCCTGGATCCCACAGCAATGCTTATATAGTTCTTATACATGTATTTTGTTTTTATTTATTTTTTGTGATCATGAATTGTCGTCTGTTCTGTAGGTAATATGTTTAATGTATTTGTGCATTTGGAATGTATCTTTGAGAAAAATGACATTAAAATCACACAATTAGGAGCACTAGTTGACATGTTATTGGCCTGCTAAACTGATTTTAAAGTTACCAGTTACCTAAAATGAGTTTGACAGCCCTGCCCTGGAAGTGCTACTGTTTTACTTTTCCCTGAATGTTTCTCCTTCAGGCCAATTTGTGATCAGCTAGTTTCTCCAGCCTCGGGAAAAGGTGTAAGGTATAACTCTTAAAAGTTACAGTTTCTTCACTGCTGCATTGGTTTCTGTATTTAAAAAATGTAAAAATATAATCTTACGAGGAGAATAATTATCATAAACCTGCAAAAAATAACCAATACACGTGTCCAACAGTGTAAAGTAACTACATCATTACAGAGGGATAGATGCAGGAACCCAGTACATTTTGTTCCCATTACACACCAAATATAAACATAACCTTCAACAAGACAAAGCTATTATGAACAGCCATATACTTTTTATTCATGACCACTGATCCTTCAAAACTCATTGTCATGCTGACTGTATCTATTTTCCTCATTCCACATATATTTATGCATTGGCACGTTTGGTCATGTAGTCATTAGCCCAGTGTACAATCTGTGTTAAGGCATCCAGCATGATGTGCTCATTCATACCGGTCTCCTCATGATAGTTGCACACAGGGAAGATGCAGTTTGTTGGGACACCCAGTGCATTACTGCATTCACGCATCTGGTTACACAGACGAAGACAGACACACATACACAGAGTCATTCATTTTCCAAATACAGTCCAGCAACTAAGAATCTCTTTATAGATGTCCACACAAGTTCTCACAAGCAAATGAACTCACTTTATCCCTGATCTTCTTGCTTTTGTAGACATCACGCAAATTGGCCTTTGTCATTGGGCATGCACGATCCACTCTGGTCAGGAAAACCACTTGAGGGATACCTGTACCATAGATGATCGGGAGACGAGAAAAACACAAGAAAAACTGACTTGTGGCAAAGGCGGCATCATATGACAGTGCCACATTTAAAGTAAGTGCTAGAGGTCTTAGCAATAGATGTGGCTGAGACACCTGAACTCAAAAAGTAACAGGGGTGTCCACATACTTTTGGCCGCATAGTGTAAAGTACAATGATGTATTATAACATTTCTTTCTATGAGTTGCAGAATTATATACTTGTCATTACGGATATAGTTATCAGGGCACATCAATATTTGTGATCTCTATCACATACGACATCTGCCATGACATGTTTATGGCAACGTTATGTAGGAGAGCTCAAGTAAAGTGTTACCAGAATTTTCTAATATGCTGACTCACCCATTTTGCTTGCTATGGCTCTGACAGCCTTCATCCTTTCGATGAAGTCATCTTTAATCAGTGCAAGCTTGTCTGCTGGTATAATGTTCACCAGGCAGTGCATCGTGTCATTCAGGGTTGGATTATCCCGGTAATATTTGTTTCCTTCAGACAGTGGGTATTTAGAGTTGAACTAAAGTGAAGAAAAGCAGAATAAGATGTTTCTGTGACACCAGCCAAAAACTAAGAATGAGAATTTTTACATATCTAAGAGAAAATTTTGATCTTACAGTGTAGCCCTCGATCACGTGTCCTTTCAGAGCACTGATGATGTCATCAGTGAGCAACCCTTCACACTTCTCCTTTTCTATGCCCATGATGTCATTGAAGGCAAAAGGAAACAATTCACCCTGCGCCACTGAATATTTCTGATACTGTAAAAAAGTGCAAAAAATACAATAACAATAATAATAATTATAGCAATAATAATAATTATATATTATGTACTCCTAAAACTGCACCAACACTATTTTTTACTAGCAATTCATATTATTCTAAAACATCTCATCCATTGTGCTGGTTGGTTTCTGGTCTCTGTAGCATTAAAAATTGCATGTCATCAATTGTTTACAGATAAAGTATGCTTTTTCTTTTTGATCTTCTCCCCATTCTCCTGACACCCCCAAACCCAGATTTATCAGATAATGAGGTATGATTCAAACACTCCAAAGAAGAGTCCAGTGTGCTTTACACCACTCCAGCTGACACTTAGGCTTGTGTGTTAGCAATGAGTGTGATTAAAATAATTAGGAGGGATGTCCACACACTTTTGGCCATCTAGTGTGCTTTGTCAATGAGTAATACAAATCTTTTCTAGTTAATTTAATTTCTTTTTAAATCACATCTTGAGATAATGAGTCATTATTTTTACTGAATTAGTCATAGTTTGAACCTGAAAACTCAAAGTTTCTTTTTTTCTGTTCAAATGAAAATGGGCTTCAATGAAATAAGCATGTGGTTATATTACACGGATCATATGTTAATTACAAAGTTAATTTGCATGGTAGTGCAACTAAACAGTCCTACTAAACAGGCCATCCCACCAGTACAAAGTGACAGTAGATGTTAGGAAATTAGTGCCTCTCTTAGTAAATCTCCCTGAAAAACTGATTAACAGAAACCAAAACTGGTTTTACAAGAAGTATTTGAGTAAAGAAGTAAAATATAAAGTTATACCAGCTGTCACTGCCAATTTTAAAGGAATTTTAGCCCTTACCGTTGATGTAATTGTCACTAATTTTTAATAAAAGTTAGCTACACTACATTTCAACAGGAGCCGTGATTATTATTAGTTGCTGTCCATTAAAGTTCTCATTCTAGCAGCTGTGTACCGTGTACTCACATAAATGGTGTGACTCGTAGAAGACTCTGCTGCAGCCAGACAATTGATGAATTGACGTCCTTCAAAAATAGTTTTGATGGTGTTTATGATGCTGGATTTCCCAGCTCCAACTGGTCCATACAGAAGGTAACGGAGCTCTCTAACTTTGTAGTTACTAATTTTAAAGCTCTTTAGTTTGCTGATCATTGGACCTTGTCTGGAGAAAAAAAAAATAAAAGTTAAGCTTTCTCTTATAAGGAAGCATGAGATAAACAACATTTCAGTTGTTCAAATATTCATAAAACAGTTCTGGCCTGAAAATTTTAACTTATTTACTTAACTAGTTCTAGAACGTTTCATCTAGCTAACAGGCGAAACAAATCCTTCATTAATATCACAGGCTATGAATGTGAAGTACTTATTTTATATGATTCACTGTCATTTGCATGGAAGTTATCCTCCTAAAGAGGCCACCCCCACCAGTGCAAAGTGACTGCAGATGTTAGGAATTTAATGCCTCTCTCAGTAAATCTCCCTTAAAAATCAGAACCCAAAACTGTAAGACGGTAATATAAAATAGTGAAGAATCTTTCGCCTGAATGCCTCACATACTTCAAATGTCCATGCTGAAGTTGAATAAAGCAATATAACCCAACTGCAGAGCTGCAGCACCACATTTTCGGGCTTGCTCTTTCTGCTCTTTTACACTATGGGTGTGTCTCAAAACCTAGTGAGCTCTCTCAGTAGCCGCTGTCAACATAGGCAGCTGTCTAAGTAGGCAGCGTTCCAACCGTCATCTATCCTTATAAGGCAGATAAATGAGACGCTCTAGATAGACAGCAGTGATGTCACCGCTTGTTCCCGCCCACTGCACGAGACCGGCGTTTACTTACCTCAGCCATCAGAATCACAGTTAGCCAACATGGATCTGCTCTGGCGGTTTATATAGCGATTTTAATTGTATTTGCTCTGAATGAAACAGCGAAATAGACAATAGTTGTGGTCAAACGTGGAAAGTATAGGCTATTTGTGCACCTTTGTGACTAGAAAAAGATAAATAAACAGAAAATCAGAATGACTTACATTTGAAGATGACGTCACTGCTTGGTGAAGCGCTTCTGCCCGCCATCTTCAAACAAAAGTTGCGCCGTGCTGCATCATGGGATTGCCTCAGCAGCTGAGAAAACATCCGATGCTCTCTTGATATTCGGTCTCTTGAAATGAGGCACCTCAGTAGGCAGCATATTTGAGATATCTAAGAATTGGGACAGCCTTCTTGTCGGGAGCGCGCATATTGTGACATAAAATGCTGTCTATGTAGAGCTCACTAGGTTTTGAGATATTTTGGAAATGCAGCCACATTTTCAACTGTCTTAAGAGTACAGGCAGATTGAACTTACATTACACTACTCTCATTAGAGGACAGAAACTATTTTTAAAAGGGAAACTGTGTATTAATTATCACATTTTTTGGTTCTTATAGTACTGGTGTATATTTTTGTGTATACAGTAAGACCACGATGAATATACAAACCAGTACAGAAAGACAAGACCACATTCACACCAACCACTGCTCATTTATTCACTTTTCTACAGTTCTTTATTAATTTGCAGTATACAGCAAAGCACCACAAGGAACATATGCTAGTACAGAAAAATCAGACCACATCAACTGCCTTTTTGTACTGTATATTCTAAGGGTGCTGCAGCTTTTAATATCAAACTGAGCCCTGTCCATACCCCCCAGATTATCTATAGACATTTTGCATAAATCTTTTGAATTGAGTTTAAGCTTTCCAAAAAATACTACGCACTGCCTTCCATGGCCCGCATGTAATAAAATGCGGTATACAGTAGCTACTGTATCCAGGTCAGAGAGTGTGGCACTGCGGTGGCAGTGGCTCTGCAGTTAGACTTTTCACATGGCTGAATCCCAAATGATGATATGTTAGAGATATTATGTCATGCATGTAGGGAATAGGGAGCTATTTGAGATTGATCCCAGCTTGGAACAGGACATACAACTGTGTTAGCTTGGTGCTAATAAGACTGGAAATCACATAGAGGCAGTAACTGAAATTAGCATTGCAGTAATTTGAGCAAAAGCACTTATAAAGCAAGGATTTTTGCATTACACACTGCTACTTTATGCTATAAGTGCATTTTGCTCTGGTTTTACTATGCTAATAACACGTAAGGTTGTGTATAAATATATAAATGTCTGTGTGGTTTTGACATTGCTTTATTTTTTATCACATTGACATGAAAGAATGGTTTTGGACTTACTTCCATTGCACTGTCCTCCATTCATTGAGTTCTGTAAGAAACACATGATGAAACAAGTAAAGCACTGTTTCGAACAACTTTTCATGGCTACATTTCTGAATATTTTTACTAGTACAACCTCATTTCCAAAAAAGTTGTGACGCTGTGCAGAATGTAAATAAAAATAGAATGCAATGATGTGCAAATCATATAAACCATGTTTTTAAAGGAAAATACTATAAAGACGACATATCAAATGTTGAAATTGAGAAGTTTTATTGATTTTTGAAAATTATATGCCCATTTTGAATTTAATGCCAACAACACATTCCAGAAAAGTTGATGCGGGCATGTTAACCACTGTGTTTCATCACCTCTTCTTTTAAAAACACTCTGTAAGCATTTGGAAACTGAGGAGACACTGCTGTAGTTTTGAAAGTGAAATGTTTTTCTATTCTTACTTTACCATTTACATTTCAGGGTCTTCTACCGAGATTTCTCCAGATTTTCTGAATATTTTAATGTTATTGTGTACCATAGATGATGACAAGCTAAAGTTCTGTGCTGTTTTACGTTGAGAAATATTATTCTTGAATTGTTGCAATATTTATGCTTATGCAGTCTTTCATAGAGTGGTGAACTCCTCCTCATCTTTACTTCTGAAAGACTCAGCCTCTCTGGGAGGCTCTTTTTATACACAGTCATGTTACTGACCTGTTGCCAATCAACCACCAAGTGGTTATTTAGCATTACACAACTTTACACAACTACCAGACATGAAATGTTGTCTTTGCACTATTTTCAATTAAATTCAGGGTTTAAATGATTTGGACATCGTGGCATTTTGCTTTTATTTACGTTTTGCACAGTGTCCCAACTTTTTCGGAAATGGGGTTGTAATAATAATAATAAGAAGAAGAAGAAGAAGAGAAGAAGAGGAAGAATTATAATGACTCTTTAATTTAGCATTGGGCAGGCTTCTATACAGCAAAATGAGCATTTTCATTTCTGTGGTGACCACTATTCATGACAAAAGTTCATTAATATTTTCTCTATATCCTACTTCAATCTCTAACATTACAATCAATGATTAACAGCTGTAAGTTGCAAGAATTTATTTTAAGCCCTGAATTCATCTTGAGTTTAAATAATAGTCCCCAACACTGAAAGAAAAGTCACTAACACTTTATTTGAACCTAACTTTGACATAATCCTGCCATATCATAACAGATTATGTCAGGCAATATATCATTGCCATGAAAATTGTCATGTTAGATGTCACAATGCATGTAACATGAGCTTTCATGACAAATCATGACGACATATGATACGTACCGCAGCATGTTTATGGCATGGTCAGATTGTTGTGATATAGCAGGGGTCAGCAGGGACTGTTCTATGTAGCGAAGAACAGTAACACCTTTGTAAATTCTCTAATCACTGGAGTGCAGAAATCGTACATACCAACAGTGACCTTGGCAGAGCATGAGACACTACCCACGGAATTTTTCAGGTTTAATGTATAGATTCCTTCATCTCCTTCCTGAGCATTTACTATTTCCAAGATACACTTTGTGCCAATTTGTCTAATTTTGTGCTTGTCCTGCACACATGCCAAGCTCTGGTTGTTCTTCTGCCACATTGCAGTGAATTCTTCTGTGTTTGCCTCACAGCGAAGGATAATAGTTTGTCCAAGTTCTACTTGTTTGTCAGCCAAAATAGTGACAAATTCTACAAGAAAGAAGAGAATATTAGAAAAAAAAACATAAAAAAACCTCATTTAACAGTAAATGCAACCATTACAAAGTTTCAGATAACTGGAGACAGGTAGAGCCTGCCTCAAAGAGGACATGAATTTTGTCCTCATGTAAAGAGAGGAGGCAAATATTTCTTAATAAATCACAAATGGTCTCCACAAGTCTTCACAATCATAAAAGTTCACTGTAAAATTGCAGTAAATGGCTGGCTGCTAGTTGCATTACATTGACAGCAATTTACTGTACCAAAATAACAGAAAAGAATAGTACAATAGCAACTGTATATCATGACTCCACAGTCATTTGCACCACATGGGACAGTCTTGTATCCTTTATATATACAAAATTACAGTAAAATAATGTAATAATAATAATAATAACAATAACCCTGTAGCCAATAACTAACTGTAACTTTGCATATGAAAAAAAATCAGACCTATAAATATGTTTATTATATGCACAAAATAGCTCACATACATTTTTAAAATCCAAATAAACGTTTGAACTTTGCTTGTAATGTGCTCAAACATGACCAAAAACTCAAATCTGGTAATAACAATGAACTTAACAAATTTGTCAACACTTCAGTGTTCCAGCATTAAAAAAAGAAAAACTTTAATAATGGCGTGTACTGGCACAAATTGCCAGTGCAACAATACGATAAGACCCTTAATTGACCCCCATAAGACACCTTAGTTGACGGCTTGGCAGAGGAATGCTTTCACCAATACAAATGGCTGGAGTTCAGTAAACAACATTGAAACTGAGTTTCATGCTCAGGTGATACAAGAATTATTTTTAAGCAACTAAAACCAGAGATGGGTCTGTAATCTAACACCTTTAAAAAGAATAAAAGAATCAAAGAATATCAACGAAAATGAAAAATAATAAAAAGGGATGAAAAAAGACTTCAGCGCTTGTGTGAGTTCTTGTGGAAAGAAGGAAAAGGCCTTCACTTTATTGAGCATCAAATGGCCCGGTCAACCTCAATGCGAATTGTCTCAAAACATCCCTTTTTATTCCCCTCTGGGGTGATGAGGTAATCTTCCTGCCCCTTTTTACACAATTCCATACCATTTTAGTCCCCACCTTGCACCTTTTTGGTAACCTTTAAACCTAAATGCATATGATGTCTTTTTTTAAAAAAAAACAAAAAAAAACCTTACTCTGGTCTGACTCTTACCATCCTGTTTCCTCCATACAGGGCCCTCGTGCACAACTCTCCATAGGGCCATCTTACACAACCCTCCATATTTGTACAAAGGTGTACCTCAGCTATAACTTAAACTGTCATCTGGTACAGCTCCCTTCTGTAAGCTTAGAAGCTCACCCCCCATTAGAGAGTACAGTGCATACAGACCATAGTCTGCCCCCCCTATATTACCTTTTTAGGAGGGTTCCAAGCTCTCTAGTCAACCAATAATTAGTTTACTGATTGTTAATCAGGGAATGTTTTATCCAATCTTTTCCATCAAAATGATGTTAGAATACATGGTATTATGGAGTTCATGGAATTCCAGATTTTACATCAAAATCTGTTTGCATCAGCCAGGAGGATTAGGCCCAGTCCCATTTCTTGTTTTTACCCCTACATCTTGTTTTCGAGTGTCACCCTAACCCCTTTAAACTGAGTTACAAGGGGTAGTGGTTGAAATCTTGCTCTATGAAATGGGACAACCCTCAGATAAAACATTGCTTCATTAACAGCTACTAGCGCTGCTCTGTAGGCGACCCAGCGCATCTTCAGTGATAGCAGAGAAGGGAAAGTTCAGCTCCTCACTGCTGGGCTTTAGTTACATTTAGGGCATCATATGATTTCAAAGAGGTATAAGACAATTATTTATTATCACCCACCCCTAATTCTTCATTGATATGAAGCTGAAGTCAGATATTCACCAGTTTCTTGTTCGAATTTTCCCGTTCCACCTTAAATCGTGCAGCAGTTACATTCTGGCGCTTCAGGCATCAACACTGCTAGACTATTTAAGGTGGAACAGGAAGTTAGCTAGCTACCAAAACATTAGCATGCTATTAGCAATTTTTATGCTTGTTATGAAGAAAACAACCATAATACATTGAAACTAAGATAATACAAAATTCTCACATTTGTGGGTTTCTTTGGTCACTCGCGCAGCCATCTTGCCAGTTTTTCTTTTTTTCACTCTGTTTGGAGTGTGACTCTAAAAAACCTCCGTTTGGAGGGCCATGTAGCCCTAACACTTCGCCCTACCCCTCTATCTCAACAAAAATTGGGACACCCTAACCCTAGATGTGAACTATGTGAACTTTTAGAAATGCAGAATTAGGATTAATTACATGTGATTGTCCCTGTGTGGGGTACAGAGTTATTGCATGAACAAGAAGAATCATGTCATCACTGTTTAGAGGTTAAATTATACACATTATGACATTTGTAATGATTATTACTGGTAATGGTAACATAACAATGAACAAAATGTGTGACATGTTTATGTCACAGTTATATTAATGTTATGTAGCAACGTTCAAGTAAAGTGTTGCTAATTATGCTTCTCGATATTGTCAAGTATGTCAAATTGTACTGTAAACTAGAAGCTAAATTAGACATTAAATTGCTTAAAACTTAAACTTACCAGGTGTGGACTGTGATGATCCCATGTTTGAATCTATGTAATTTAAGACAAAAAAGAGATGATGTTATTATATTACTTAACCCTAATATTAACCAAAACCTAATCTTAAACCTCACCTTGGCTCTAATCCTAACCCAAACCTCAAGCTCAAACCAACACCTAATTCTAATCTTAACCTTAAGATCCCTAAGAGCCTTAAGCTCCAGTTACAGAATAAGTGTTGTTGAGGATGTTGAGATGGTCTGTATTATTCCTGTTACATGTTCAGTGACTTTTCAGGTTAAACATCTACAGGTATGAACTTGGAAGCTCCAAATAACCACATTATCAGGTTACCAGATTTCCTCCAGATCCAGCCTTGATGTCTGCAGTTCTTAACAAACGTACTTCGTCTTGTTTCTGTTTACATATTCTAGAAGGCTTGGTGTGAAAGTGGAGCAGGTTTAGCAGCTTTAGCAAGTTTAAGCTAACCGAAGGCTTTGGAATGCTGCGCTTCAGTGACCAGTTGCACCAACTTTACATTCAGCTGAGAGTTTAAACATAGAATAGTTTAAATGGTGATCACTATGTTTAGGTTAGCTCATTAATAAATCAAAAACACAAACTTACTTTTAAAGTTGAGCTTAGTAGTTACTAAAAATATACAACTCAACTATTTTGTCATTGGGGTTTGTTTCCTACCTAGAATTGAGAGAAAATGTAGACTAAACATGATTTCCAGTCGTTCATTACCTTTAATGCTACAAGATACTCTAAGACTGCACTAGACAAGGAATTGCACTAATTTTTCAAAAATGCCTATGTAATAAAATTGTTATTACGAGTGGTTTTGTTGTGAAATGGTTCATTGTAGAGAAACTTACCGACTCAAATATCATTACAATACTGGTGAGGTGAATCAGGGGTCACAATGGCTTCCATGCAAATGTAGTCATTTTATTTAAGTTCCAAAATGGCATTATTGTTTATTTACCATTCCAAATAAGATGCCAAAATCATAGCTCAAAACTATCATAAACAATGTCTCAGGCATCAAGCAGCATACCAACAAACATTTTGTGTTATAGTTTTCTATGAGGTTGCTTTAAGAGGCAGTAAACGCTGCGGACGTCTGGAACCTGACTTGGTAAGGTTCTGTAGAATAGCATTACATCAAACATCAAACATCTGCATGACTTTGTGTACATAATTTGATTACGCAGACATTCTCTTTAATCCATATCTAAGAAACTCATCTTGCATTAATCCACACAAAGTCTTTATCTTAAAGCTATTTCCCAGCAGCTTGACTCACATTTTATATGTGTGAAGTGGTGCTGATGTGTCTGACTGTTGATCTGTGTCTACAGGTCTTTCTGCCTTAACATTTATACACATGCTCTCGTTCTACTTTCACTTTCAGTTGTATGAAGTATGTATGGGAAGGGCTTGTGGGAAGGTATAGAGAAAGTAGGAATGCACCCAAATTTTGGCCACTGAAATTTTTGGCTGAAAGAGAAAAAAGGCTGAAAAAGAGCAAATAATGAAATATATCTATAATAAAGACACTCAACCTTTTCATGTCCTCACCAAGAAAAAAAGAAATGGAATTCTATTTATTTATTTATTTTGGGGCAATAATAAAAACAATAGGTGTTTTTTTCTTTTGACCCCAACATTTTTAAAATATTCATGTCTATCCAACAATCGAGATGGCACTTTGTGGCATATATAGTGAGTCAAAATGTGCTCTACCAAATGGTTAAGCAGAACATTAAAGGGTCAAGGAACAATTTGAATAGTAATGAAAAAGAGAACATATTTATTTATTATTATTGACAACATATTTATAAACACTATTTACTCACTTCACTCTCCTGCACCAGTTCAGCACAGATGTGTTCAAAAAGTTTGAGCAGCACTAGATCAACAGTGAAAATGTACAGCATACACTCAGTACAACAGACGTCATTGAGAAATATGGTTTTTAACATCTAATTTTGAAAATTGTCACTGCAAACACATAAATTCATGAGCCTGCTCAGGTTTACTGTGGTGTCTTCTCTAAACGACAAACACTAAAGTGACTTGTAGTCACTAAAGTGACCTTGCTAGAGAAACTTCAGGCTGCTAGGCAGGAGTTCCAAAGTCCGTGTTCTTTATATATTAAAAAATAAGATGTTTTCCATCGCTATAGTGAAGATGCTGTAGAATTCAGCTTTAGATGCCTTTGGGAAACCATAAAGTATTCATTTTCTTTACAATTTCACAACTTTTAATAAAACTTAATTCTGAAAAGGTTGGGACAGTATTTGAAAGGCAAGAAATAAAAGAATAATAAGTAATTTCTTTTTTATTTATGTTAAATAGAAAAAAAGTACAAAAACACAATATCTGACGTTTTACTTGATTAAATAGTTAAAAAAAATGCTCAAACCATCTTTTTCAATGTCAAAGTTTTTTTTTTGTTGCTGTTTTGTTTTTTGTTTGTTTTTGTCTTTGTTTTTTTTTGGGGGGGGCGCGTTGATATAAATATCTTTGCCTGCAGTCTGCACCATCTATATCTCATCCTTTTAATTGAATGACGTCAATGAGGCGTCATTGAGTGGAAACACCATTAAGCCAACTAATCGATAACTTGATTTATTGTCACTAATTTTTAGCATCAATATTATCAATAATGTTAATTAGTTGTTGCAGCCCTACTGTGAACACTTTGTCACGTATTCATGAGCTGAGTACACAGCCTGTGTGAAGGCCTCCAGCATCAGGCAGTTCAGCTCCTCGTTCAGATTGGTCTCCTCATGATAGTTCTTCAGAGGGAAGATGCAGTTCACAGGGACTCCCAGTCTAGTGCTGCACTCTTCCATCTGGAAACACAGAGCAGCATTACTTAATCAGCTAAAGGATTCCAAGGATGTCCATGTAAAAAGATAGAAAGACATACAGTGGTGCTTGAAAGTTTGTGAACCCTTTAGAATTTTTTGTATTTCTGCATAAATTTGACCTGAAACTTCATCAGATTTTTATACAAGTCCTAACAGTAGATAAAGAGAACCAAATTAAACAAATGAGACAAAAATATTAGACTCGGTCACTTATTTATTGAGGAAAATGATCCAATATTACATATCTGTAAGTGGCAAAACTATTTGAACCTTTGCCTTCAGTACCCAGTATGAACCCTCTTGTGCAGCAATAACTGCAAATAAACGTTTCCGGTAATTGTTGACTAGGCCTGCACAACAGCTTGGCAGAATTTTAGCCCATTCCTCCATACAAAAGAGCTTCAACTCCATTATGTTAGTGGGTTTCCTCCCATGAACTGCTTGCTTCAGGTCCTTCCACAACATTTCTAGGACTAAGGTCAGGACTTTGACTTGGCCTTTCCAAAACATTCACTTTATTCTTCTTTAATCATTTTTTGGTAGAAAGACTCGTGTCTTGCTGCCTGACCCACATTCTCTTGAGTTTCAGCTCATGGACAGATGTTTACTGATATTTTCTTTTAAAATTTGCTGGCATAATTCAGAGTTTGCAAGCCGTCCAGATGCAGCAAAACAGGCCCAAACTATGATACTACCTCCACCATGTTTCACAGATGAGATAAGGTTTTTATGGTGGAATGCTGTGTTTTCCTCTCTCTCAACATAACGCTTCTCATTTAAACCAAAAAGATCTATTTTGATGTCATCCATCCACAAAACATTGTTCAAATAGCCTTCTGGCTTGTCCATGTGATCTTTAGTAAACTGCAGAAGTGCAGCAATGTTCTTTTTGGAGAGCAGCAGCTTTCTCTTTGGAACCCTGCCATGCACAGCATTGTTTTTCAGTGTTCTCCTGATGGTGGACTCATGAACATTACCATTAGCCACTGTGAAACAGGTGTTAAGTTGCTTAGAAGTTACCCCGGGGTTACTTTGTGACCTCGCGCACTATTACACGCCTTGCTCTTGGTGGGATCTTCGTTGGTCGACCACTCCTGGGGAGCGTAACAGTGGTCTTGAACTTGTTCCATTTGTACACACTCTGTCTGACTGTGGGTTGCTGGAGTCCAAACTCTTTAGAGATGGTTTTGTTACCTTTTCCAGCCTGATAAGCATCAACAACTCTTCTTCTGAGGTCCTCAGAAATCTCCTTTCTTTGTACCTTCACGTGTTGTGAAGATCAGACGGTGATAGATTCATTTTCTTTAAATAAAACAGGGTCACTAACACCTGATAGCCATCCCATGAAAACAACTGACTCTAATTTCATCTTCAAATTATCAGCTAAACCTAAAGGTTCACGTAGTTTTGCCACTTACAGATATGTACTATTGAATCATTTTCCACAAAAAATAGTGATGAAGTCTAATATTTTTGTCTCATTTGGTTCATTTGGTTCTCTTTATCTACTATTAGGACTTGCATGAAAATCTGATGAAGTTTGAGGTCAAATTTATACAGAATAATAGAAAATAGAAAAAGCACCACTGTATCAGCACTAGCAAAAGGACTCACTTTCTCCCTAATCTTCTTGCTTTGGTAGATCTTGGCCAAATCTCCCCTTGTCATTTTGCACACCTTGTCCACTCTTGTCATGAAAACCAGCTGAGGGATTCCTGCAGCACAGACAGCAGAGATACATGGATATTTAACAGTCTAATCATTCTACTAATGAAGCTCTAAGGTGGCCCCTGCAGGGGCAGTGAAGGCTTGCTTGCTGGGTAAAGACCCCCTGCACTCAAACATGTGGTTTTAAATTGTAGATTGATATTTGCACCAAATGTGTTAAGATTTTTTATCTTTCATACTTTCTTCACTTGTTCTACTCGTTGAATTAAATGACAGATATAAGAGTGAACTCACTTAATTTACTGGCTTCTGCTCTGATGGTCTTCATTTTCTGGATAACATCATTCTCCAATATAGCAATTTTGTCTGCTGCAATAACACTCACTAGGCAGTGAATCTTATCATTCACACTCGGATTTCTGATGTAATTTTGAGTGTTTTCACACAGTGGAATTCTGGAGCAGAACTAAACATGAGGGAAAAAAAAACAGTTTAAGTTTACTTTGTTTTACTAAAACAACATAGTCAGGTTGTTTGTGTGTATGTGTGTGCATGCATGTGTGTTTGTTTGTGTGTGTGTGTGTGTGTGTGTGTGTGTGTGTGTTGTTCTTACGTTATATTCATTTGGCATATGACCCTTTAAGGCACTGATGACGTCATCAGTGTGCAGTCCTTCAGACTGACCGCTGGCAATACCCATCATATCACAGAAGGCGAAAGGATAAGTTCCAATAGTGTGCTTCTGGTACTGGAAATACATAAATAAATAAATAAATAAATAAATAAAATATAATACAATATAATATAATATAATATAATATAATATAATACAATTTTACAGATAAATGACCAGGGTGTTGATTGCCAATATATTTGTAAGAAAAAAAAAAAATAAATAAATAAATCAACTTCAACCTCTCACAAAACATTCCAAGTTTCAGTATCTTTCTGTTTCACACTGAATTCTAGTAAACTTAGCTAAAGTTACTGTTATCCAGCATTAGCAGTAGTCAACTTTCAACTTATAATAATAACACTTTACAGTAAATGCACATTAAGTAGCTTTAATTTAGGCATTATTTCATGCGTGAGTAATCATTAATTCATACATGTAATACATCATAAGTGATCATGAATATGCATAAAGTAACTATGTCTCATTGAGGCCTTAATGGAGAAGCAATATATTAATTCAGAAAGTCACTAATTTACCAATACCAGCAGTTAAAATCAGTTATTCATGATGTTTATATATGTCTTCATGATAATCAGCACCTAAACTGTGGGAAAAACTGAATGGTGAGCCATCATCTCATAAGAGAGGAGAGTTAACCCTTTAAAATTTCAGGCTTATTACACACTAAGGCTCATTATTCAGTCACTACAGTGAGTTCAGTGCAAACTGGTGGAAATATTTCTACATTATAGAAGTGTGTAATGCCCACCATATATATATATATATATATATAGCACATCCCTTGTATGTCCATTAGCTTGTAGCTAACATGTTAGCTTGTGGCTAGTGGATTAGGTTGTGACTAGTAGGGTAGGTCATAACTAGCAGTTTAGATCCCAGCAAGCAGGTTAGTTTGCGACTAGCGCATTAGCTCGTGGGTTAGCCTGGGGATGCAGTGTCTCTTACTACAGCCTGGGGATGCAGTGTCTCTTACTACAGACTGTAGGAGGGCAAAGCTGGACGTCCATTTCCAGTGTTTCACTTTGATAGCCACATTCCATCCTCCAACTTGCGGGGTCCTTGAGGTAAATGTAAATGTAGATTATAATTTAATGAACTTTGTTTATATGCCAGCACTGGAGTAACACTGGTGGTGGTGTGTTAGTGTGTGAATCAGACACAGCAGTGCTGCTGGAGTTTTTAAACACCTCAGTGTCACTGCTGGACTGAGAATAGTCCATCAACCAAAAATATCCAGCCAACAGTGTCCTGTGACCACTGATGAAGGACTAGAGGATGACCAACACAAACTGTGCAGCAGCAGATGAGCTATCGTCTCTGACTTTACATCTACAAGGTGGACGGACAAGGTAGGAGTGTCTGATAGAGTGGACAGTGAGTGTTTAAAAACTCCAGCAGCACTGCTGTGTCTGATCCACTCGGACCAGCGCAACACGCACTAACACACCACCACCACGTCAGTGTTGAGAATGATCCACCACCCAAATATTACCTGCTCTATGAGGGTCCATGGGGGTCCTGAGCACTGAAGAACACGGTAAAAGGGGGCTAACAAAGTATGCAGAGAAACAGATGGACTACAGTCTGTAACTGTAGAACTACAAAGTGCACCTATATAGTAAGTGGAGCTGATAAAATGGACAATGAGCATAGAAACAAGGAAGTGGTCATAATGTTATGCCTGATCGGTGTATTTTCATTTGTTTATGATGCTGCCAAATTCTGTCCTGGAGGTTAATTGTTGAAATGTTGGGGAGCAACATTTTTCTGGAGCAATCCAGCCATTTAAGTGTGAATTATAATGGATAAGTAATTTGTTTTAATTGTTATTGTTTATTCAGTTAAAGTTTGTGTTAAATAGTTTGGAGATTTGTTAATTTAATAAAAAAATAAAATCATTATGGATCTTGGTTTCTTTATTATGATTGAAATTGTTAAATGTTACTCAATTGTGTGGGGTCAAAGGCCTTTGCGATGTTCTTTTATGATATACATATAAATTGTTGCTACATGTTTTAACCACCAAAGAACACTTACCAGGTTCAAAATAAAAATTGACTGCTTAATGAACAGTTTTCCTCAATTATTTTATCATAAACACAACAATGTGTATTTTCACAACAAGAATATTTTATCACTTTTTGAGGGCCACAGATATTATGGACCCATGAAGGAGCAATGTTTTAGTAATAATAAATATATAATTTAACACTCTAACTATGAGATGGTGGCTGACCATTCCGTTTTTTTTTCACAGTTTAGGTGCTGACTATCATGAAGACCTGTATGAACATCATGAATAACTGATTTTAACTGCTGATATTGGTACCTTAGTTACTTTATGAATTAGGATATTGTTCCTCCACTAAGTCATGAATGAGACATAGTTACTTTATGCATATTCATATTCACTCATAATATATATAATGTATGAATTAATCATTATTGACATATGAAATAAGGCATGAATTAATACTATTTCATGTACTCTTACTTTATAGTGTTACCGAATGTATAGTTTCATAAATATATGAGTAAGATACTATGGGCCAGATGTATGTACAAGTGCAGATGAAGCATGAAGTGTGATTTGACTGTATAAATATCAATTTATTAACATAGGCTATACATAACCAACTTATAACCAATTTCATAAATCAAATTGGTAACATTTGGAATATGTTTTTTTGGCCAAATAACATTTTTACTCACATTAATTGTAAAATCACATGAATCTGAAGCAGCCAGGCAGTTGATGAACTGATGCCCTGCAAAAATGCTTTTAATGGTGTTGATGATGCTGGTTTTTCCTGCTCCAACTGGTCCAGCGAGAAGGAAGCGTAGCTCTCTGACTTTCCTATTACTAATTTTGAAGTTCCGTAGGGCTGTGATCAGTGGATGTTGACTGGGTAGAAAAAAGAAAACCAACAGTCAGGTCATAGTACCAGAGAAAAAACAGGAAAAACAATCACATTAATGTTGCACAACTAACTATAATTTTAAGCGTGTCCATTACTGCAGTTCAAAATACATCCAGTAGGTGGACACTATAGCTAAAAATAGTCATTTGGGATTCAGCCACATCCATGCTCGACAAATAGTGCTCTGTTTGGCTGTTGAAGCTAGAATTTCAAAGTTTACATGGCACAGTATTTAAGGAGTACAGAGCTGTTTGAGATTCAGCCTCAGTTTCATACTACAAGTGACATTATTTAGACTTTACATGACAGTTTACAGTGAATCATATAATAAGTACTTTAATTCAAGCTTGTGATTTTAATGATTGAGTTGTTTAGTCTGTTACTATCTTTTAGCCTGTTAGCTAACAATTCATTGCTGTTGTAAAACTTGCAGAATGTGGTTTGGCTTTGTCTTCCTGAAATAAGAAAGACCCTCCCTGAAAAAGACATTGTTGAAATGGCGGAAGATGTTGCTCCAAGACCTGTTTATATTGTTCAGCATTAATGCTGCCTTCACAGATGTGAAGTCACCCTTGTCATGTGCAGTAATGTACCCCCATGCCAACACAAATGTTGTCGAACTGTGTGCTGATAACAAGCCGGACGATCCCTCTCCTTTTTGGCCTGGAGAATGTGGAATTCTTGATTTCCAAAGAGAATTTCAAATTTTGATTCGTCAGATTGCAGGACGCTTTTCCATTTTACCTCAGTCCATCTTAAATGAGCTCAGGCCCAGAGAAGGGGGAGGCATTTCTGGATACTGTTCATATATGGCTTCTTCTTTGCGTGGTGGAGTTTTAACTTGCATTTGTTGATGTAGCGACAAACTGTGTTCATAGACAATGGTTTTTGGAAGCGTTCCTGAGCTCATGGAGTGATTTCCACTAAAGAATCGTGTCTGTTTTTAATGCAGAGATCATGGTCTTCCAATAGTGGTTTTCAGCCTTGTCCCTTGCATGCAGAGATGTCTCCGGATTCCCTGACTCTGTAAATGATATTATGTACAATTGTCAGGTGTACTACCTGCCATCGCCACCAGAGGTCAGCCTCACCTGAATACTGACGGACTTCCTAGTTTCACCCTGACCCATCTCACCTGCAGCTCATTTACCTACCTATTTAAGGACCTTCAGTAACATTGGCTCACTGCGAAGTATTGCCAGTTTACCTGCATACCAAGCCTTGTTCCTTCTAGACTATTGATGATTTTGGATTACCCTGACCCTTTTTCTGAACTCTTGGACTCTGCTTTTGATCTCCCCTTTTGGTACTTTTGCTATTTTGTGTACGTTTCTGGTTTTTGACTTTTGGACTGTTTTGGCTCAGATTCTGGCTCTGTGTTTTTGAGTAAACGGGTATCATGGATTCCAATCTGCCTGGAGAGTCTTCCTTACAACAGTAGACTATTTGCCTGTCACCAGGTGGTGTTGTTTTTTTTTTTTGTTGTTGTTTTTTTTTGTGTTGTTTTTTAGCATCACACAACTTTACCAGTCTTTTCTTGCCACTGTCCCAACTTTACTGAAGTGTGTTGCTGGCATCAATTTCAAAATGGGCATATATTTTTGAGTTCAGTCATAGTTGGGTTGAGTTCAGTCATTTGGCTCTTGTTCCATGGCCTGAAGATTTGCTGGCTAGAGGGACTGAAGTCTACCACCCCCCTCACCAGACTTATCTGCCTGAAAGCGTGCTTGATGACAGCAGCACTGGTGTTCCCCTCCTTCAGCACTGTCAGACCTCACATCTTCATTCAACCATCATTGCTCGCTCGCAGCTCAATACAGAGCCACAACATTTCACACACAGTGAACCAACCGTGCCCTAGTTAATCTGATAACAAGCAAATGTGAACCCATGGTCCTTTAGGGCTTCCATATGTGTCAAACATCATAAGATTATTATTTCACTTTCTTATTATTGTTGTTTGGTGACTGCTTATAAGTAAGTAAAGTGAATGTGAACTGCAAGCTATGTGAGCATTGCGCTCATTGTGCCTGTGCTGATCTATTCAGCATGTTGCAATTGCTTATGTGCTTTGATCACATGATGACATGTTAACGAATGAATGTGGACTTACTTCCACTGGGCATTCCTCCATTCATTGAGTTCTGTAAGAAATAGATGAGTTACTGTAGGAGCAAACAAAACACTGTATACCACAAGAAAAAAAATTAACCAAAAAGATGCATACATGCAGAGTTAATAATATTAATAATAATATTTTAAACTTAATTTAGCATTAGTTTCAGGCAGGTAGCTTCTGTACTGTAACCACCACTAATGTCAAAAGTTCAATAATATTTTCTCCATAACCTTCATGATTAACAATGAAAAATTGATGGCTTTAACTGAATTCATCTTATGACTCACTGGAACTGACCACACTTCCATGCTGCCAATAATTACCAGTTCACAAATAGTATTATTTGGTGTTAACATAGATTACTGTATATAGTGTTCTACTACCAATTACCATTAGTTTAATTATATGTTATATTATTATGTTACATTTTTGCAAAAATTTCTTCTCAATTTATGAATTGCTAATTCGACCTCTAGCTAGGTCTCACCAATCATAAAATGCTAAAAAGCTGAGACAGTGAAGATTAACACATGCTTCCTCTAAGACATGTGAAGCACTACGCCGCCTTTTCGAACTGATGCTAAACATGCTTAGAGGAGAACGCAAACTGCCAACTGCATTACGCCAGCTAATTGACAGCCACAAAGGCTAGCATAATTTGAGGGTATTTACATCCAAATTGGGTGAACAGTTTAGAAATTACAACCATTTTTATACATATCCCCCATTTTTACGGGCTCAAGTGAAGCAAGCCATCATTAGGCTGAAAAATCAGAACAATCCCAAAAATTATGTGTGGCCCAATCAACTATTTGGTACATTCTTAAAAAGTGCAGACACACTGGTGAGCACAAAAGCACCCAAAGACCCATAAGACCATAGAAATCAAATGAAGTGGCTGGAAGAAGAATTTGTGAAGGAAACCCTTTCATAACAACCAGATCATGAACGCCCTCCAAGAGGTCGGCATATCTACCAACAAGCAAAGTCAACAATCAAGGGAATGCCCAACTGAACTCAATCAAAGTTTTACTGAAGGCAAAACTGAAGGTAACACAGTTAGCTGCAGTAAAGGCCTGGCAGAGCCTCACTTACCAGGGAAAAAAAAAAAAACAGCTTCTGGTGATGTTTATGGGTTACAGACTTCAGGCAGTCATTGACTGCTAAGGATTTGCAGTCAAGAATTAAAAAAAAAAAAAAAGTTTGTCCAATTACTTTTAAGCCCCTTAAAATTGAGGGATTTGTATGAAAATAGTTGTAATTCCTACATAGTTCACCTGAGTTGGATATGAATGCCGACAAATTAAAGCAGAGAGTTTGCTCTTTTTCATTGTTTAATAATTTAAACTCCAATATGCTCTGTTAAGCAGCTAAAATAGCAATAACTTTGTTGACATCCAAATATTTATGAGCCTGACTATATGAATTTGAGCAGTCTGTTACAGTAAGCAGGTGTAAATATAGGCCATATTCACTGGAGTGCAGAACTGATACATACCAACAATGACCATGGCAGAGCATGAGGCACTACCAGAGTCATTCCACAGTTTTAATGTGTAGCTCCCTTCATCTTCCTCTGCAGCGTTCCTGATTATCAAGGAAAACGTTGTCCCACTTTGTGTCATTGTGTGCTTGCCTTCCACACATTCCAATGCGCTCCCGTTCTTCTCCCACTTTGCTGTTACTTCTCCTATGTTTGCCTCACAGCGAAGAATAACATCTTCTCCTTCTTTCACTTGTTTGTCAGCCAAAACATTGACAAATTCTGTTGGAAACAGGTGGATGAGATTATTAGAAACAATAACGAAGGTTAATCTACATATGCCCATATTTAGCATATCTGAAAGTATATTTGGAAGCTAACAAAATCTGTTTTATATGTCAGTGGTGAAACTTTTATACTTTAGCAATAGTCCAGCAAAAAATCAAATTTACCATTATTTTCACACACCTCATATGTAGCTGATCAAAATATGTTTGGTGTTCAAAACATCACTTTAATGCTGGAGCTAGGAAGCTAACTTTGCTAGCAAAGCAAGTCAATAGTCACCCAGATCTTTTCTGTAAAACCCTCTCAAAATATCCAGCTGTTTATTAAGGTCATGCAGACTTGCTGATGTGGTTTAGGACACAGTATGATTTACTGTAACCAAAGCTTCATTGTGTAGCTGAATTCTAAGGAAAGCCTTTTGCTCACAATTTCTGTTGATTCTCTTTATAAATAAACGTTCATCTTGAATTTTCAAACTGAAGATAAATGCTCATATATAGACGATACAGAAATTGTAAATGGAATCCAGCATCCATATTCCAGCATGAGGCGCACACACTCAATGAGTTGCCCATTGACAGTGAAGTTTAGTTTATTTTTGTAGCTCACAATAAGCCATACTGTGTCCTAAACCACATTGGCAGGTCAGTGATATCATAATGGAGGCCTGGATGCATTTTGAGTGGATTAGGAGAGGTTTCTGGATGTATTAGGGAAAACATTTGGGTGTCTATTCCCTTCTAGTGTTTGTCAAGCAGTATTAGCCTCACAGCTCCAGTGCTACGCTAAACAAGCAAAATTTGGACTCCATGTCTTGGCGTATTGTCTACATCTGGAAAATTGTACACAAATAAGTGCAAAACTGCATAACCATTTTGGAAAATTGTATAAATTGTATTCATTTGAAAATATAGATAACCAGATAATATTATTTTGTTCTAGTTAAACATTTATTGAATAAGCGCAAGCGTGATTGTTTTAGTGTTATTGTCACATGAGAAGGCCTAATACTCTCACAGTGCGCTATAGAGGAATTTTATTAATCATTCTTCTATTGAAGCAGTAATACTTTACTAAATGACAACATTCGTAAGGCTACAACTGACTTAAACCTACATGCACATTTCTAAAGGCTTATTCCAAGAAGCATCAGCTGTCATAAAGACTACCTTTGTCACTTTGGCTGTCATTTCACATAAAGTAATTGTTAATGTAGCCCTGCTAAATAATCATTGATTGGGGTTTTGTTAATTGAAACAGTTCATATAATTTTTAATCAATATCAATAAACATTTATGTCTATTAATTTTGCCCTTTTTAATTGAGTTTTGGTTCATGAGCTTAACTCACTGTCATTGGCTTTGCAGGTAGAAAGGGACTGGACTTGTGGTGCGAGAGTGCGAGAATGTTCCGTGGTGATTGTGTAGCAAACGGACAGTAGTCTTTTGCTACAGTAGTTTTTGCAGATGTGTTATCAGCCCAAAATAATGAAAATGACTGTAATACTGTGAAACAAGTGGTGATAATGTCTTGTAATTACTTGTACTTATTATCCAGCAAGTTCGACAGTCTTAGAACTGCCCATTGGCCTAGCTTAGGCTAGGAGCTAGCCACTTTGCGGTAGCTCATTTTGGACTGTTTGGTTAGCTGAACCAAGCCTTATCCTGTCCAACCAAGCTCAAGACCTTGCTCGGCACTGGGCCATAATCAGTTAGCAGTTTGGATGACCGGCAAGCCTAAACTTCCACTGGCACTGTGGGAGTCTGCACTGCTAGCTGTCTCGGCTAGCTAGCCAAGCCACTCCGAGCTGCCCTGCCAGCATGATGCCACTGCCAGAGAAGAAGAGACTGAGAGAGAAAGTCTAACAGAGGGAGAGAGACAGTTCAGCAATGCTGTAAGTTATAACTACTGCTAACCTGTTTTGTTTGAATGAGGGGGCCATTGCTATTTTTTGGGCCTTGACGCAGCCTAGCAACCACACAGTCTTGTTTTTTTTTCCTTACAAACAAGTTAGGAACAGCAACTATTTAAAACACACACATACCATGAGTTAAAAATAATAATTTGTTAGAAGAAGAACACAAAGCAACCATATAATGATGACATTCAACATAGAAGGAGACGAAGGCTGGTTGTTTATCGCTTCATTAACATTTGTGAGTAAAAAAAAAAAAATAGACAGAAGAATAACTGTGTTAATCAACAGATTAATACTTATGTCACTAGAATGATTAAAAAAACTACTTAATAATTGCCAGAAAAAAAAAAAAATGTTCATTTGTTTCACACTGTGATTGACAAAAGCTGCTGGGAAATTTTTCAAAACCAAATCTTCCACTAAGAAAATCACTAACAAGATAAATAAATGACAGAATCTTAAAGTGAGTTTCCTTTACTCAAGGAGAGGTATACTGCAACAGCCTTGGTAGAAGTTGAATTTTAATCCGTTTGAGTTCATAATAGCTTCAGAATCGTTGGCTGAATTCATAGTAGCTTGAGAATTGTTTTATTACCGACACTTGAGAAGCTTAGCTCTATCTAGGAATTGTCTTTCTTCCAAGGGACCATGTTAAAGTTTAAATTCTTTGTGTCAGGGGTTGTGAATAAGATTTTGTGCAAATTCAATGTACATTTACCATTAATTTTACCCAAGTTTCTATACCTCTTTTTTGGGATGTATTACATGTAATACATAGACATCCTGTATAAGTGTTTTAAGTTCTTTGTGTTTCATCAGCTGTGGGAAAAAGCACAGTTACTGCTAGTTTGATCGGTGGCACCACCAGCTCATACTACTTTTGCAACCCTTATGTTAGGGTTAATCAATAAAAAATGAATAAAATACTCAAAGCTACTAGAACAAATCTACGGAACCCAGAGCCCCCTCACGGGACAATTCAACAAGCTAATACATTTATCATGACCCAGTGTAGAGGCTTAACATTAAGAAAAGTAATGCTTGTTGGAATAAGCCCTTACATAGGTCTACATATAGGTTTGTATCAGTTGTAATGGAACATACATTAGAATGAAAGGTTCAACATGCAGCAGTACCACTTATACCCTATATAGATTAGGCGCAGTCGTGGGCTGGAGGTTAGGGAACCAGCCTTGTGACCGGAAGGTCGCCGGTTCGATCCCCTTGGCTAACAGCACGTGACTGAAGTGCCCTTGAGCAAGGCACCTAACCCCTAACTGCTCCCTGGGCACTGTGGATAGGGCTGCCTACTGCTCTGGGCAAGTGTGCTCAACAGTGTGTTCACTAGTGTGCATGTATGTGGGTGTTTCAGTGCATGGATGGGTTAAATGCAGAGGTCTAATTCCTCTGTGTGCAAAACACAGTTGGCTAATGGTTCTGAATTCATAAGACTGCTTTTGTCCAATTTGCTGTTATTTTACCTACACTGTAAAAACTGAGAATTCAGCTCAACTTAAAAATATAGGGAAACTGAATACATAGCTTTTTTTGAGTTAACTTAACTTGTGAATAGTGTAACAAACTAAGCATTCATCCCCACCAGAAGGTTGTTTCTATCACACGTCCCAGCTAGTTGAGAAATTGAGTAAAAAACCTATATTCTGTATCATTTACCTAACTGAGATGAAGAACTAGAAAATGAAAGGAGAATTCTTCACTAAAATAAGAGGTTTGAATTGGGTGAAATATAGTGTCTTCAAGTTGAGTTATCTCAAGAAAAAACGTGTAATCAGTTACCTCATAATTTCAAGCTGTGTTGACTTTCATTTTTAACAGTGTAGTGTTACAGCATGTGATGTTTGTTGGAATAAGCCTTAATACATATCTATATAGGCTCACTTAGTTGTCTAAAAGGCATATGAAATGTTATCAACGCAAGTTTGGATTGGATCATTTAAACTCACCAGGTTTCGCTGGGGATGATCCCATGTTTGAATCTTTGGAACTGCAAACACAAAATAGTATTTATTATTATTATTATTATTATTATTATTATTATTATTATTATTTTATTATTTCATATATTGAATATATTTCTACACACCACATTCAGAGGTCAGAGCATTCAGTTATATTTACACAAGTAACAGTTTGATTGGTTTTTACTCACATTTCAGTCCCTAACATTTACTTACTAATTCTTTTTTTTTGTTTATCTTTCTTATTATTTATTAGTTTTGAGGGTGACAGAATCAGTACTATTTCATGATTAGTCACACCACTAACTTTTGAAGATAATTTTATCTTAGACAAAAGGACAAAATAAATCTGTAATTCCCATGAGGATTTTCATCAATTATGACAAGTTGTCCAGGTCCTGCAGAAGCAAAGCAGCCCCAGATCATCACACTACCACCACCATGTTTTATTGTTGGTATGGTGTTCTTATGGTGGAATGTGATGTTAGCTTTATGGCACATGTAACGGGACCCATGCCTTCCAAAAAGTTACATTATCCCAAAAGTCCTGCGGTTCAGCTAGATGTTTTTTGGCAAATGCGAGATTAGCCTTTGTGTTCGTTTTGGATCAGGAGTGCTCTCCAATGGGTGCCATTTTTGCCCAGTGTGTTAATTATTGTGGAATCATGTACATTCACCTTAACTGAGGCAAGTGTTGGTTTCTTTAGATGTTTGTCTTGGTTCTTTTTTGACCTCCTGGATGAGCCATCAATGTGCTTTTTGTCAAATTTTGGTAGGCCAGCCAATCCTGGGAAGGTTCAAGACTGTTCCAAGCTTTCTCCTCTAGTGGATAATGGCTCTCACTGTGGTTCGTTGGATTAGGTTGGAGTCCCAGAGCTTTAGCAATGGCTTAGTAACCCTTTCCAGAGCTGGTCAGCACAGGTCTTAAGGACCTTTGGGCTAATGTCATCCAGCCCTGCAGCCTTTCCTTGGCAGAGTCTTAGCAACTTACCTCCAACCTGATCTGCAGTAACAGTTACTCCGGGGTTGAAGTCCATACTGGGTGCTGGCATAGAGGGAAAGTATGAAGGGCTGAAAATAGCAGAACCTAAGAACCTTAGCTCCAGGAGTGGAGGTGTGTTTGTGGGGGGGGGTGATAAGGGCAGTTGTGAATGCTGCAGAGGTGTGTGGGCTGCCAGATTATGTGGGGAAGGAGTAACCAGAGATCCAGTGCTGAATCTGTTGAAGAATTGGTTCAGCTCACTGGCCCAGGATGCATCACTCTTGCATTGACTACCACCAGCCTCAAAACCTGTAATCTGCTTCATTCCGGGAGCCAACAGCTGCTACCGTGTGTAAACAATGAGTTCAGCTTCCATGGTGACTTCAGGGGTTGTAAAATGGAACAGATAACTAAATAGACCAAAACCAGAACACAACACCACACGGATCGCTGCCATCTATATATGCACCCAATATGCAAATGAGTACAGCCAAAGTAATTAATAGTAATTAATAACAGTAATTAATAACATTTAATGAATTTGTTAACTTATTTTCACATCGAAAGTCAACATATCAACAAAGCAAACAATTTTAGTGGGGTCTTTAACTTTTGCATATAAGTGCACATGTAAGCAAGACATCACACATCATACAGTGAACATCTGCATTTCTTACTTTTTTGTTTCATACATTTTTGCAAAGAAATGAAAAACAAAAACTAGGTTGGGGAGGTTGGGCAGTGTGGCAGGTCCAGCCATGACTAACACAGTACATGTGCTATTATATTAATTCACATTTGAACCCTTTAATCTTAAGATCCCACACAAGATTACAGCATCTTATCTTACCTCTATGAGAAGTGATGCTGAGGTCTGCGTCTCCTTCTCAGTCTGATGCTCTGTGCCTGCAGCTCTTCCTGTCTATATATATATACACGCTGATTTTACTTTCACTTTCAACTCCATGAGGAGAATGGAAGAAAGGGGGGTGGGCGGGAGGCTTATGATATCCTGTAAGGAACTGATTTCCGGGAAATTGAAACTGAAAGTATATTTGAGGTCACTGTTAAGCACATTGTCCTTGTTTATATTTTATTATTCTTTAGCCTGTGTGTGTTTTTCCACAGTAAGTACAGAATTAAGAAGTAAAACATCCCATCTTAATTTAAAAAATGCTTTGAGGTTTCTTATGAAAAAATCTCTCTCACTGTACAGAAATGCATGGACATCAGTAATATCTGCAAAATCAGTTAATGGGGGACTGATCAACTGATTCTGTGCTACATTTGAGCCTATACATTAAGATACATATGTATGCAGATGTTTCAGAACCTTTTGTTGACTTTCTAAGTTAAAAAAAGTGAACACGTGACCCCATCTGGATAGCAGTTATAGATGATGATGATGATGATGATGGTGGTAATAAAAAACAACTATTTAAAATACATCTAAAATACAGTTCTTAGTGTTTGTAGTACATTGAAGAAAATAAAGGAAACTATAAAGAAAATGTAAAACAAAATAGTAAAACAGGCAAAAACAAGCATAATATATAAAGAAAAGAGACTCCAACCGATAGTCGAACCTCAGACTGAGGAGGAACAGTGTGGATTCCTGGCCATGGAACAATGGACCAGCTTTTTACCCTCACGTAGATCGTTGAGGGGGCATGACAGATTTTCAACCCAGTCTACATGTGTTTTGTGGACTTGGAGAAGGCTTACGACCGTGTTCTATGAGATATCTTGTGGGAGGTCCTCCAGGAGTATGGGGTGCTGGGGCTAATACTCCATACCATTCAATCTCTGAGAGTTGTGTTAAGTCAAGCTCGTTCAGTGTTAGTGATGGACTCCGCCAAGGTTGTGCCTTGTCTCCACTCCTGTTCATGATATTCATCGACAGGGTGTCAACCCATAGCCGAGGTCAGGAGGGCATTATGTGTGCAAGCTGGAGGGGGACATCTCTGCTATTTGCAGATCATGTTATCCTTTTGGCTGGATTGCATGGATGCCTCTAGCGCTCACTCGAGTGTTTTTCAGTGTGAAGCAGTTGGTATTCGGATCAGCTCCAAGTCTGAGTCCATGGTCCTAGCCTGGAAAAAGATGGCATGCCCACTCCAGGTAAGAGGAAAGGACCTGGTGAAGAGGAAGCTGAGCCATAAGGCAAAGCTCTCTGTTTACCACTCGGCCTACATCCTAACCCTCACCTATGGTCATGAGCTGTGAGTAATGACTGAAAGAATGAGATCATGATTTCCGCCAAGTGGCAGAAATGAGCTTTCTTCACAGGGTGGTGGCTACACTCAACTTGACAGGGTGAGGAGCTTGGTCATCAGGGAGGAGCTTGGAGTAGAGCTGCTACTCCTCCACATTGAGAGGAGCCAGGTGAGGTGGTTCCGGCGTCTAATCAGGATGAACCCTGGACGCCACCCAGTGGGGGTTCACCAGGCACGTCCTACCCTGAGGTCATCCTAGGATGACCCAACTGCTACTCTGACCCTATCTGAACTAAGCAGTTAATGATAATGTATAAAGTCAAAGCACTGGCAGAAAAAGACAACAACAACAACAATAATAATAATAATAATAATAATAATAATAATAATAATAATAATAATAATAATGTTATCAATAACATTAATAACATTAAAATGTATACAGTGGCATCCAAAAGTCGGCATAAACTAAACTTTAACAAAGTATTTCTAGGTCACCTTTCATATGTAAGCAAATGTAAGATATTTACTGTGTTAATTTTTTTGTACTGTCACAATGGCAGATCTGTTGGCTGACTAACAAGTTGTCTTAGCACATCTCCTCAAAAAGGAGTGGCTAATTATTACCCAGAATGACTAAATATTTTTGGTGTGGTAGCATTCCCTGCATCAAAGAACAAACCTAATTATTTAATTATTTTTCATAGAAAGTTGAATATAACAATACTGAACACAGGCTCAGACACATCTTGGTGAATTGAATTATCTTGAAGCAAACAGTTTATTTGAAGGCTACCTCCATAGGGACTGCATAACACTTGCAAAAGCATTGAATAACATATGTATAAAATGTTTCTGTATTTATAATCATCTTATGGTAGCAATCATTTTATTAAGAAAATGAACTGCATTGACATAAAGAGGTGTGAACACAAAGTAACAGGACTCTTCTTAAATCTATAATGCTGTTATAAAGCATCATGGAACTTATAAGGCAAAGGCCTAGTTATGATCAGATATATCTTAGTTCTTTAACAAGAGTTAAATTCATATGTTATCAAAGGTATTTCAACTTTTGATGAAGTGCAAGAATCTTTGTATAAATATATATGTATGTTTATACAAAATGGAATAAAAATGCTGATAATGGCCAGTTACATTGAGTTGCATTGAAATCTTCCATTGAACTTATATTTGTTCCATTATTTAGGTCTCTTAGGATGTATTACTTGGTAATAATGCTTCATAACAGTGTTACAAATGAATCCAATATTTGTAACTTTATATCAAAGCCCCTTGTCTCAATATAATGTCATTTACTTTATAAAACACTCAACTTTTCCTGTATAAACACATTAGTCAATGCTTATGCCTGTGTTATATGCTTTTGTTGCTAAAATCTTTATTTGGTTGGCTCAGTAGAAAGAAATGTGTGGAAATCATTCATTCTCATAAACAAGAGATGCAGAGCTACACTTCTGGGTATGTGCTACATGTAGTTTCAATTTGTGCTGTAACTGAATGTTAACCTTGATTGAATGCAAACTATTTGAATGATACAAAAAAACTGTTTCTATTTAAACGACTAGAGGCTCTCTCTAGATAAAAGTACCGATGTGATAAAAGTACATATTTTACACTGTTTTGCATGATGTTGGAACACATTTCATGTAATGAAGCATTCAAGACTTTCAATGAAGTTCAACCAATTTATTTTGGCCCAAGAGGGTTAAGGCAGTGCTAGATAATAATGGGGGTCACACAAAATATTGACACTTTGAGCACAATTTGGAAATGTTCACTGTGAGGGTTACTCAGTTGTGTTGCCAGCTATTTAGACATTAATGGCTGTGTGTTGAGTTATTTTTAGAGGACACTAAATCTATACTGCTATACAAGCTGTACACTGACTACTTTAAGTTATAGTCAAGTTATAGTCATTTTCCTGCACTCACTTTTGTGAAATACTATATATATATATATATATATATATATATATATATATATATATATATATATATATATATATATATATATATATATATATATTTGCACACAGTACCATACCATGCCTCTGCTGAGAATGGTCCAACACCCAAATAATATCTGCTCAACAGCAATCCTGTGGTCAGAAACTGACCAGTAATGAATAGCATAAAGGATGGCTGATCATGACAAGAGATGGCTACAGCCTTAAATTGTAAACCAATGAAAGTAACTGGAAGTAGCTAGAGGGGTAAAGCAATATACGTCATAACTACACCCACTGATTTAATACATAAGCGTAATAATGAGATCAATCTATCAATAAGCGTTTTATAGGTATTTGGGTGATTCTGACCCTTCTTGTATAGTCATGTTCCACTTCTTCATATGTATTTTATATATGGAGGAATCATTCTACGTATCTGTCTTTGCGGGAAAACTTTTTCACATAGTCATCGGCTGAGTGCACAGCCTGCATGAAGGCCTCCAGCATCAGGCAGTTGAGCTTCTCATTCATCTTGGTCTCTTCATGATAGTTCTTCAGAGGGAAGATGCAGTTCATAGGGACTCCCAGTCTAGTGCTGCACTCTTCCATCTGGAAACACACAGTGGCATTACTTTATCAGATGAAACATTCCATGGAAGTCCATATTTTCTTTTCTTTTTTTTAGAAAATAAAAGCACATCGGCTCTAGCAAAGTGACTCACCTTTTCCTTGATCTTCTTGCTTTGGTAGATCTTGGCCACATTCTCTTTTGTCAGTTTGCATACGCAGTCCACTCTTGTCATGAAAACCAGCTGAGGGATTCCTGCAGCACAGACAGCAGAGATACATGGAGATTTAAAGGACTTTCAAATTTGTAATTTTATTGAGTGTCATGCAGAACATCTTCAGCAGAAAGTCACTCAGCAAACATGCACCTACTGACCCACTGTGGGCTCACAGGTAATCACACACACAAATTCAATTTTGCATCACCATTCTGGAACATTGCTCATTGTAGACTGAGGGCAGTGTGGACATGGACCATGGACCCTGGGTGCTGTAGTCTGCACCACCATTCTGGAAAGTGGCCCACTCAGCTGTGGACTTGGGCAAAGCCACACAAAACCCACGCTTAGTGATGTCTGCCTGCACAGAGGCAACATTGAGGGGCCAATCATAGGCCTATAACTGACAGAATGTCATGGGCCCTGTGCAGGTAGTCTATTGTGGGCTAGTACTGAAGTATGTCAGCCGTATTACTCATGAAATATTAAGTTATTTGTAAATTGAAGTACAGTTAAATATGATGAATGCAATATTTGTAACTTTCTACAGACAATGTGAATTTTAAACTAAAGTCGCAGTGAAATAAATTTTAGAAAAGCTCAGGTTATTAATTTTGTCAGTGATGTTACAGTCACAGGATGTGTACTGAAGTTTAATATAATAGACTACATTTTACACTTGAATTACATATTAACATTTGTACCCCATTTGCCACTGCAATTATAGATTGACTGATACACACTATTTGCTTTATACTTAATTTGTTTATTTGTTTTTATGGTAACACTTTCTATGAATGTTTATAGATGCTTACAAAGGTGACATTCATAGAAAGTGTTACCGTTTTTATTTGTTCTACTTGTTGAATCAAATTACAGATATAAGAGTGAACTTACCTAATTTACTGGCTTCTGCTCTGATGGTCTTCATTTTCTGGATGACTTTATTGTCCATTAGGGTAACTCTGTCCGCTGCAAGAACACTCACTAGGCAATGAATCTTATCATTCAGAGTGGGATCACTGATGTAATATCGATTGTCTTCATCCATTGGTGCTTGAGGTTTGAACTAAACACAAGACAAAAAAACAGCAACCAAAATTTTACATAATGTTTTTTATGTTGTTTTTTGTTTGTAGGTTGTGTCTTTATATTTATTTCTGTGTATATTTTGTGTGTGTGTGTGTGTGTTTTTTCTTACTTCATAATCATTTGGGATGTGTCCCTTTAAAGCACTGATGATATCATCAGTGTGCGCCCCTTTCAATTGGTCCTCTTCAATACCCATCACATCATAAAATGCAAAAGGTAAACCTCCAATAGTGTACTTCTGGTACTGTAAATAACATAATAATAATAATAATAAGAAGAAGAAGAAGAAGAAGAAGAAGAAGAAGAAGAAGAAAAATAATAAAAAAGGCATTTTGTTTATTATTTCAAATTTCCAGGGAACTGATTGCCAGCATGTTTAAAAAAAAGTCCTTCAAAATCAACCTAATCAGTTTATCATACAAGACCAAATGTGTATTAGACAAACTAGATATGTATATGTTAAAATAAATGCCTTCAAATTCAGAGAGTTCCTTAGTGAATGTGTAACTTTTCTTTACCTGAACAAAACACTTTTGAACATTTTGGCACATACTCATTTCAGAGTTCACTATCCTATAACCACCTTAAAATTGAGATTTTTCAGAAAACCTAATTAAAACTGAGCACCTTTCTGGTTTAAATAGTGTCTGATGTATGGTCCGGCAGCAGGTCTGGAAAAAAAGCCCACTCTCATTTTCTGTCATGGCCTTAAGAACTCAGGACTTGTTTGGTAAAACTCTATTGCTTACCAAATTAAGGTCAAAAGGTAAGTGTGTATGAAAGACTTACCAGGAGACCTCTGCACAAACAATTCTTGTTAGACATTCTGAAAACTTTTGTAGAACACCTATACTGGATCCAAATAGCAAATAGTGCCTGGACCCCAATGATTGCAACTTGTACATGCATGTTCTCTATTAATTTCAGACAATAAAACATGTGCTACCTGATTGCCTTGACATCAACAATAATTTACACATATTTATATTTGTGTATCGTGTTCAAAAACTATTGTAGAAAAACATCATCGATGTTAAAGTAAATCAAAGCAACTTTACCATGCACAAATCATTCTTTGAAGTCTGTAACCCATGGACATGCTGGACCAAATGCTGAGTTTCTTCCCTCAAGATGCTTTGCCATAACACTACCTCCACCATGTTTAACAGATGATGTGGTATTTGGATCATGAGCATTTCGTTTCCGTCTTCATACTCTTTCAAATAATCTTGGTTTTATCTGTCTAAGTAATCTTGTTCCAGAACAGGCAGCCTTTTTTATATGTTTTCTAGCAAAGTCTAATTCGAGACTTTCAATGCTCGAGTGTGCCAGTGGTTTGCATCTTGAGGTAAACCCTCTGTATTAATATTCATGAAGTCATCTTTGATTGTAGACTTTTGTAGTGATTCTACTCTAGAATGTGACTGACTTGACGATGTTGTGAAGGAGTATTTCTTCACCACAGAAATAATTCTGAATTATGCATATTGAGAGCTACCAAATACATGTTCAACACTTGGAATCAACTAATAATGAGAGAATAATAAGGGAACAGTCCACACCTGGCTAGGAAACTGCTTAACAGTCAACTGTCCAGTTGCTTTTGAGCCTGGGAAAATGGCGGGACTGGTGTAAAAAACTGCTATAGTTCCTAAAAAGTTAATGCTATATTTTGGTTCAACCCATTGTATGAAAGCTAAACATCTTCACTTCAATCCCATCTTGATGGCTTCATTTCAAACTCATTGTGACGGCGTACAGAGGAAAAAATTACAAAAATTGTGTCACTGTCAAAATACTTACAGGCCTCACTGTATTTTGACTAAATCACATATTTTATCACTCACCTTAGTTGTAAAACTCTCTCCACTTAAATCTGAAGCAGCCAGGCAGTTGATGAACTGATGTCCTTCAAAAATGGTTTTGATGGTGTTGATGGTGCTGGATTTTCCTGCTCCAACTGGTCCATGCAGAAGGAAGCGAAGCTCTCTGATATTATCATTGCTAATTTTGCAGTTCTTTAAAGCTGTGATCATTGGATCTTGTCTGGGAGGAAAAAAAGACACCAGAGTTTTGAACAAGTCATTGAATTATAAGTAACAAGTAAATGTCAAGCCTTGATATTCAAGTCCCAAGTCAGTTCTGGCAAGTCTTGAATCCTACATTTCAAATCCTAATCAAGTCAGAATGTATTCTTCACCAGAGGTCTGGACAGAACAACCTGGAAATGATGGCTAAACACTAACTAAAGTTTCCCTTTAAAAATGATAATTCAGCCATATAACTCTTCAGTAAGTCATTTTGATAACATGTATTTGGCAATACAACATGACAGAAGTGCTGCTTTTACGGAAATCACAAATGATCTAGCAAATAACTTTATTAGTTTTAATAACACTGCCCCTCCACCAGTTCTACAAAACACGGTTGTGCCCAGAGCAGAAAACAAGAGCTTTAACATTCTCTGGCTTCACACTAACATTCCAGAATAAGCACATAATGTATTGGTCAGCCTTTTAATGTGTTGAGTTCAGAATATCGACATGTTATTGCATAAAAAACACATCTTACACCAGAAGAGGTTGTATAGACTTAGTTACATTACATAAAATTGCATATGTAGTTGTGGTAGCTAGTGCTAATGGTTAGAGTGAAAGTAGCTTTAAATTTAGCTGACCAGACCATCTGTAATTCAGAATAAGTGCAAGTGGCAACCTAGAGCAAGCAGTAAAAGTACTGCCAATTTATAGTGTAACAGATGGTAATTTACAGGCTTCAAATGCTTGTTGGTATTTTCTAATGAGTACTCGAATATTTTTTTTTTTTAAATGAATGGTAAAAAAGTATGTAGACACATGACCATCACACCAATTTGAGCTTGTTGGTCATCCGATTCGAAAACCATGGACATTAACATGATTATCCACCTGTGAGCAAAGAGTGTGGCCGAAACACCTGACCTCAGTAATTAGGAAGGGTTTTCACATATCTTTGACCACATAATGTATGTCCAGTACTGTGGTTCTAAATACATCTTGAGTTGCTGGTTAGAGTGGCTAAAGGTAACTTAACCCCTACGCCAAACTTGACAGCAACAGTACAATTATTATTATTATTATTGTTTTTTATTTATTTATTTATTTTTTTATTTTTATTTTTTTATTTCTTCTTGCTGTTTAGTTGTTTAATTTCTGTTTTTAAAAAGTGAATTTGAAGATGAACTGCAAGTTACGGCAGTGAGTATTGCACTCACAGTGCCTGTGCTAGCAAGTTACTTATCGCTGTTGTCTGATTAAAACCTAGTATCTCCAAAATGGTTTAACTTTACAGGAGAAGGAAAAAACATAATTTACTTTCAATGTAAGTCAATGGAACCAGAATTTTTTCCAAGTCATTTTGGGCCGTTTATTTTAATCCATTCATTACACACAATGTAAAGAATAACAGGTACTTTCAAATCCGACAAAAATGGAGATGCAAGGTTTTGTTCCAGCAACAACATTATGCTTATGTATGATCACATGATTTGATGTTAAAGAGTGACTGTGGACTTACCTCCATTGGACAGTCCTCCACTGATTGAGTTCTGTAAGAAATGAATGAGTTATTGTAGGAGTGAATAAAACACTGTGTACTTCCAGAAAAAAAACAAAATGAAAATGGCTAAAGATTTTTAGTAGAACTTCATACTAGTCATTGGCAGGTAGCTTCTGTGCTGCAACCACTACTAATGCCAAAAAATCTATATTTTCTTCATAACCTTCATGATGAACATCTGATATTACAACCAATAATTAACAGCTGTAATCAAATTCATCTTGTGACTCACTGGAATTGAGCTCAGCTTCATGTGGCCAAGAATTGGCAATAACATGTAAATGGTAACATGTAACAAATAGTATTATCTAGGGTTACTATCCATTACTATAAACAGTCATCTACCATCCAGTACTAATAGTGTAATTGTATGTATTTTATTATTTATCTAATTGTTTGCTAAAATGTATCCTCACTTTATTAATTGCTAATTAATTGATATCCCTCATTTTTAGGGGATCAAGTGAAGCAAGACATCACTAAGCTGAAAAATAAAAATTATGCCATCAGAGAGATGGTAGAAAGGAGGATGAAAGTATGTTCATTTTCTGTATTAAATTTAAATTTTAATATGCTGTTGTGGACAGCTAAAAAATAAATATGAATTTTTTTTCTTTTTTCTATAAGCCTGACTTTCTAGCTTTGAGCAGTCTTTTATGGGATCAGTCTTTTAGGTTGTGAATAAAGTTCTTAGTCACTTGAGAGCAGAGTTGATACATACCCACAGTGACCATGGCAGAGCATGAGGCACTACCAGAGTCATTCCACAGGTTTAATGTGTAGTTCCCTTCATCTTCCTTTGCAGCGTTCCTGATTTTCAAGGAAACCGTTGTTCCACTTTGTCTCTTTATGTGTTTGCCTTCCACACATTCTAAACGATATCCGTTCTTCTCCCACTTTGCTGTTACTCCTTCTGTGTTTACCTCACAGTGAAGATCGACATCATCACCTTCTCTCACTTGTTTGTCAGCCAAAACAGAGACAAATTCTATTGAAAACAGGAGGACGAGGTTATTAGAAAAGCAGGCAATGGTAATCTACATACGTCCATATTCAGTGTATCTGAAAATGTATTTTGAAACAAATAAAATCAATTACAAACTACAGCAGTAAAACCTTTATATAAATGCAATAGTTTGGCAAAAAAATCAAATTTACAAATTTAGTGGATGTAGTCGATCAACCATGACATGTTGGGTTTGCTGTTTAAATTTTGGTCACTCAAGCTACATTAAGGCCATAAATACTCCCCAATGTGGGTTATGACACAGATGCCATGTGCCAGCGTGATGTGTTCACCCAATGGAGATTCAGAACTGCCCACTGACAGTGAAGCTTTTTCAGTTTTATAGCTCACAGTCAGTCACTGTGTCCATAATCACATCAACATGTTCAAATGACCCTAGTGATAAGATAATCCTTTATTAGTCCCACAACAGGGAAATTCTCAGAAGACCAGGAAGACCAGGGGCTGTATTACAGAAACTTCCTATCTTTTTGTCTTAAGATCTGACAGGTCAAGATAAGATTTTTCACAAATTCATATTACAGAACCAAATATGATCTTTAGGAATCTTATCTTATCTTACAGTATCTTAACTTTAGGAAATCTTAACTTTCTCGATTGAAGTCGACTATCAACTCTTGTGTTTGTTACCTAGAAACCGACCATACACGCACAGCTAAAACGTAAACACTTAATCAAGTTAGTTAGCCAGACAGCTAACATGAGCTACTATTACTAATGTAAAAAAGGTCTAATAAAACTAAAGCATGATAAACTGAAAGTTTATAATGTTCTGACAGAGCTTCATGCTGTTTATTAGAGTGTCGCCGCTCTACAGTTTCAGTTTCATTTCCCAAATGCTTTAGCCGAGCACACTAGCTCTATTCCTCCTAATAAACAGATACACATTCAGCTCTGTCTCCTCATTGTTCATCACCATCACTGTAATATTTTATCTGACGAGTTTTATCAAACATTAACACCTGAAGGTAATAAGAGGGGATGGTGGAGATCGTGTCTGCAGCATCTGAGTTTTTAAAAAACCCTGTTTAAAAAAACCCTAACAAGACAAAGCACCGCTCAGTGCAGATAAATGTAGCATCATTATGCTAGTTATAGTGAACTGTGCTGCCTATCACTGCATAAAACAATAGAATCAGATGATTAAACAGAAGTTAGGACAGATCTGAGGTTTATCTTAAAGTTACAAAAATATTCAGGATATGTTGGCAACTTATGTTGTTTCTTTAACACCATTTTCTTTTCTGGAAATAAGATAAGATTATAGACTTAAGAACTGTTGTTCTGTAACAGTTTCTATCCTAAATTCAGTCTTAACTGAAGTCACCTTGACAACAAAGCTGAGATATGATCAGTTTTCTGTAATATGGCCCCTGGTTTTAGCAGGTTGAGAGAAGTTTTGGGATGTATTTATATAAAAGATTTGGGTGCCTATTGACTTCTAGTATTTGTTAGCAACATTGGCCTCGTAGCTCTGGCAAAAAGCTAGACAGACAAAATTTGAACATCTGATCATGATCACACTCCCATGCTAATTGACCACATCTGGAGTAAGTGAAAATTGGTGTAAATTATATACATTTCAGCCATTCTTTTTTTAATATGGTTAACCAGATAATATAGTTACCATTCTTTTCTAAGTAAACATTGACCAAATGCAACAGTGACTGATTTGGTGTTACTACTGTTTCACTAGGTCTAATAACATTTTTTACTTCATTACAATTGAGAGGGGGGCATGGACCACAGGCTGAAATGCAAATATACCCAACAAACCACAAATGAAAAGTATTTCTTTTCTAATTCCTGATTTTGTGACAACACACTAAACCAAAATAGCTGAAGTTGTCACTCAATTCATTTGTATTTATGATTGTGTTCTGTGAAAAATATTGCTTGCTTGTTTTCAGTTTTGATTTTCATTCCTGGTAAACCTCTAGTATCTTGGGTTTACAACTGTACTGAACTTTTAATACTGTAACTCCGTCCCTCGTATTTTACTAGTTTTCATTTATGCAGTGTGTTTAAGTGCAGAGCAAAACTTTCAAATGTTGTTGATGAACTTTACAAATCCACCTTAAGCATATGTTCTTAAACCATTTGGATAACCATTTTTGACCCCCACCAAAAAATGTTTTGCTGTACAGTCTGTATTAAACAGCACAGTAAACTGGGGGCTAAATCAGATGTTAGACTATATGCTTGATTAAAAGCTTTAACATACAGTGGAAGCACTTTACCGAAAGGCAGCATTCGGAACTGACATAAACCTACATAAGCATTTATAAAGGTTTTTTCCAACACGTGTCAGATGTCATGTAGTCTGCTTTTGCCAATTTTGATGTAATTCAACTGTTTTTGTCAACAAATTTTGTCAAATAATTGTTATAACAAGTGATACATTTCGGAATAAACTTTCATAAATTTATATCAAATCTGTATAGGTTTCTATTAGTTCTCGTTAAACCTACATAAACATTTGTTAAAACTTTTGTCCAGCAAGCATCAGCTGTTATATAGACTATTTTTTGTCAAATTTGCTGTCATTTCACATAACTCAGTTTTAATAAAAGTGACAGTAGTTCAAATAAGCCTTTATAAGAAGAAACCCACACGTGACAGCTCTGATGTCAACAATTACAGACCGGTATCGCTCCTTTCTTTTCTTTCAAAAATTCTTGAACATGCAGTCTATATTCAACTGTCTCTCTTTCTCACACATAACCAGCTCCAGGACCCCAACCAGTCTGGCTTCGAACCAGCGCATTCAACAGAAACTGCTCTTATAGCAGTGACCGAGAAGCTCCAGTCAGCAAGATCAGCCAAACTGTCATCTGTCCTGATTCTTCTTGACCTCTCAGCAGCTTTTGACACGGTCAACCATACAATCCTTCTGGACGTCCTCACCAACTTTGGAATCACTGGCTATGCGTGGAAGTGGTTCAAGTCCTATCTGGAGGATCACTTTTATCAGGTCACATGGAGAGGGTCCACATCCTCTCCATGCAGGCTCTCCACTGGTGTCCCACAAGGCTCAGTGCTGGGTCCTCTTCTCTTTTCTCTTTACACTAGCTCTCTTTGTGATGTAATATCATCTCATGGCTTCTCTTATCATTATTATGCTGATGACACTCAACTAATGCTTTCTTTCTCACCCTCTGACACACAGGTTTCCAGTCGCATCTCAGCATGTCTGACTGACATCTCTTCATGGATGGCAGCTCATCACCTGAAGCTCAATCCTAGCAAGACTGAACTGCTATTCATCCCTGCAACTACAGGTCCTCATCATGATCTTGCCATCTCATTCGAGAACTCTCTGATTGTTCCATCTGTAGAGGCAAGAAGTCTTGGTGTGATCCTGGATGGCCAGTTATTGTTCTTGACTCACATCATGAACCTGCCTCGCTCATGCAGATTTCTCCTGTACAACATCCAGAGGATCCGACCCTTTCTCATTCGAGAGGCCACCCAGGTGCTAGTGCAGTCTCTTGTCATCTCAAGGCTTAACTACTGCAACTCGCTCTTGGCTGGTCTTCCCATGCAGACCATCAAGCCTCTGCACCTCATCCAGAATGCAGCAGCATGGCTCGTCTTCAATCTCCCCAAGTTCAGCCATGTAACCCCACTGCTGTGCTCTCTTCACTGGCTTCCTGTAGCTGCATGCATCAGATTTAAAACCCTTATGCTTGCCTACAAAGCCAAAAATGGACCAGCCCCTACCTACTTGATGGCAATGGTGAAATCTCGAACTGTACAATGAGCCCTTCAAGCTTTGAGTACAGCTCGGCTTGACCTGCCATCCTTCAAGGCGCACGGAAGGCAAGCATCAAGACTGTGCTCTGTACTGGCACCCAGGTGGTGGAATGAACTTCCATTGGCTGTCCGTACAGCAGAGTCTCTCACGGTCTTCAAATGCAGACTGAAGACACATCTCTTTATACAGCACTTAAATGAGCACTGAATTAAGTATTGATTGTAATGTATTGTACTGCACTTATGTATTGTATTGTATTGCACTGCTCTGTGTTCAACTCTGTTCCTTTTTCTCTGGGTATCAACAGTGACTTTTTGTTTCTATCAGTATCTGAGCTCAGGACTAGCTTTCTCTCTAACCTATTGGTAGCTAGCAAAGACACTTTATCTAGATAAACAAAGCACTTCCTGTAAGTCACTCTGGATAAGATCATCTGCTAAATGCTGTAAATGTAAATGTTTATAAATGTCTATTTAGATTCATATCAGAAATCTTGGAATCAGAAGTCATGGAAACTACACATGCATTTATAAAGGCATATTTAAACAAGTGACAGTGGTCTCACTTTATATTAAGTGTCTCTAATAACTGTGTAGCTACACATGAATAACATATGCAACAACAATGTAACTACTACAATGTTACAGATGGATTAGAGAAGTACAGCCTATGTATTTACACATGTATATCAACTTCAGTTTTGCCTCATGTCATTACACGTGTATGTTTCTGATACACTACAGATTAGATGTCTTTTCCAGTAGTTAAAAGAAGTATGCTTTACATAACATTACAATTATGTTTTACTTAATTACTGTGGAATAACTGTGTTGTAACAAGGTGACCAATCACATCACTTTGATCAATTCCATTCTGTAATTACACTGTGCCTATTTAACAACTACACAGGAACTTTGCTGTAGTGTAGAGTCAAAGTTGCACTTTAAAATCAGTGGACAGTTCCTGTGTAGTTGTTGGAACTGCTGGAACAGGGGTAATAACATAAATTACATATAATTACATGAAAGAGAATTGGCTGTTACAACTATTAAGGTACACTTGTGTAATTACATAAGGCAAAACTGAAGTTGATACACATGTGTAATTACATCTGTAACAGAGACTAAATCATTAGTAGTTACGTTGTTGCATTTATTGTACACATGTAACTTCACAGTTATTAGAGACACTTAATATAAAGTGGGACTGTGACAGTTGTCATATAGAGTGATTTTGCCCATTTTTGTTTGCTGTAATGCTGGGCAGCATTTTTCTACAATTTTTCTACATTTTTCTGACCTTAACCTCCATAAGCATTCATAAAGCCTTATTCCAGCAAGTGCCAGTTGTAAAGACTGCTGTTTGTCAGTTTTGCTGTTGTTAAGACAAGTGCTGTTAATACAACGGTCTATATAGACTCATGAAAGGCTTATGTAGGCATCAAGTAGCATTATGAACACTGTCCTTTAGTACAGTATTAATCATGCGAGTTTAGACTGGATTGTTTTAACTCACCAGGTTTTGTTGGATATGATCCCATGTTTGAATCTGTGGAACTGCAGGCAAAAGAAAGATGTTATTAGAATGATTAGAATCAACTCTAACCAGTGTTTCAAATAAAAACCCAGAAAGATGGTGACAGAAATGGAAATGGAATTGAGTGGGGGGTCTTTTTTCTACGCACTCATTGAAACACCACATTCAGAGATCAATGTATACAGTTACTCGTACTACTGCTCCTTTAATAGTACAAAGACAACATATCAAATGCTAAAACTGAAAAATTGTATTGTTTTCTGAAAAATGTATGCCCATTTTGAATTTGATGGCAGCAACTTGTTCCAAAAAGTTGGAACGTGTCAACAAAAACTGGTAAAGTTGTGTAATGCTAAAAAAAAAAGAAAACACCTGGGGGGTTAATTGGCAACAGGTCAGTGATGTTACTGGGTAGAAAAAGGGCATCCCAGAGAGGCTTTCAGAAGTGAAGATGAGGTGCTGACCACTCTGAAAGACACTCTGTGTGAGCATTCAAGAATATTTCTCAACATAAAATAGCAAAGAACTTTTGTTTTTCATCATTGACAGTACATAATATCAGTAAAAGATTTAGACAATCTGGAGAAATCTCTGTATGCAAGGGCCAAGGCTGAAAATCAGTATTGGCTAGCTGTGATATCTGGGCCCTCAGTTGTTATTGCATTAAAAACAAATATGATTCTGTAGTGGGAATCACTGCATGGGCTCAGAAACACTTCTGAAAACTACTGTCTGTGATGATTCATTCAGAGATTCATCACTACATCCTCAAATGCAAGTTGAAACTCCACTATGTAAAGAAGAAATCACATATAAACAGGGCCCAGAAATGCTGCCACCTTCTCTGGGCCCAAGCTCATTTAAAATGGAATCAGGTGAAGTAAAAAGTGTTCTGTGGTCAGACGAATCAACATTTGAAATTCTTTTTGGAAGCTATGGACACTGTGTCCTCCAGGCTAATGACCATCAGGCTTGTTATCAGCACAAAGTTCAAAAGCCAGTATTCATCAGGCTCTACCTGCAGTCCAGATCTGTCATCCACTGAAAACATGGCACTTTTTGAAATGAGAAATATGACAAAAGACACCCTGAACTGTTGAGCAGCTGAAATCCTACATCAAGACCAGGAAAACATTTCACTTTAAAAACTACAGCAGTGTCTCCTCAGTTCCCAATTGCTTACAGAGTGTTGTTAAAAGAAGAGGTGATGAAACACAGTGGTAAACATGTGTTGCAACCATCAATTCAAAATCCACATATATTTTTCAAAAAACAATACAATTTGTCAGTTTTAGCATTTGATATGTTGTCTTTGTTCTATTTTCAAATAAATATAGGGTTTTTGTCTATATTTTGTTTTCATTTACATTTAGCACAGCATTCAAACTTTTGGGGAAATGGAGTTATATTTTCGGATGATAACTCTTCATTTTAAATACTTCTACTCAAATGTATTGTCCACTTACATTTTAGTCACTATCATTTGGTTACTAATTCTTCTTTATTCATTATGTTGACAACAGCATGTGTAATACTTTGTGATTGGTCACATCGCCAACTTTTGAGGTTTCTTGTTTTATTTTAGACCAAAAGGACCAAAAAAGAGACAATAAGCACCTAACAAAGTTTAGTTTCTATGCTGATGGATGCTGGATGAACTAAGTTCCACTGCAGTTTTATAGGTGAAGCATGTCCTTTGGTGTGACTATAATGTTGGGTACTTTAAAAAAATGTGCTGTCTATAATAACAATGGAGAAAACTATCTGTCCAAAATAAAGGTGTTTTGTTTTATATAGTTGTACCAGAGGGTCTCTAAGGTTTGTGTTGCCTGTAAATCTAGTAAGGATAATATAATACTACATCTCATTTTAAAGTCATTTTGAACAAAGCCTGAAATCGTAATGCTTCCACCACCATACTTTGCTATCTGTACTACAGCTAGAATGTTTTCGAATGTTAGCATTTGTACATGTCCGTGTAGTTCCATCCATTGAAGTTTCATCTGAAATATTACAAAAAAAAAGTTGTTTTAACATCACACCTTTGCAGTGTAATGCTCAGATGAGTTTCTGTTTCCTATACCTTTAACAGTACACACATACATTTAACATGAAAACATTAATTTTAATTTTAACTTTAACATTAATTTTTGCAGTGTTCAAAGAAAATGTCAAGCAATTAAATGGTAACAGGCCGCATGGCAGCTAGTTTAGCCTGAAATATTCGACCCCATCATATTCCTCTCTGTCACAAGTTCAGTGTGATGGGGCTATAATTGTTCTTTTTGAGGGGAGGGGTATATTTTTTGACAGGAAACTGTGTCAAATTAGCATAACCATTTGCCACCCCTCTCATGGAATGGACTATTCTTTGGAGCTGTCACAGTGTTCCCAATGCTCCTCTGAGTGTGACTGTTTCATGCCCCGTGTTGCAGAGATGTGCTTTCTAGCCATGTGCTTTTGTTTGCTTTGGTTCTGTTGCTCTATTAGAGCGAGACTTTGCCCTGTGCTGGAAGCTGTTTGTTTCGCCTGTATCAGGGAGGTACCTGTGTAATTGTGCGGCCAGCTGATAAAATGAAAGATAAACATCAGAATTTTTTGACATACCCAAAGTTATCCAATGTACCTCTGGGGGTACACATACCACAGTATGGAAACAACTGGCGTGAATGCATTACTTTTGGTCCCCTGCAGAACCTTTCAGTTGAGTTTTTTGAAAGAACGCTCAACTGAAAGGTTCTTTGGGAAACCAAGGGTCTTTCGATGGCATAATTCAAAAAATTATTTTGATGAGCATAGTTGGCCACAATGACAGACAATCTTAGACAAAAATAAAAACAACCAAACCACAATATCAGATGATAAGAAAAAAAAACTCAAAATGCAAAGCATGGCGGTGGAAGCATCATTATTTCAGGCTATTTACATGCCAACATTTGGATATGGCTGTAATATGATTATTCTACTACTATTGATGCTCCTCCTCCTCCTTCTTCTACTACTATTATTACTACTACTAATAATAATAACAATAATAAACTATTAATAATAAACTATTAATAATAATACTATTACTGATTAGAATTTAAAGTGAAAGTCAAGACAGCTGGGATAGGCTCCAAGACCCCCCGTGACCCAAAAGGAGAAGCGACTTAGAAGATGTGTGTGTGTGTGTGTGTGTGTGTGTGTGTGTGTGTGTGTGTGTGTGTGTGTGAGTAAAAAAACAGCAATTAAAATAATGTAAAAGTTACATAAACATAATAAAAGCTTGAGCCACTACACAATTGAATCTCTATTGAACAAAGTCTGTGTACTAAAAGGTTCTTTAAGAAACCAAAAGTGGTATCACTCCAGAGAATGTTTTTGGCACTTTTATTGACTGATGATGTAAGACACAAACTAAAAAAAAAATAAAATTACAATATCATACAAAAAAACATCAAATATGGCAAATGTGTGCAAACCTTATGGCGCATTTTATATTTTATAATAATTTTTTCCCCATATGTTAAACACAGCAAATAGATATGTGCACTAGCATTAGCAGGCAAATGCCTTATGTAAGTGTGCTCCCTGTAAAAGATGTGTTAAGATATTTTCACTTTGACATTTCCATTTATTTCCAGTTTGACTAGGTATGCTCAAACTTTTGCCTGTGATCGCACATGTAAGCAAGCCATCAAACCTCACACAGTGAACATTTGCATTTGTTACTGTTTTGTTGAATAAATGATTGCAAATGATAACTAGACATACATTTGACGAATGCAGAAATACACAAAGCTACATTGTGAGGTTTGGTCTACATGTGCTGTTATAGTAATTCATATTTGAACCCTTTAATCTTTAATCTCCCACAGCAGCTTAACTTACCTTTATAAGAAGTAATGCTGAGGTCTGTGTCTCCCTCTTTGTGCTCTGTGTCTGCAGCTCTTCCTGTCTATATAAATGCACTCATTTAACTTTCACTTTCAACTCTGAGGGAGAACAGAATGTTCTTACAGCACTCTCTTGTAAACAACCAGTTTGTTAGACATTGAAACTGAAAGCATCTTTATGGTCACTGCCTATCTTGTTGATTCTGTGGTTTTTGTCTGTTTTCACACAGTTATTTCAGACGCACACCAAACATAATTCATTCTCGGAAAAGTATTTGGCACGAAATGCACTGGTCAGTTGATTTTGTGCTATATTTGGTCTTAAAGATACAGTTGTATGCAAATGTTTGTGCACCCCTCATCAAATGACATGTTTTGTTGATTTTGTAAGTGACAGTAAATTTACAAATTCTGTACAGATACTTGTACACGTGTACGTGTACTTGCTTATTTGCAGAATTTAACAGATCGGAGAAAAACAATGAAACATAAAATGTGGCCTGTGCAAATGTTACACGTTATATTTTTTTTTGTTTTTTTCTCCAATATATTTGCAGAAAAATGCCATATTTGTAGTAAGTTGGCCGTGGGGTACACACAATGCATTTTAGTGTGCAGATTTCAGCAGGCTTTTCACAGCCTTAGAATTGGCTAATTGCCATGAAACTTCATGTTTTTCTCCAGGTACAACCACTCTACTACTCATTGAAGTATCAAAGGTATCAGCCACTGGAGGTCACTACACACATTTCAAAACACTAAAATGAGTAAACAACAACAAATAGATTCACATTGAACATTGAAATTGATACACAAGCTCAGTGCCTAGTCCCATGATAGGGTGCAAAGACTGGTGAATGTATGTCAAAAGGGGATGCTAAAACAGTAATTCCACATGTTGAAACTATTTGTCGACTGAAAGGATTTCCATGCACAATTTGAGCTGGTAGCTAAGTTGTGTGAATGATCCAATAAACAGAAAGCCCTGCAGCTGACGCTTTGCTTTGTTTGACTGATGACGCACTAGCTTGCCTGCTATTGCTGACCCTGGCGAGAGATCTGATTACAGTGCATTGGTCTGGGTGCTCTGGAGGCGTTTTTGGCAGTGTTTCTGGCCTAAGCTCCTTTGATCTGAATGGTGTAACTGCCAGAGACAGGCAAGGGAACCATTAAGTGCCCTAGCTAATGATACTGAATGTTTAGCTAGATGAGCTTGTGCTCACTACTACCTTCTGTACAAAACGATCTAGCCCAAGACCAGTTCATCATGACACTATGTCCAACTGAGCTGGCAACATACCTGAGGCCCTGGATTTGGTGCTGGGGAGAGATGGTGTAGTCAGCAGTTTCACAGTGCACAGATGTTGCCTGCAGGCAGAGCTGTAGAGCTGTCAAGAGGTGCAACAAAGCCAGCATGGGTGGAGTAGCTGGCAAAAGTGATCTGAGGGCTGGCAATGACCGCAGCTGTCTGCCAGTGGCATGGGCTTGCCAGTGATGAACATGTTACATCTGACTAGGGCAATTGGAGGGAAACATATCAGGGTCACAGTGAGTGGGACACTGCAGGGCCCTACATCCATGTCCTGCATGTCTCAGCTGAAAAGAACAGCACTGGCAGCAAGCAAACACTGGGCGTGGAGGGGCGAATCTCCATATCAGACTTCTACCACATTTTCATCAATATATCGAATAGCAATATGCAGGGTTTAAGCTGAAAGACACAGCAGTTCACCCAGCACCAATAAGGGGAAGGGAATGGCTGACATTGACAATTGGGAGCAAGAATATGTCATTTAGTATGGATAGCTGAAAATGTGCATTCTTGGCCTGGACTTTCAACAGGTGCCAGTTGGACCTAGAAGGTGACACATTAGATTTCAGCCATGTGGTGACGATGAAGTCACCAGATGTCCAGTGCATAGTTGAACATGCAGCATCAGAGCCAGTTGGGGGATCTCTGGGGGCAGGGTACACTGTCAGGTCAAGGGCAGCACACATTTCATGGGTGAAGCCAAAGGTGCTGAAAAAGCTGAACATGCAGTGCCAGTGCCAGTGGATGGATCCCCGAGGGTCGCGTGTGGCTCACACAAGCAGCATCTTCGTCAGCCCTGATGATGCAGCAGGTGACAAAAAAGCAGAAGGCAACCAAGAAGAGTGCTGCTGCTGTTGCTTTCATCACCCCCAGTAGCACCGGACTTGACACTGTGAGAGTCACTGCACCAAGGAGGAGGATACAGAGCTCTTTTGGGCATGTGGATGACTCTAGGCAGGACAGAAACTGGATTAGGCAGACGTGGCACCACATAGGCCTACTAGGTGCTTTATGCTGGCCGGGACATCCTCCAGATGCACAACGAGTTGCTGTACAACGTGTGAGAGGAGCTAGGTCCTTTGAAGCATACATGGCAGTTGCTTGTGCTGCACAGCCTGGTGCTGGGGATGGTGCATGTGGTGGCTAGCATGGGGCAATATGGCGTGGGCAAGACGCTGAAGCCACAGCAACAGAGGTTTTACTGGTATGGCTACCACCCAGATGTGGAGCAGTATGTGCATTGTGCAAATTCAACACACTATAAATTGCAGCATTTGACTGACTGCCATAATGACCATAATGGTTCAAAACAGTAAGTCCCAAGTATAAAATAGTATAAAATGACCAATTCCAGCAATAAGATCACAAAAATCAAAACAGACAGAACTCTAATAAGCATTCAAAAAAGTTGGTATTTCAATACAATATAAATGTTGGACACCAATCAAATATAGTGATGGAGCTTATACTGCAAACAATGCACATTCAATGCATGTAGCTTAGGAAGCTGGCAAAATGTGGTGCAACTGCTTTGCTAGGGGCACTATAACAGGGCACTATAAAATGTTATGCCACAAAAGATTGTATGATTGATGTGAAATGGTACTTTCTATCCTAGAATTCTATTTAATGAGTCCTATCCTGATTCAGGTTCTATGAGGTTGACATCATATCGAATAGCAGGGATTTGAAACTTTAGAACTGGCTAAATATTTCAGAAGTATATACGGAACTTTACTGATAAGTACCCGAAGGGGGCATAGCCATAATAGCAATGTTGAGCGTACTTGCGAAAGACAGCTTGGACCCCACAGATTGCCACTTGCAGTTATTATTATCACTATTAGTAGTAGTAGTAGAAATTTTCAGCTGTTTTGTAAAATTAGCGAAAGAATGTATATTGAAATATACATATAAGGATATTTGTTGCATAAAAACAAAAGAGACAAGAAGCTGGCAATACATGATTTTAAGACATGATTTGGAATGCAGTTTATCAGACATTCAGATTTGTCAGCCAATTAAGAGATTTAGAAAGTAGTAATAAAATCAATTCTCAAGGAAACAGGCAGCCAGTGGAGGGATGATGAAATTGGTCTAATATGATCTAATATGAATATGGTATTCTAGAAAGTATTTGTGTTCTTCTATAATTCCTTTGAAGATAGAATGTAGTTTTAGTAATGATTGTCTTGGAGTTTCTAATTGGAATTGTCCACATGAACAGACAAGTGACTCTGGCAGAAATCACATCCACATTCAATGCAGGAGGCCCCACACGCATGTCCCGCCAGTCAGTGCAGTGTTCTTTATCTTCCATGGGATATGGGAGCAGAAGACCCTCCAGATTGCCTCTGTTAATACCACAACACCGGACACAGCTCCCCACCTAGGCTCGTGAGGTTACTAACTAGACCCCGGAGGACTGGCAGTATGTAGTGTGGTCTGATGAGCCATAGAACCAATTGTTTCAGGCTGGTGGTGGGGTTTGTGTGTGGCGCAGACCCATGAAGCCAAGGACCCTAGTTGTCAACAAGGCACTGTGCAGGATGGTGGTAGTTCCATACTGGTGTGGGATGTGTTCTCATGGCATGGGTTGTTCCCATTGTTCCGCCTAAACACATCATTGACTGATGACCACTACATGTCACTGCTTGTGATTGGAGCCCTTCATGGACTTCAAGTACTTTTACAATGATGGGATATTCCAGCAGCATAACGCACAGTGTCATTGGGCCCAAGTTGTCCATTATTGGTTCGAGGAGCATTCTGGAGAGTTCTGATGAATGGTGTGGCATTAGCCCAATAGAGCGTTTATGGGATGTTGTGGAGAGGTCCATTCACACCAGAGATCCTGCACTCACAAATACCACGGTACAGTGAGTGGCTATCCCAATGGCATGGCTCAACATCCCTTCAGATGTCTTCCGTCCACTTGTGGAATCAATGCCACATCGAGTTGCTGCACTTCGGCAGGCTAGAGGGGATCCTACCTGATACTAGTTCCTGTCCCATGACTTTTGGCATGTCAGTGTATGTATAAAGCAATACTTAAGTATTTATGACCAGCTTATGCCAGCAAGGCTTAAGTAGGCAGCCGTCAAATACATAGTTCTTTTGTTGCTAAAATCTTTATTTGGCTGGTTCAGTAGAAAGAAATACATGGAAATCATTTATTGTCATAATCAAGAGTTGCCAAAGTTCACTTCTGCATATATGTTCAATTTAATTTCAATGTGTGCTATTATTGAATATTGAAAATCAGCAAACTATTGGATTAATACAAAATGAATGTTTTCATTTAAACTTCTAGAGGCTCTCTTAAAAAACAGAAAGTGTGATCAGAAAGTGACCTATAATGAATGGCATAATAGATAGATAAATTTTCCATGAAAATAGATGCTACAGTCGTAAATTGTACACCAGTTAGTGGACGCTGCTAGAGGGATAGGGCAACATACGTCCCACGTACACCCACTGATCTAATATATAAGTATAATAATGAGAGCAATTCTATCATTAATTGTCTTACAGATATTTGGGTGGTTCCTGACTCACCCTGTATATTCATGCTGGTCTTCGTAATACATGAAGACAATTCATTCTATACATTTCTGTTTGTGTGAAAATTTTGTCCCATATTCATTAGCTGAGTGCACTGCCAGCATGAAGGCCTCCAGCACCAGACAGTTCAGCTTCTCGTTCATCTTGGTCTCTTCATGATAGTTCTTCAGAGGGAAGATGCAGTTCATAGGGACACCCAGTCTAGTGCTGCACTCTTCCATCTGGAAACACACAGTAACAGTACTTAATCATCTAAAACATTTCACGGACATCCATGTTTTTTTTCTAGCACAACATCACTACAAACTAGCAAAAACTCACTTTCTCCTTGATCTTCTTGCTTTGGTAGATCTTGGTCAAATCATCTTGTGTTATCTTGCACACCTGGTCAACTCTTGTCATGAAAACCAGCTGAGGGATTCCTGCAGCACAGACAGCAGAGATACATGGAGATTCAACAGATTATGCATGTATGAAAATAAGAAATTTCATAATGTTATGTTTGTGAGTTTTAAGCAAAACGCCTGCAGTGGAAGACCACCTAGCAAACATGCCCCTACTCACCTGCTGTGGCAAACACAAAGAAATCTAACATTTGCTCTGCATAGGCTATCCTGCATCTGACCCTTACCACCAGAATGAGACCCACTGATCTGTGGACATGGGCAATGCCACATAAAACCCACATTTAGTTAATGCTGCCTGGACTGGACCAACACTGAGGGGCCAATTACTGGTCAATAATTGGCAAAATCTTCTGAGCCTTAAGCAGATAACCTGTTGTGTGTATTTAAACTGTGTGGGTCAATTTGACTGATTAGATTATGCATTTTTTTAATACATAATACAAGGGTTAAGCAACATGATGTACATGTTTAAAATGGATTTAAATGGTTAGCTTCACATAGATGGCTTATTATGATTATATAGGTTGGTATTTGTGTTAAATGGGTTGCCATAGCCTGTGTTATTATGTGTTTACTGTAGTAACACTTCACTTGAACCCTGCTAAATAGCATTGACACAATGTTTACATAAACATGTCATTGCAGATGTTATATGCTCTCTTAAGTTGTCATGACAGATTTTTTTCAGTAATACAACAGTGTCATGTTCCCGTTACTGTTCATGAAAGACATCATAATATTTGACCTTATGACAGCGAACACGAGCAGATTTGGCTACAATTAACATGAAATAAGCATTATGACACCTGTCATGACAATTTCTGACAGCATATGACATTCTCCAAAACATATTTATGAAAGGGTTATGTCAATGTTATGTAACAGGATTGTACTTGTGTTAACTTTACTTTTGATGTTTCTGATCAATTTGGCTGTTTGGTCATTGTGTTAGTGATGTAGCTTATGCGATATTAAGTGACTTTAAAATTAAATGAATGCTTTTTTTGTAACTTTCTACAGACAATGTAACTGTGAAACTAAAGCGGCAGTGAACAGTGGCATTTCATATATTTCATACTTTCTTTACTTGTTCTACCTGTTGACTTAAATGACAGATATAAAAGTGAACTCACCTAATTTACTGGCTTCTGCTCTGATGTCCTTCATTTTCTGGATGACATCACTGTCCATTAGGGTCACTCTGTCTGCTGGGATAATGCTCACTAGGCAGTGAATCTTATCATTCAGAGTAGGACTATTGATGTAATATCTGTTGTCTTCACATATTGAGACTTCTTGTTTGAACTAAACATGAGAGGAGAAAAATAACACAAAACAATATTGAAAACATGAATTTAAGATTAATTCTTTTTTGTAGTGTGTGTGTGTGTGTGTGTGTGTGTGTGTGTGTGTGTGTGTGTGTGTGTGTGTGTGTGTTGTTCTCACTTTGTAGTCGTTTGCTATGTGGCCCTTTAAAGCCTTGATAATGTCATCAGAACGTGCTCCTTTTGATTGTCCTATTTCCTGGTCTTTTTCCAGACCCATCACATCATAGAAGGCGAAAGGTAGAGTTCCAACAGAGAACTTCTCGTACTGGAAATGCATAATAATATTAACAACAACAACAATAATAATAATAATAATAATAATAATAATAATAATAATAATAAACTACTGTCATACAGAACAATTCTCATATACAGAAGACATTCTAAAAACTAGAAGTCCAATACTAAACACAAAAGGCACATAGTGCTTGGACCCCAATGGTTGCCACTTGCCATGTAATTTGTAGATGGTTGCTTCACTTTCAAAACAGATACCGTTCACAGAAATCAATGTGTTCTACATTAATTTTTGACAAAATGAAGTGGAATCTGATTGTCATGGATGTAAAGAACAATCATTTACAGATATTAACCTTTCTGCACTGACGGTTAAAAAAGCTCTTAAAAGCTATTTAGGAATGAAGTCATATAGACCAACCAGCCACTTCATTAAGTATGCCTCCTTGTTTCTACACTCTTTGTCCATTTTATCAGTTCTTGTTATGATATAGAAGCACTTTATAGTTCAACAATTATAGAGTGTACTTGTAAAAACACAACGTTATAAGTTAATGTTATCCAGCCCTAGCAGCAGTCTTGAAACCTTTCATCTTACAAGAATTAACATAAATTCATGAGAGTAAGATACTGTGGGTCAGATGTGTGTACAAGTGCTGTAGCAGTGCAAAATATGAGTTGACTGTGGTCTACAGACATATCTTCAAAAATGATAGATAATAGTTCTTTCCATAGTTTATTTAGGAACAAAATGTACTAGTAACAGCAACATTAAACAAGTATAAAATGAATTTCACTGTACTTGGTGTTGCTATTTTCCCTGAACAAGTCCATATGTATTTAAGCAATAGAAAAATATAGTCCAATAAAAGCCTCTTCAGTGGTCCAACAAAACAAAACCTATATTTCAAGCATGTGGACAGACAAGTATAAGAACTGAATTAGCCAAATAGCTTGCAAATGTTTTTCGGTCTGATGGCAGTACACTTTTACCTGTGACTGGTATCTTGTTCAGTATTTGTCTAAATCCACAGCAGAATTAGATTTGTAGGTAAAAATAAAATAATCCTCCTTAGCAGTAAAATAAAGCTTTGCTGATCATTCTAACACAGTTTAACAATAAATGATCTTAAACACTGTATTGAATGTAACCTATATCTGCTAATTCACCCTTTAACCCTGAAGGTTGGTGCGCAGACTGTTGGTCACACAGCAACACAGACAATCTCGCCTAGCTAGTAGCTAACAAAAAAGCTAAGAGAAAAATTAGAGAAAGCTTTAAGACAAACATTGATAATTTGGAGATGAATGGACTTATTAGCATTTAAAATCACTCCAGATTGTTTCTGATACATTTAATCTGCAAGGAGAAACTGCCAAACACTAAGAAGTTACGAAGATGGAGTCAGCTTCTCATTCGAATTGTCCCGTTCCACCTTAAATGGTTCACGCAAAGACAAAAAACGGTACTGTTTTTGTCTTTGCCTGAAACAAATTCAGAATACTGAGAATATCTCCATTTGTGGAAACATCCACTCTCGTCCTTTACCATTGTTGCCAAACTGCATTTGTGCTGCGCTCCTCACATTTACAGTCACATCAAGCTGTGCAGTTCACAAATTAGCAAAAAACAGAAACACTTGGGAAATGCCTTACATTTTATGTATTAAAATAATAATTTTTATAGAAAAGCATGAGTAAGGCATTCTTTATTAAGTTAGTAACTGTAATGTGATTCCAAAATATTTAACTATAATGTGTTACATTACTTCGTTACAGAAAAAAAGTAATCATATTACTGTAATGCGTTACTTTGTAACGTGTTACCCCCAACACTGGTTACCACCATAACAAGCAGGTACAACCAACTTCTTAAAGCAAATAAGTAAAATTTGGAATACATATTTTTGACCAAATCACACATTTTTCATGAGTGGACTCACCTTAGTTGTAAAACTCTTGCCACTTAAATCTGAAGCAGCCAGACAGTTGATGTACAGTTGTCCTTCAAAAATGGTTTTGATGGTGTTGATGATGCTGGATTTTCCTGCTCCAATTGGTCCATGCAGAAGGAAGCGAAGCTCTCTGACTTTCTCATTAGTAATTTTGAAGTTCTTTAGGGTTGTGATCATTGGATCTTGTCTGGAAGGAAAACGAATACAATTACTTTATAGTACCAGAGATGGGAACAAGTCATTGGATTGTAAGTAACAAGTGAGTCCCCAGTATTGGCATTGAAGTCCCAAGTCAATACAGGCAAGTCTAAAATCCTAAACTTAGTCCTAATCAAATCAGAATACTTTGGAAATGTAGTGATAACTACCTAATATCCTGTCCTATTGATGTGGTGTCTAGGTTTGCAGGGTACGCAGTTGCATATGTAGTGCAACTGGATACAATTTTCTTTGGCTATTTGGTTATATAAGAATCATTGCTGACTAGCAGTCTAGCCAGCATTACAGTCTAGAGTTACTGTAGCTTAGACTCACAAGCCAGACACCTTGCTATTATCAGAGAGTCTGGTACTTTGACAAGAAGGGACCATTTCACTGGCACACAAACTGACCAATCTTATCAAGTCTAAGGCTGTGTTCGGAATGATTCACTTGTGAACTCATTCACTATTCACTACATAACATCTGTAATATAGTGAACTGGCTTGGGAACAAGCATGGAGCCACCAAAAGGGCTTTGTGGACACTACTCTTGAAAAGCGGCAGGCATTTGTTTGACGTATTCGCACGAGCAAATCAAACACATATGACAGTCCCAGGAACTGTTGACCTGTGTTATTGATTTTGGAAAGTACAAGCTGTAAGTACATCAAGTTGAGAATAAATGATTAAAACTGCATCATGTAGAAGAGCAGTCAATGATGTATTCTTAATAATACTTTCCAATGAGATTTTAATTCACCTGCATGTGACAGCTGTCATAGCTAACAGTTTTCTTATAATAAAAATGTTCCCTATGTCTGATTTGCTACTCAGTTTTCCAGTATTACATAAATAACAGACAACTGCTCATCATTTTTATGGAAATCTACAAAGATCTCTTCTACATCTCACATGTCTTTCAGCATCTGTCAGCGCAGAAGAAGATCTTTCATTTTCTTATTCATCTCTATTCTCATCTTGTCCTGATGAGGGTTTAATTCAGAAATAATTCAGAAATTTGGCATCTGAGATGCTTTATTCTTCTAAGACTCGGAAAATGTGATCTTGAGAATTTATGAGAACTTCTAGGAACTGCTATCACCTGTCAGCATGCAGCCCTATAGACGGACATTTTGGTGGAAAGCTGTTTGCACTCATGATTTTTTCCAATAATGTCTAAATGTGAGCCTTGGTTGCTAAGGTTATTCAGAGTTGTTTGTGGCAAGCAGTTAAAATTCATGATTAGCTATTAGCCTTCGCAGATGCAACAGTTTTGACCATCAAAGGGCATTGAGGTAAAACTTTAGGGTAAGCAAGCAAAACACATTTACGACTTAAAATCCCAGGCTTATAACAAACTAAGGCTTATTATTTAGTAATTACAGGGACTTCAATACAAACTCGTTGAGCTATTCTTAGTTTATAGTAGTGTGTAATAAAACTTTGGGCCTGCTGGTGGGCCCTGGCCATTTAACTAGCTGACTAGCTATCGTAAATTTTGTCAATTTGTGCCTCCAAATGTTTAAATTCATCTGTGAAGTTACTTGATGTTATGTATGCATTGCTGTTTCTTTAATGTAAGTGTTGTTCTTTTTGTTTGTAAGAATTATATTGACTTAAATTTGTATATAAAAGTGTTGTGTTGCACCCTCTGCTGTCTGTGTGCATTTTTTTGCTCTAGTAGTGTACTAAAACTGAAGGCAGCTGTCTCGATGCCTTGTTGTCTCATAAGTCAGTAAGTCCTGCCTCAGAACACTGTCTAAGAAGCAGCATTTGTTATGTTTCAGACATCATCTGTACACTACAATTTGTGATGCATTATGGGTATTCAATAGTAGACTATACAGTGAGTGAAATATAGTGAACAGCACTTCAAACATTTTTCAATTATTCTGTTTTATTTTATTTAATTTTAAAATATATCCAGTAGGTGGCAACAGTATATTAATTGTCAGACCAAAGCCTGAAATCATCATCTGAAATCATGATGAATACCTTTACAATTATTTATGAGTAACCTCTATAACTTTGGTATAGTTTGTGTTGTTTTTGAGGTTATGAGTTGTTTTATTCATTTTATGGTAATGTTTTATTTGGCCATTTTGCAGCACTGGTGCTCCCCTCCTTCAGCACTGCCAGAACTCAACTTATTGCTCGCTAGCAGCTCAACATAGAGTCACAACATTTCACACAAAAAAAGTAAACAATGTTCCACCTTAACTGATAACAAGTAAATAAAATATGCGAACCCATCATCTTTTAGAGCTTCCATATATGTCAACCATCATACGATTATTATTCCTTCTTGTTGTTGGTGTTTGGTTTCTGTTTTTTAAGTGAAGTGAATGTGAACTGCAGCCTGTGGAAATGAACATGGTGCCAACTCGTGGTGCCTGTGCTGGCCTATCCAGTATGTTTCTATCAAATGAAATTAATGACTGTAGACTTACTTCCACTGGACAGTCCTCCATTCCTTGAGTTCTGCAAGAAATGCATAAGTTATTGTAGGAGTAGGTAAAAGAGTTGGAACCACTGACTGTATTTGCAGTGCAAAAGTTTGGGCGCTCGTGGTCAAATTACATGTTTTGTTGATTTCCTAAATGACAGTACATGCCAGGGGAAATGCAGGCAGACACAACACATGTGGAGGGTGGACACCTCAAACACATTGTAACTCACCGTCCTTGGTCACATTTGCTCTAATTCACTAATAACGTCCAGCATAACAACAACAACAACTACAGTAACAGTACCGTTTTAACCAGGGATCATGGCACCTCCCAAGAGCCTTTTGCATGGCCAAATGCATTATTTATTTGCTATTTTTTCCATATAACCCCATGCATTAAATGTATTTTTTGTACAAGATATGTTAATTAATTTTACTTAGAAAATCAACAAAACATGGCGATGGCAGCACAAATGGAGATAAACTCAAGAAAATGGGACCCACAAAATTATATCACATTACAGCGCACAGTATGTTGTTTCACTGTAACAAGACTACAATGTGCAAATGAAACATATTTCTTTTTTTTTTTGTTTGTTTTTTTTCATCTTTTGACTTTTTACTGTGAATATGAAATTTGAGAAGCCTGATGCAGTAAGAAGTCTGTTAGGGCATGAATTAAGGCCTTAGTCACTCAAGTGCAGAATTCATACATACCAACAGTGACCATAGCAGAGCATGAGACACTACCGGCATTATTCGTCAGGGTTAATGTGTAGTTCCCTTCATCTTCCTTTTTACTGTCCTTGATTGTCAAGCTAAACGTTGTGCCACTTTGCCCTATTTTGTGTTTGCCCTCCACACACTCCAAGGGATGTCCATTCTTCTCCCACTTTGCCAGTACTTCTTGTATGTTTGCCTGACAGCGAAGAATAACATCTTGTCCGACTTTCACTTGTTTAGTAGCCAGAACAGAGACAAATTCTGTTAGAAACAGGAGGATGAGATTATTAGGAAAAGTTAGTCATCCAACAGGGAATTTTCATCTACAAATGTCAATATTCAGTGTGAAAATACATTTAGAAGCTAATAATGTCAAGTAGTTATAATCTCATGTCTAATACTTCATAAAGAAAGAATATATGACTTCATAAAGTTACATTCCATAATTCCATATCTGTTCAGTTATCAGTTAATGTAAAAGAAATTACAAACAAAGTTCTGCTGTCTTATTTTAGCTAAGTTGGTAACAACTGTTGTGATAAGTCTGGGTGTTGTACAGGAAATATATGAGAACCTAGCGTTAGCAGAGTTAGCCTTGTAGCGAGGCCCACTTCGCCCCCCTCGCCCCCCTCGCTGATTTTCAGACTTCGGGACACCTTTATTTCAAAACAGTGGGATGTAACTGCTCACTATGTGGCCATGAGGGACAGGGATGCAGTCTCACTTCCTGCTCTAAAATGTAGAGGTGTGGCTACAAGTGGTCTCCACCTATAAACTAAAACTCTGTGTGGGACATCATTATTTTGAATATAGTTTCTTTATGTAATACTCATTTATAATTCATGATAAATCTAAATCTTCACTTTTTAAAATAAATAAAAAGATCTTTCAAAAACAACATTGAAAGTATTATTTTCACAAGTGTAAATGACACCTCCCAGCAGAAAGTACCCTATAAATTAATATATGGTATATATTTCCCTAATTAGTATCCCAATTAATAATTTGTGTTTAAATAGATCATAACATAACTCATAAGGTGTGAATATCTAATTGTCTTTTTTAAATGGTTTGTTTTTACTATGGGAATGCAAATTGAACTAATTCAGTAAAAAGGTCCATATAGGCTTATGTCAGTTGTCATGAAATCTACATCTACATTTATAAAGGCTTACAAGCATCAGTTGTTATAACGACTGCTTTTGTCAATTTTGCTGTCAATTTACCTCAGCAAGTGTTAGGATAAGTGATGCTTGTTGGAAAAATGTCTATATAAGCTCAAGTCAGTTGTCATGAAAGGTGTATGTAGGTGACATGTAGTCTCTTGAATGCTGTCCTATTTGGATTGCATCATTTAAACTCACCAGGTTTCGTTGAAGACGATCCCATGTTTGAATTTCTGGAAGACAAAATTACATTACATTTCGTCTGTAACTCTTTCCAGTGTTGCACAAATACTCAGAAAGTAAAGATTGTGCCAGAGTTGGAAATGGAATCATGAAATTTCCACTGCAGCTCTGTAAGTTACTCTGTGGTTAAGTAGTTTGTTGAGGTGTTACTTTTGTACTTCTACTTAAGTTGTTTACTGCAGTCATTATTTCACTGATTTAATAATACTTTTACTGGAGTATGAGGTAAGGCTACTCACCTCTGAACACATTATTCAACATGATCTCCAGCATATTTGCAAAACATGACTGGAAGATAAAATTACTTGGCATTGTGTTTATTATTCGAAGCATGTCCTTTGGTGTGACTCTCATGTTAGTCACATGAAAAAAGTGCAGTCTATAATAACAACTTTGAAAACTGAAGAATTAGCTTCTAATAGTGTTCAGTCCAACCTGTCCAAAATAAAGAGCTTTTCTTTAATGTAATTTGACCAGGGAGTCTCTGAGTGTGTCACTTAGGTTGGGGTTTAGCTGCTAGCTTTGCTTTTCTAAAGTTTTTGTCTTTTTTATCTCTTAATAATTACAGATAAAGCTGGTTTATTTATGTATTTATTTGTCTATTTTTTAAGGTTAATGTAGCTTTGATTGAAATTATATAACCTTTCTGCAATCATTTGCACTACACTGTAGAAAAAATGGCTCATCAAATCAACCTAAAAACATTACTTCATGTGGTAACAAGAAAAAGAATTAGTTTTATTTGACTCAGACAATTGCATTGATTGAAAGAATCATTCATTCAAAGGTTGAATAACTTGTTAACTTGATACCACATGAATTACTTTTTTGGATGATCTGAAGAGCCATAATTTACAGTGTATTTAAATCAACAGAACTGTAATTCCTTGAGCAGTAAAAGTAAGTGTTTATAGAATGTGATGCTTAAAATCAGAATCGTGCACCAAATTAAGCACAAATTATTAGAATAGTGAGAGTAACTTCACTGTAAAAAGTGGCTCATCAGATCTACCTAAAAAAAATACTTGTGGTAACAAGTAAATTAACCAGTTTAATTCAACCTAAATCAATACTTTGAATGAATGATTCTTTTAATGTAGTATTTTAGGTTGAATAAAACTAGTTTAATTGCTTGTTACCACATGAAGTAATTTTTTTAGGTAGATCTGACGAGCCACTTTTTAGAGTGTTGGTGGGCTCTGCCTTATATAAACATCAGAAACCTTTGCAATTGTTTGTTGCAATTAAAGTGTGTGGTTATATTGGACTTTACTGAAAAAAGAGATATTTGAGGCCCTGAGAGGAAAGATGAGTCTGAGTTTATACCCAAGTAATTCTTAGTCAGTCCCTCCATTGTGCAAAAAAGCTACAAAAATGGAAAAAAAAATCAGGCCACTGGCAATCCAACGAGGCCAGATCACCCCACAAAAATCAGCGCAAAGAATTTACAGGCAAGCATTGTCTCAATCCAGTGAGATGTCTAAAAAGATCACACAATTCTATATTTGTATAACACTGTATAACAAACTGGGTGACAATCAAGGCTATTGGCACAATGTATATGTGTATGTATGTTTATATAAAAATCAGGTAATTACTTGTTGAACAACTGATGATAACAGCTTAATAACAGACAGTGTGGCAGCCAGTCGAACCTGAAACATTCCAACCCGTCACATTCTTGTCTGTCAAAACGTCTGTGACAGGGTTTTAATTCTCATCAGCATTTTGCACCAAAAATAAATGGTAACGGAGGTGGGTATTTTAATTTTTTATTTATTTTTTTTTTTTTTTGGAATGTAATTGAATCTGTAATTTCTTGATAGAAAAAAAACAAAAACAAATTAGCATTATTGATGTCTCACCAATCTCATGGAATAAGTGTTCTTTGAAACATTGAAGCACTTTTAGCCCCCAAAAGAACCTTTCTTTTTAAAGAATTATCCCCTAAAAGGTTCTTTAGGTAATTTGTTTTTCTATAGCATTACTTCAGAGAATGTTTTTTTGGCACGTTTTGGTTAAGCATGGCAATGTTCGACAAAAGAAAAAAAGAATGAAACAAAAAACCTAAAGTATGGTGGTGGCAGCATTATGCTTTGAGGCTGTGTTTCTGCCAGCTTGTCACTGTAGCAAACTGTGTATTGCACTAGACAGAACTTAAGGCAATATGAGGCCATTTGTCAAAATAACCAAATGGGAAGTGAACAAAACAATGATGCAAACAAAAAATAGAAATTTGATGAAGGCAGAATTACCTAAAACGACATTATGAATTTTTAGTAGTGTGGCAGGTTTAGCCATGACTAACACAGTACATGTGTTGTTATAGTAATTCACATTTGAACCCTTTAATCTCCCTAAACAGGCCAGCAGCATAACTTACCTTTATAAGAAGTGATGTCTGCGCCTCCTCCTATGTCTGACACTGTATGAAGCTCTTGCTCCCAACATATATATACATATGCACACCTTTACTTTCACTTTCAACTTGGTTGGAGGAATGAAGGGGAGGGGTGACATTTGCCCAGAGTGAGCAACTCTTTGAGGCTTTTTGTGAAGAAATCTTTTTCACTATATAGAATGCAAATAGCGTAAATAGCAAATAATGTGCACTAAATTTTACAGAAAATTACCACAGTTCATTCTGTACTCTGTAGAAGAAAGGTTAACACATTTTCGTCAACAAAACATGTCATTTGACTTGATGTGTTCAAACCAAACACACAAAAAAAATAATAATCATGTTTGTCATGTTTAAATTCTCGAAGTATTGTGGTAACACTCTTACCTTAGTGTCAAGTTTTGTCTGGGTTAAAAACATTGAAACATAGAGTGGAAAATGTCCAATCAAGCCAAGCGAGCTTGCCCATTGGTGAGGACTTGAGGAGCTTAACTGAAGGTCTGACACATCTGATTAACTTCTAAAATAATTAGGAATAAGAGTGGAATAAACCAATTCTGTTGCGATTTACAGGGGTGGGACCAAATACAACATTTTTCTGCAATTTTTAGTGCACAGTTTCCATTTCTTTGCATTGTTTGAGTTTAACAAATTATCACAGGTGCAAATAAGTGTTTGTAGTAATAGAGGAAGGGGTTGTTTACAACATGCTGTGTTGGTGAAAACATAATTGCTTTCACTGGAACTGAAAGTGCCTCTACCATCTGTGTTAGTGTACCACCCTTCATTGTCTGTTGCATTCTTTAGATGTTATCCTCTTTCTGCTTACTTCAAGCTGCAGTGTCAGATGTGGAAGCGTAGCAGGTTTAGCAGGATTACTGCAGGTCTTTTAGATCCTTCTCAAACATTTGATAACACTGTACCTCACCCCTGCTACAAAACATTGACATAACCATGCTGTAAACATGACATGGCGAGTGTTATATCGTCGCTGTCCAATAAAAGACATGTATCTCCATTTTTTTGTGATTTTTACTTTTTTGGATCATTTGATCTCAGTAGCTGTCCTTTACATTGTGTGAAATGATGATTGGACCAATAGAAATGCTCCAAAATTGTGTCATAATGATTGGACTGATAGAAATGCTCCAAAATTGCTTAGAATAAAATCTCTTTCCATTAACTTACATTGAAAAGTAAGAGTGTTTTTGCCCTCTGCTGTGAAGTTATTATTTTGGAGATACTTTTTCTTTGGACTGCGACGATATGCTGTCATGAGTTGTCGTGACGGACTTTGTTCAGTACAGTGTTATTGTTTTAAAGTAAATGTGTCCCAAAATCTGAGAATAAGTGTAATGTTAAGAAGTGTCACCATTCAGACACATATTTTCTGTATTGAAATAACGTTTTTTGTGTTTTGATGAAAAATATTATGATTTTATGTGTGTGCAATGTTTCAAAGCTGTGTTTGCTAGTCATCAACTGGGTTGTTGAGTTCTGCTCAAAATTAGCAAACATTATCATTACCAAATAATTTGGTTGCAGTTATGGAAGCAATACTAATGTTTTGTTAGTGAAAAATAGAATGTTAAATAATTGGTTTTACAACCCAATTTCCAAAAAAGTTGGGACGCTGTGCAAAATGTAAATAAAAACAAAAGGCAATGATGTGCAAATCATTTAAAACCTATATTTAATTTAAAATAGTACAAAGACAACATATCAGATGTTGCAACTGAGAAAATTTATTGTTTTTTGAAAAACTTATGCCCAGCAACACATTCTAAAACAGTTGGGACGAGGGGAAAAAAAGCTGGTAAAGTTGTGTGACGCTAAAAAAACACCTGGTGCTTAATTGGCAACAGGTCAGTAACATGATTGGGTATAAAAAAGCATCCCAGAGAGACGGAGGCTTTCAGAAGTAAAGATGAGGAGGGGTTCACCACTCTGTGAAACACTGCACGATCAAATAGTGCAATTCAGGAACAACGTTTCTCGACATAAAATAGTAAAGAACTTTTGCTTTTCATCATCAATGATACATAATATCATTAAAAGATTCAGAGAATCTGGAGAAATCTCTGTAGGTAAGGGACAAGGCTAAAAACCAGTAATTGGTTGCCATGATCTTTGGGCCCTCAGGCAGCACTGCATTAAAAACAGATTCTGTATTGGAAATTACTGCATGGGCACAGAAACACTTCTGAAAAATGCTGTCTGTGAAAACAGCTCATCACTGCATCCACAAATGCAAGTTTAAACTCTAAAACACAAATAAGAATCCAAATATAATCAGGATCCAGAAATGCTGCTACCTTCTCTGGACCTGAGCTCATTTAAAATGGACTGAGGGAAAGTGGAAAAGTGTCCTGTGGTCTGACAGTTCAACATTTGAAATCATGGACACTGTGTCCTCTGGGCTAAAGACCACTCAGCTTGTTATCAGTGCACAGTTCAAAAGCCAGTATTCATGATGGTATAGGGGAGCATTAGAGCACATGGCATGAGTGACGTGCACATCTGTGAAGGCACCGTTAATGCTGAATGATATATACATGATTTGGCAACATATGCTGGCATCCAGACAACGTCTTTATCAGGGAAGGCCTTGATTATTTCAGCAAGACGATGCTAATTAATTTAAAAATGACTACTTATTGAACTTTCAATAAAGCTATTCATTGCACTTGTGTAATTTTTTGTAAGTGTGTCTGTTAATGATTTGTTAAGTGTCTGTTAATGATGCTAATTGTAGAAATGTAGAGCACAGGTTTCAGTAAATTTATATAGTTTGAAGACTGTAAATGTAATATTCACTGTCTGTAGAGGTTAACCCAAGGGCAGTAGCACTGTCACTAAAAATTACATTAGTATTGTGTAATCTACCTGTTATTTTGACTCTTAATCAAATAATCTGTTTTTAAGGCCAAGCCAAGCCAAAAGAAAAAAAAAATAGACTTAATTGAAACAGTAACAAACTCTGCTCAGCCTTTCATGAATTCTAAACTACTTTGTTGGAAACAGATAAACAAGGAAGCCTTATATTATCATCTTACCTCATCTAACGATGAAATCCATGTAGGTTACCCCTTAAAATCCCTCTGGGTCGCGTGGGGGGAGCTTGAGCCTATCCCAGCAGTCATTGACCGTAAGTCAAGAAACACCCTGGATAGGTTGCAAGTCCAGTGCAGGGCAGACACACAGACATATACAATCACACACAGATTCTCACCTAGGGACAATTTAGCGTGTTAACCAAAATACATTTAGCAAAAGAAATTTGCATGTGACATAAACTTTCATGACATCACAGATTATGGCATTTTTTATGACAAAGAAAATCAGTAATGGTAACAGGACACTGTAATATTACTAAACAAAATCTGCCATATGACACCGGCCTTGACATATTTATGGCACAATTATGTCAATATTGTGGCCGCATGCCCCAGTTAAAGAGGTACTGCTGTTCTGTAGGTTTGAGGTGTGTGGTGTGTTATATGTGTTATTCTGTGTCAGGGTGTGGGTGTTTGTGTGTGTCACCGGTAGTGTAAAGTGTTTGGTTTCTACCAGCTGAAGTCAAACAAAAGGGCTGTTCTCAGAGCAGGTTCATGGCTTCACTCTACTCTTCATTAGACTGCCATTATTTATGTAGCAGGGTTCAAGTAAAGTATTACTAAGTGTTCTATGTTGCCAAAAAACAGTAACACCAGTAACACCCCTGTGAATTCCCTAATCACTCAGAATTCATACATATTCACAGAGACAATGGCAAAGCATGATGAGCTACCAGAGTACTTCCTCAGGTTTAATGTGTAGATTCCTCATGGCAGCGTTTTAGAGCCACTGTTAAAAAAATAATAGACTTTGAGAATCAAATCAAATTTTTCAGAATCAAATCGTAATATTTTGAGAATAAAGTTGTAATATTTCGATAATAAAGTTGTGTAATTGCAAGAATAAACTTTCGAGAATTAAGGAAGTTAATTGTAGGGGGGTCGCCATGATGTGTTGGGACCTCAGTTCCTGTGGTGGCAACGACGGAGATGCTGTGAGCACCAGAGTTTCGTTCACTCCTTCGGGATCAATCATTTTGTTTATGATTCTCATTGTCTCCTGTGAAACTACACACCCTCCATGAATGGGACGGATGGCAATGAACTTATTTGTTGAAACATTATGATTTTATTCTTGAAAATATGACTTTATTCTCAAAGTCTACTATTTTTCTTTTTTAAATAGCGGGACTAAAAAGCTGTCATAACTCCTCTTCTCCTTTGTTAACATTTACAATTTCCAAGATGCACTTTGTGCCAGTTTGTCTTATTTAATGTTTGTTCTGCACACAGTCCAAGTTGTATCTCCTATGTTGCAATGAATTCTTCTGTATTTGCCTCACAGTGAAGAATAACAGTTTATCAGAGTTTTTCTTTTGGTAATTCATCAGCCAAAACAGACTTACTTGAAACACAAACTTAATAGAAAAACACATTCATAAGGGAATGAAATCACTACACACTTTCAGACAACTGGGGCCAGGTAGAGTCTGCCTCAAAGAGCACATGTATTTTGTCCTCATGTACAGACAGGAGGCAATTTTTTTTGAAGGATCATGGATGGTTGCATCCCAGGTCACCAAGTCCACAACAAAACAATTAGATGGTACCTTCATGACAGCAAACTATTTAGAAGGCTTGGCAGAAATTTGAGACGCAAATACAAATGACTGGAGTTCAGTAACCAGCACTGAAACTTTTGTGAAGATGAGACAAAAATAGCATAATTTTAGCAACAAACACTTGAGATGAGGTTGGTGTAAAAGGAGTCAAGGTCATGCAGAAGAATGAACTGAGTAATTTTGAGGAGCTGTTCTGTCTTCTGAAGGCCCTGGAAGTATTGTTAGGGTATCACAGAGTCCAAGAAATGCTACGTCAAAATCTGTCTGTGTCATCCAGGCAGACTGGGTTATCTTAGAGCAAAATCAGTGATCCAAAGCCTCTAAATATGTATCTAATAAGTACTGAATCAAGCTTCTGTAGGACTCTCCCAGTCCCCTGACCTTCGTTATTATACACAGAATTTATAATCAGTTACATATATTAGATTACAGAAAATGCAAACATGTTCAGAGCATGGAGTTCCAGTACCTGTTATTGGGAACCACTAAATCAGTACTTAATATATGAGCCTTTTATAATACTTTTAAAAAACACAAAATCAGGACATCTGCCATGGCATGTTTATGGCATTATCATCAGTTGTGATATTATCAAATGTATGTCAAATTGTACTGTGAATTGGAAGCTAAATATTTGCAACATGCAAGTAGAGTAATTCAAATTTACTAGATGTGGCTTGAGATGATGTTTGAATCTATGAAGCTGCAGATGAAAAAATAATATTACTAACATGGCAGTGAGGAACCCACAGGAACTTCTAGGCCTTCAAAGAAGGCCTAATGATGTCTGTTAAACGAAAAAATACATATCTGTCAGTTTTAGTTTATTTTAAGTTAATTCATGTTTGTTGTATTTAAACTCTGCAAATATTTTTGTTTGGGTTAAAAAAATTGTAACGCTAAGCAAATGATTGTCCAATTGAGCCAAGTGAGCTCTACTATCTGGTTAGGACATCAGGAGCTGACGTATCTGATAAGCCACCAAAATAGTTACTGAGTAACAGTGGAATCAACCAATCATATTCTGATTTCCAGTCGGTAGGACAAATTGCAACATATTACAGGGTACAAATAAGTGTTTGTAGTTGCGGAGGAAGGGGTGGTTACAACCTACTGTGTTTGTGAAGAAATAATTTCTTTGGTATTGACTGGAACTGAAAGTGTCTCTAACGTCTGTGTTAGCATGCTTCGCATCATTGTCTGTTGCATTCTGTGGCTTTTATCTAGTTTCCACTTATGTCATGCTGCAGTATCAGATATGGAGCAGGTTTAGCAAGTTTACTGCAGACCATTCAGTGCTGTGGCACGCAGACTTTGGAATGCCACCCTTCAGTTGGCAGTTCTACCAGCTGTACGTGAGTTCAGATGTAAGTTGAGGTTTACAAATTAATTTACAAATCAATTCTTATTCTTCCGCTGGATTTTCGTCCACTTATACATCCTGCAGTTTTCAAGTTCTAACTCCAGAATGTTCAGCCTGATTGGGAATGGGGTGCTTCTATACAGCTTTTTGATCAGACGTAAAATTTTCAGACAATTGTTCTTAAATTATTTTTTTTCCCATAGGAAGGTTTGTGCACTTATGTTAATACAAGTCAAGACAATTGTTAAGACAATTAGCAACACTCAATTAACCATGTGGGGAGCCATAGCAACCACCTAGCAACACCCTAGCAACCAATTGGGAACCCCTAACAACCACCTAGCAACAACCCAGCAACTACCTGGGATACCATAGCAACCACTTATTAACACTTTTGCAACCACCTTTAATACCATAGTAATTGTTTGGCAACACCTTAGCAACTGCTTAAGCTGCACAAAGTTTAGACACTATTGGGACACTTTTTTTTGTTATTTAATCCACTTTCAGTGCTTATATCCACGTCAAATTTACACACCTAGGGCCAGAGCAAGTGCATCCTGATGGTGTAATCCTGGTATACTACTAATTTATGTGAAAGCTATAGTCCATATGTGTTCATATACTATGTTGCTGGCCAGAAATCTCAACTGAGATGACGAGAGTAGAGTGGCACAACAGCATGTATAACATTACAAATCCACCAATGAAATGCTGTTTTAGAGTCCATTTTGGTCCTAAAATGCGCTTGCCCTTCCGCCTTCTCAGGCCTACTCTAGAAAACGGTATTTTCCTGACTTTAAGTGTATAAAGACATCCAGTTTATCGTAGCACAATTTTGTGGTCAAATACTATTTTTATCACCACATTTAATGAACAGGACAGTTCTCTCAGTTACTAACTAAATACAACTAATCTCATTCATTTTTCACAAACAAATGTACAAGATGTGATTCAGGCAGTTTTCACATCATTATCAAAACATTATATAATGAATTGATCAATGCAACATCTAACAAAACTTTCTGTTCTTTTAAAAATCAGGAAGATACAGGCAGATACATCTGGACAGATGTGGTCCTGGCTGTTTTTTTTTGTTTTTTTTTTTCCAAAACAGGCACATATTCAGGAGAGAATCTGGAAATCTGTTCTGAAACTGATCTTCCCAACATACAGCACATCCCTACAACACAGCCACTTCAAAAACGTAGTGTGATGCATGCAAGCCAGCCTGTTAATCGGTTTGTACCTGAAAGCAGTGCAGTGCAGTTTCATTATGATTCTGCCTAACCAGATTTAAAGAGTCAATTAAAGCCTAACCAGGGTCATAAGGTTGTATAATTGCTTTTAAGTATTTATAGTCACATGCACTCTTTCTAAAATAAAATTGTACAAATTCCTAATGTCAGTTTTCATAATGCATTTTAACATCTGTCCACAAGAAACACTGTAAACATGAATGTTGTGATGCACTATACTACAGTATAACAAGCTTGTGGTATAGTTACTAAATAACAGCAAACCCTGGCGCATATCCAGGTAAACATTTCTTGAATATGATCACTTCCACAACATGGGACAATATTCTGAATGGAATGAGAGAATAAGAGAGGTCATATTGGTGGACCTGGCACTGCTTCAAATTGTTTCTAAGAAAAGCATAACCTGTTATGTGTAGTGTGAATTTAAAAGAGTTTGCTTATTTTTAGCTAACTCTAAACTTTAATGCTGGGCTAGTTGGCTAAAAGTGCTAGAGCAGCAACATGTGGCTCTGGAGCTGTCCTGTTGCAGCTCTACAGCTGAATTAGACTTTTTAGGTAGAAGTAAAATATCATCCTTTGCAGTAATGAAGGTGCGACCCCATTAGTAGAATTAAAAAGTAGCAACAAAATCTTATAGACAATTCTAAAGGAAACATGCAGCCAGTGGAGTGATATTAAAAATAGTCTAATATATAATATATCTTGTTTTCTAGAATGTATTTATGTTCTTGTTTTCTTCTTTTTCTTCTTTTCAGTCAAGATTTTTTCATTTCAGTGCAAGATACTGTAGTCATTGTCTGTTTCCAAAGAACTTTAGCATGTGTATTTGTTAGTTTGTTATTACTTCATAATTAGCATGAAGCTAATTGTGTAATCATGCTAAACAATTGAACAGCATGCATAAATGAAGTGAACAAACTCTACAACGTAATTTGCATTTGCAAAGTAAGTCTGTGTTTTCGTTTATGTTGCACATTAGTTTTTGTTTATATTGTACATTATAGTACACATTAGCACATACTAAGACATATTTACAGCCAAGATGGTAAAATGGACATAATATAATTACAGCGTTATATATAGAACCCTAAACTTGGCCATTGCCTTATGAGGTCCTTTACGTAATACTTTATTACAGTGTTATAAATGGAACAAATACATATTAACTTAGTTCAAGGCCTGTACTTTCAATATGTATATATATATATATATATATATATATATATATATATGTATGTATGTATGTATGTATGTATGTATATGCATTTAATAATGTATTTATAAGGCAGTGCTTGAATAATATGCTTAATGCTATCATTTTCATATTGAACAGCTTCTAGTAATCACAAGATGACATTAGATCAAATATGAAGTAATTGACTTTGCATTGAAAGTAAAGGCCTTGAACTAAGTTCTAAGTAATGTGTATTTGTTCCATTTATAACATTGTAATAAAGTATTGAGTAAAGGAACTCATAAGGCAATGGCCAAGTTTAGGGTTCTATATATCAGTTCTATGAAAGATTTTGATGCCATCATACTTTTATGACAATATCCATACATATTTTCTCAAATATCAATATATTCCTGTGCAAAAATCATGTTCAATCATTTTGAGTAAAAGTTGAAATGGCCATGGGAAAAAATGACTAGTAAAAATTAGTAAAAGTGGAATTCCTCTGTCTCTATATATACTCTATAAAACACTTCCTTTTAAATGTATGTAAGCATCAAAAGTAAATACACTGTGAGTTTACAGTTATGTTATACTACTTTTATGAATAATTTCTATTTAAGAGACCAGTGTGGCAGAGATTGGAGATTAAATTTTACCTTTATACTGTAACTCAAAGTGAAATTCTGCCAGTAATCACTCTATGAAGAAAATGAACTGCATCAACATCAAGGGAGGTAAACAAAAAATAATGGGACATATCTTAAATGTATAACACTATTATAAAGCATCAAAGGCCTAGTTAAGCACTTAACAGTTCTGTACATTTATACATGAGTTAAAGTAATATTTCATCAAGGGTACTTCACATTTTAATGAAGTACATGATTTTGTACAAATATATCATCGCTGTCCAATGTCCAGTGTATCTCCATTTTTTGCGTTTTTTTGTACTTTTCTGAATCATTTGAGCTCAGCAGCTGTCATTTGTATTGTGTGAAAATTTCATGATGATTGGACCAAAAGAAATGCTCCAAAATTGCTCAGAATAAAAACTTTTCTATTAACTTACATTGAAAGTAAAGAAGGCTTTTGCCCTCTCTTGTAAAATTACTATTTTGGAGATACTTGTTTTCATTGGACAGCAACAATATGTATATTGACAGAAATGCTTAATTAGTTTATACACGTTTTCAGTAGTCCAGATCATTTCAGGGTGGCAAAGTTGAGGAAAAAATGTATTAATACTGTTTCAAAAGCTATGAAACATATCAATAAACAGAATACAAAATGCACATCATGTCTAGATTTGTCACTGATCCATTTACAAACAGAAAAGTAGTGGAGTGAAATTTCATGCTTTAGTTTACATAATGCCTACCTTTGATCAAAAGCTTTTAATAATGGGCATTTAGAAACAAAATATAAGCTGGACACTTTATCAGAAACCCCTCTCTTGTAGCTCCATCCTACTGGTGTACAGGCAGACAGTGTAGCTGAAGCCCACAATGTGGCTTAGCCATCCTCTAGACCTTCATGAATGGTCAGTTTATGACCTCAGAGCTGCTCTTCGCTGACTTATCAACCTCACACTCATATCAGTGCTGCACACAATACCACGCCACTGCTGAGAGTGGTCCACACCCAAATAATATCTGGTCAACATTGACCATTCAGAAACTGCCCAATAATGAATGGCATAGAGAATGGCTGATAAATTGTTAATGACAACAAATGCTACAGTCGAGAAAGGTGAGGCAACATACATATTTGGTGGACCAACTGATCTGATACATAAGCATTATAACAAGATACAGATATTTGGGTGGTTCTTGACTCAACGTGTTATGAGTTACAAGTTTTCTATGAAGATGAATCATTCTGCATGTCACTCCTTGTGTGAAAACTTTTTAACATAGTCATTAGCTGATTCCACAGCCTGTGTGAAGGCCTCCAGCACCAGGCAGTTTAGCTTCTCATTCATCTTGGTCTCCTCATGATAGTTCTTCATAGGGAAGGTGCAGTTCATAGGGACTCCCAGTTTAGTGCTGCACTCTTCCATCTGGAAACACACAGTGGTATTACTTTATCAGCTAAAACATTCCATGGAAGTCTGCGTTTTTTCTAGGAGAAGTTAAAAGACATATCAGTACAAACTAGCAAAGTAACTCACTTTCTCCTTGATCTTCTTGCTTTGGAAGGTCTTGGTCAAATCCTCCCGTGCCAGCACGCAAACCTTGTCCATTTTTGTCACGAAAACCAGCTGAGGGATTCCTGCAGGACAGACAGCAGTGATACATAGAGATTCAACAGATACTGTGAAAAAGGACTTTCATATCATTTTTATGAGTTCCAAGAAGAAACCCTTCAGTGGAAGACCACCCAGCAAACATGCCCCAATGTGGGCTGACTACAGGCTGAATGTTGTCAGTGTGGGCCTGAGCTCCTGCCTCTGACCTGAACCACCATTCCACAATGTGGCCCACTGGGCTGTGGGCTTAGGCAAATCCACATAAAACCCACACTTACTTAGGGCTGCCTGAGGGGCCAATCACTGGCCAATGACTAGCAAAATCTCATGGGCCCTGTCCAGGGAATCTGTTGTGAGCTACTACTGAAGCCCTAAGAGTGATCCCATGGGTCAGTGAAGACTTGCTAATTGTCATTATATAGAATGTTATTTGTGTCAAATGTGTTACCACAGCCTGTTTTATCATGTGTTTACTTTGGTAACACTTCACATAAACCCTGTTACACAACATTGACATACAGAACATCATGACAGATTTTATATGCCGTTATAAGTTGTCATGACAAGTTCTCTTCAGTGATATAACAGTGTAACAGTATCATGTTCCCATTATTGATAATTGTAAAGACAGATGTGATCATGTTTGCCATGACATGAAAGCAAACTAGAGGAGATTATACAAAAATAAAATAACATACACTGTCATGACATCATTGTGACATCAGTCATAACAATTTATGAAAGCATATAACATTCTTCTGTACATGTCAGTGTTATGCAGAATTCAAGTTAAGAGTTACTGTAAAAAGCTTTGCTTTTTATATTTCTGATAAATTTGTCTGAAACACTGACAGCTTCATGTGTCATAATTTAAAACATAGAAAAATAACAACATCAGTACATTATTTGTAAGTTTCAAAATACAGTGTCCTTTTAAAACTAAAAAGGCAGTGAACTATATTTTAGAAAAGTTCAGATATTAGGATTTTTTTCAGTGGTGTTCAACACTATACCCCGTGTATCAACACTCATATCCCGTTTACCTTTTTGCAATTTTGGTGTACATTTATTTCTTATATACTTCACACTTTCTTCAATTGTTCTACTTCTTGAAACAAGTGACAGATAAGAGTGAACTCACCTAATTTACTGGCTTCTGCTCTGATGTCCTTCATTTTCTGGATGACTTCATTGTCCATTATGCTAACTTTGTCTGCTGCAATAACACTCACTAGGCAGTGAATCTTATTATTCAGAGTGGGATCACTGATGTAATTAACATTTTCTTTAGACATTGGGTAGTTGTCCTTGAACTAAACATGAGAGAAAACAAAACAACATAAGTTTTTCAGAAACAACATGACCAGTACAGGAGTAGTTGTTTTTGTTGTTGTTGTTGTTGTTGTTGTTATTGTTGTTTTTCATTTGTGTGTGTAGGAGAGAGAAAGTGTTTGTATGTATGTTTTTGTGTGTTGGTGTGTGTGGGTGTGTGCGTGTGTGTGTGTGTGTGTGTGTGTGTGTGTGTGTGTTTTGTTCTCACTTCATAGTCATCTGGTATGTGACCCTTTAATGCATTGATGATGTCATCAGAGCGCGCTCCTTTTGATCGTCCATCTTTATTGTCTTTTTCCAGGCCCATCACATCATAGAAGGCGAAAGGTAAGGTTCCAATAGAGAACTTCTGGTACTGGAAATGCCTAATAATAATAATATCAATAATAATAATAATAATAATAATAATAATAATAATAATAATAATAAATAATAAATAATAATAGAGATTGCTGTAGAAAAGAATTAATTTTTAAGGTATTATTATTATTATTATTATTATTATTATTATTGTTATAATTAATTTTAAACATAACTGCCCATAATGAGCTCAATTCCAACAGATAATAATAATAATAATAACCACACAGATTTGCTGACTGTCTGATTGCTAGCCTGTTGGATTTTCATGAATTAATAAAACATATTCCTTCAAAATTAGCCCAATTCGTTTATTATACTTATACAAATCATGTATAACCATATTATGCTTAAATATTGAAAAGGAAGATTCCATTTGCATTCCATTTCAAATCGCACAACTAACATGTGGAACATGCCTCTCTCATAAATGAAAATCACAGACCCTAAATACAACATAAAAGAGTTTTTTGGAACCGTCAAATGTAAATAGAACCTTCTTATCCTAAGAACACACTTTCTGCATGGAATTAAAAGATTCTATCTGATAGAAAATGAAAAAAGCAATGATTTTTAATGAACAGTTTACTTACAGTTTACTTGTAATGTATTTTAAAACAAACTTAGTGTCAGAGAGTGTGACAGCATATACATGTATAACATTTTTTACATTAACTTCTAGTATTTTTTTTCCATTTATTGTATTTATTTTATTATCAGTGTTTGTGAAAATGAAACCAACTTTACCAGTTAAAAAAGTGTTTTACATTTAGGTACCTTTTTCTGTTTCACACTGAATTCCAGTAAATTTTAGTAAGTTACTGTTATCCAGCCCTAACAGTGTAAACCTTTTAACTTGTAACAATGTACAACATTAATTTATCAGAGCAAGATACTGTGGTCCAGATGCATGTACAAGTGCTGGAGTAGCGCAATGATATGAGTTGACTGTACCTTCTCAGAAAAAAAAGGTACCCTCAGGGGTACATCTCAGTTACCTTTAGTCAGGGAACATAACTTTACCATAATCTATTGAAGTTATATTTTCTATGTTGTACTGACTCCACACACCCTGTCTCCTCTCCAGGCTTTTTATTATATTGTTCTGTTTTGAAACATTAGGTTATGAAAGAAATATGTACTTTTCACTTTTCAAATACTTTTGGGGGAAAAAAAAATTAAGGTTCACAAGTGGACCTTAAAACCACTGTTTTACCTTTGAAGGCACTTTACATTGTTTGTACATTGATGATGACATGTACCTGCACAGAACCATTATTTCTACATTATACAGTGTAGGCTACAGAAACTAAATTTAAATAAGGGAATGGTTTTCCATATAAGTGACACCACCATATTCTTAAATCAAATTAATGAAATTCAATGAGGCTGAGTGTCAAATGTGTCACGCATCCCTAGGGCTCAGAGGCCTCTAGGGACCCCACTTCCCAGAATCCCCTGGGGGATCACATGATTCTCAGCCCTCCATCTCGCTCCAATCACTGCTCTTTGTCTCCTGAGTACTAACTTGTTACACCTGTTCTTGTATGATTAGCTTAGTATAAAGCCCAGGCTTTTAGACTAGTTCATTGCGAGGTATTGCTACTTGTTCCAAGAGCTACTGAGCGTTGTTCATCTGTCTACTGTGATTTTTCTGGTTCTGACTGTTTGATTCTGACTTGTTTCTGAGTGATGGGAAAAGGAATAGTGAGATCAGCCACAGACAAGGACAAGCGGCAGCAGTAATGCAGTCACTGTACTGGACTGTAGTGGTGAAAAGGGAGCTGAGCCAGAAGGCAAAGCTGGGTAATGGCTGAAAGAATGAGATCATGAATACAAGTGTTGGAAATGAGCCACACTCTACCTGATCCATTACTCCTCCACATTGAAAGGAGCTAGTTGAGGTGGTTCAAGCATCCGACTAGGATGCCCACTGGGCACCTCCTGTTGGAGGTTTACCGGGCATGGCTAACTGGGATGAGACCCCAAGGAGAGATTATATCTCCAATTTGGCCTGTGTGCAGCTTGAGATTCCCCAGAATGAGCTGGAGGAAGTTGTGGGGGAACAGAGTCTTCTGGGATTCTCTGCTTTCCCTATGGCTACCATGACCCTAGCTGGATCAAGCGATTTAAGATAAATGAAATGAATGAAATTTGGAATACATATTTTTGACCAAATTGCACGTTTCTCATGAGGGTACTCACCTTTGTAGTAAAACTTGTTCCAGTTGCATCTGAATCTGAAGCAGCCAGACAGTTGATGAATTGATGTTCTTCAAAAATGCTTTTGATGGTGTTGATGATGCTGGATTTTCCTGCTCCAATTGGTCCATGCAGAAGGAAACGAAGCTCTCTGACTTCCTCATTCTTAATTTTAAAGTCCCTTATTTTTCTGATCATTGGATCTTGTCTGGAAGGAAAAAAGTAAAACAATCACTTTACAGTACCAGAGATGGGAAAAAGTCATTGCAACTAAAAAGTGAGTTTCCAGTCTTGACATTCAAGCCCTAAGTCAACACAGACAAGTCCGAAATCTCTCAAATCCAAAACTTTAAGTATTAATCAAGTCAGATTTATTCACCATAGCTGGGCAGAATACTTTGGAAATGATGGGTAAAAACAGAGTACACTGTCCCAGTGGTGTAGTATTTAGGTATGCATTGGGGTGCACTTGCATACATAGTAGGCCTGTAACTGGATATGATTTTCATTGATTTTTTTGGTGATATACTATTGCTGACTTGCAGTATGACTGAGCTTGCAAGCATTACATTGTAGAGAGACTTCACTTAAGCCTAATCTTTCTAGCTATCATCAGAGAGGTAGGCTTTATTTTTCAACATAACCAAGAACCACCTACTTTGGCAAAAAGCGCAGTTTCACTGACATGCAAATTGACCAGATATTGACTATTGTGTTTTGGGCAATCCACTGACTATAGTCTCACTTAAGCTTGATAAATTAAAGGTGAAAGATGAATGACATAGAAGTTCATATATTTGAGGTGTATAATGCACAGCAGGTGTATAATAACAGAATGTTACTTGCTAGACTGAAGCTTGTTTGAGTTCACAACTGATGTCTTCACAGCTTTTATGAGTCACTTGTATCATTTGTGTATTGTTTTTCTCACTGCTTACTAGCAGCTCAACACAGAGTTACAACATTTCATGTTCATAGAAACCCACTGCGTCCTGGTTAAACTGACAACAAGTATATAAAATCTGTGAACCCATTGCCTTTTAGGGCTTCTGTATGTGTCAACAATAATAAGATTATTATTATTATAATATCTTGTTTTTTGGTTTCTGTTTTTTTAAGTGAAGTGAATGCGAACTGCAGTCTGTGGGAATTAGCACTGTGCCCACTCATATTGCCTGTACTGGCCTGCCGAACATGTTGCTATTGCTTATCTTTGATCACATGATATGATGTTAAAGAACAACTGTGTGGACTTACTTCCACTCGATAGTCCTCCATTCCTTGATTTCTGAAAAAAATGCATGAATTATTGCAGGAGCAAATAAAACACTGTGTACCTAAGAAGAACTACAACTGAATAAACACATTTGCAGAGTTAAATGTAAACAGTGAATCATATGGGATTTGTTTCTGTGGCTACATATAGCAATATTTCTAAATCAATTTAGAAACATCTTGAATTTAGCCTTAGGTTTAGGCAAGTAGCTTCTGTACTCAAGCCAAAAGTTCAGTAATATTTTCTCTAAAAACCTTCTTGATGAACCTTTGATGTTACAACCAATAATTAGCAGCTGTTGTTGAATTCGTTTTATGGTTCATTGGAATTGACCTCCATGAATTGCCAATGAAATATAAACAGTTATTAACAAATAACATAATAACAAATAAATGTGACGTCTAAGTCTAATTTGACCTGTATTCGAACAAAAAAAAAAAAAAATCAAAGACAAGATATGGAACACATATCCGCTTCATTGTTTTTAGTGTAAAAATATGCTCGTTCTAAAATTGATGGCTGTAAAATTGATGACCATAAAAAGTTGGGATGGGGGCAAATTAAGACTAGGAAGATTGTGAAGAAGATTTTCAGAAAGCATATTATTAAGGTGACTCAATCATGCTTAATTGAAAACAGAGCATCCAGGACAAGGCTAGGATGGTTGTCACTTTGCCAAAAATGCATCAGCAAATATCCAACAATAAAATGAACTTATTTCAAACAATGATTGCAAGGATTTCAGGTATTTCACCATTTACATATGTTGACAAACTGTCAAACAACACAGTTAGTCGCTTCATCCACAAATACAATACTATTGCTGTAGTTTTTACAGTATTTTTTTTTACAATAATGTACTGTTTTTAATTTTTAAATCTGTAATTGTATTTTGCAGTGCATTATGGGTGCACAGAAGAACTACAGTAATTAACAGCATTTTTCACAACGATGGACGAGCACAATTACAGGCAGGAGTATGCTCAGAGTGATAAGTGCAGTTTTGCAGTAATATACTGTGAAACTCTTGTGTGAGAAGACGGGAGATGACTGAGCTTTGAAATGCCTTTAAGACAGATGGCAAAGTTGGTAAGTGCAAGTTTATATTCCTTGAAAGTCACATCTAGCTTGTTAAATATAATAACCTGAGATTAACGTACTCCACCCATTTTGTATTTCAAAGGGATGTGTTTCACCAGTTGCTGTGGGATTCAGGACGATTCTTCGATTTAAAAGAAAGAAGATTTACAACCTAGACTTTCACTTATTTGGGAAGCAGCTTGTGTTAATCTAGCCTTATAATGTAGCTAGTTAATGTTATTTCTACCTGCTAGCTACATTTATGAGGCTAACTAGCCTTGTTGGGGATTTCCACATCCTGCAGCATCACCTCTTGGTAGCCTGTCCTGTGTGAAGTGCTGTTAGATGTACATTTGAAATCCATTTTTTGTTTTTATAACATTGTTATTGTGGTATTTAACTAGTGTGACAAAAAAAAACCCCGTCCATTTTATTTTTTTAGAGATTGGCCATGGCAGCAGATATACAGTTCAATGGAAAATTAAATTTATACAATATTCCACTTACTCCAGCCAAGACATGTCTGGTGTCCAAATTTTTAAAAATCAAGAAAGAAATTATAGTCGCTAAAATTGAATTTTGAAAAACTCAATTTTGGAGGAGAGAAGTTTTAAAATGAGAGGAGGTATAAAGCATGACTTAAGAATTGCATTTTATATGATTGATTTTAAATGAAATATGCTGCATGTCATAATAAGAATACTTGGATATAAAGCAATTCATTTTCTTTTTTGTAATTTCAGGTGTGCCATTGGAATTAATAAAACTTCAGGCACCAAGATGACCACCAGAGTACAAGAAAGGTGAGAAGGTTTCTGAGAAAAAGAACACGGCCATGCATGTGAATACTGCAGGCAAAGCTCTCGAAACAAAGAACCAAGCATTCTTTGTGGACTTCACGAACACAAGTTATCCCACTTGCTCATATGTTTGTTCCTGGGCAAAATGACATTTATTCAATTAGGTCATTGGTTATTTTTCCTCTCTTTGCACTCTCATTTTCCTGCTACTTCCTTTACACATCTTTTCCAGAGGGTTTCAGTTTTGACAGATGGTTAGTCATGGTAGTATTTGTGAATGTGTTCTCAGGGATGCAGGATGACTGAGAAAAAAAAGGTAATATTTAGATATTTAAAGAGCAATAGTTATTTTTATTGTCATTTTTTTAGTTTTTATGCCCATTTTTTCCCACAACTAACTAGTTGCTAAATCCACCCACTAGCTAAGTCTCCCCGTGACACTTTTCAAGTCAAACTGAGAGGATAAAAGTTAGCATGTGCCTTCTTTAAGAGACATGTGAAGCACCACCACATCTTTTTAAAACTGATGCTCAACACATTTTAAAAGGAACACTACCAACTGATGACACCCATGACACCCATGTCGCTCTGCTCTGAAAAAAACTCATGGTCAAATTTGAGCTTTTTTTTTTTTTTCTTTTCCTCATGACTTTTTTGTGTAAATCTGAGATTTGAGCAGTCTTTTACTTTGAGCAGTCTGTTGGGGAGTGAATAAAACCCTTAGTCATTCAAGTGCAAACCAACATACATACCAACAATGACCATGGCAGAGCATGAGGCAGTACCAGCCTTATTCGTCAGCTTTAATGTGTATTTCCCTTCATCTTCCTTTTGAACATTATTGATATTCAAGGTAAACGTGGTAAAACGCTTATCCACTGTGTGCTTGCCATACACACATTGTAAACGACATCCACTCTTCTCCCACTCTGCTGTTACGTCTTCTGTGTTTGCCTCACATTTAAGAGTAACATTATGTCCATGTTTCACTTGTTGATCAGCCAAAACAGAGACAAATTCTGTTGAAAACAGAAGGGAAGATGATTAGAAAAAGACCCAACGCAGCCAACAATGAATGTTTATATACAGACGTTTATAATCAAAGTATCTGAACATGCATTTGGAGTAATATTATATGTTTTATTATATATTATTATATGTATGTATAATAAATATATTATCACACTCAAACACACACATACACACACACGCACACACACACACACACACACGCACACACACACACACACACACACACACACACACACACACACTGCCAGCCATTTGATGAAGTACAACTCCTTATATCTACATTCTTTGTCCAGTTTATCAACTCCTCTTACCATATAGCTGCACTTTGTTGTACTACAATTACTTTCACCCTATTCAATGGTCAGGGACAGGTATTATTTGGGTGGTTTCGAGTGGGTCAGGCACAGCAGTGCTGCTAGAGTTTTTAAATACTGAGTTCACTTACTGTCCACTCTATTAGACACACCTAACTTACACACCTAACCCACCTTGCAGATAGTTAGAGACACTTAGCCTTAAACCTAAATAAACTTTTGAGCTAAGGCAAGTATCGGTTCTCAAAAACATTGCATTGCATTTTTGCCCATATTGTTGTAATTTTACCCCAGCAAGTGTTATAATAAATGCCAACTGGTGAAAAAAGCCTTTATAAATGTCTATATAGGCTTATGTCATTTGTCATAAAATGTCTAGGTAAGTGTTGCATAGCCTTATTAACATTTTTATTTGATCATTTAAACTCACCAGGTTTTGTTTGAGATGATCCCATGTTTGAATCTCTGGAAGACAAAATTGATGATATTTGTTTATGTTTTTATTTTTCGTTTGTTTTTGTGTCAGGTTGACCATTATAAATTTTATTGTTTTTTGAAAAAAATTTGCCCATTTTGAATTTGTTGCCAACAACATGTTCAAAAAAAGTTGGGACGGGGGCAACAAAAGGCTGGTGAAGTTGTGTAATGCTAAAAAAACACCTGGTGGTTAATTGGCAACAGGTCAATAACATGACTGGGTATTTAAAAAGCATCCCAAAGAGGCTGAGTCTTTCAGAAGTATACATGAGGGTTCACCACTCCATGAAAGACTGCACAAGCAAATAGTGCAACAATTCAAGAATAACATTTCTCAACATAAAATAGCAAAAAAAAAAAAATTCTGAAAAACCTCTCTCTGTGAAAAGAGTTTGGCGCTGCATCAACTAATGCAAGCTAAAACTCTCTAAAACTCAGATTCAAAGATTCAAAGAAAAAAAACATATATAAACAGGTTCCAGAAATGCTGCCACCTTCTCTGGGCTTGACGACATTTAAAATGGACTGAGGGGAAGTGGAAAAGTGTCCTGTGTTCAAAATCACAGTTCAAAAGCCATTATTCATGATGGTATGAGGGTGCATTAGTGCACATGTCATGTGTGATGTGCATATCTGTGAAGGCACCATAAATGCTGAACGATATATACAGCATATGTTTTGGCAACATATGCTGCCATACAGATAACATCTTTTTCAGGGAAAGCCTTGTTTATTTCAGCAAGACAACGTCAAACCACATTCTGCATGTATTTTAGCAGCATTGCTCCATATTAAAAGAGTGTGGGTGCTAAACTGGCCTGCCTGCAGTCCAGACCTGTCACCACTGATAACATTTAGTGCATTATTAAATGAAAAATATGACAAATGAGCCCCCGAACTGTTGAGCAGCTGAAATCCTGTATCAAACAAGAATGGGAAAACATTTCACTTTCAAAACTATAGCAGTTGGTCTCTTCAGAAGAGGTGATGAAACACAGGGGTAATTATGCCCCAGTCCTAACTTTTTTGGAATTTATTGTGGGCATCAAATTCAAAAAGACTTATAATTTTCAAGACATTTCTCATTTTCAATATTTGATATATTGTCTTTGTAGTATTTTCCTTTAAAATATGGTTGACATTATTTGCATATCATTGCATTTTTGGGAAGGGGGTTGTATATACGACAAAAATGGAGAAACAAGGTTTTGTCCCAACATTTTTGCCATGTTCATTTTTATCTTTAAGAACAAAGCTGGCCACAGTGACAGACATTATTAGATGCAAACCAAAAAACAAACCCGCAATGTTAGGTGAACCAAAAACATTGACCAAAGAAAAAAAGAAAAAAAAAATACCAAAAGTAAAGTATGGTGGTGGCAGCATTATACTTTAAGACTGTGTTTCTACCAGCTTGCCATGAACTTGCCATGGCAACCATGAATTCTATATTGTTTTGACAGAATCCATTTGACCATTTGTCAAGATAACTGAACAATAACTCGGCATAAAACCATAACACCAACACCAAAAACAAATCCATGAAAGAATGGATTATAATGAAGGATTATAGAATGTTCAAGTCGAAGTCCAGATCATAACCCTGTCGAAATGCTGTAGGCGGAGCTTCAAGCAGAATTTATGGCTGTGTGCAAATGTTTGGGCGCCCCTTGTAAAATGAGAGATTTTCTTAGTACAACATATCCCAGTCTCTTCTTTTAAATGCTTAGTTACTGTTTACTTGATGAATGTAACCTATAATTAATTATGTTTTTTTTTTTTTCATATATGTTAACCTCAGCAAATAAATAGAAATTGTGCACTAAAATTTGCAGACAATGCCATATTTATTTGTCCCCTGCAGAGAATATGTTAACTTCTTTTCTGGCTGCACATGCAAGCAAGCTATCAAACATCATACAGTGAACGTTTGCATTTCTCATTTTTGTTGAATAAGTGATTGCAAAGAATAACTAGAAAAAAAAGAAAATGGATGATGCTTTCAGAATTACACAAAAATGCATGAAACATGAGGTTTGGAAGCATGTCAGGTTTAGCCATGACTAATACAGTACATGTGTAGTTATAGTCATTCATATTTGAACTCTTTAACCTTAAGATCTCACAGCAGGTTACAGAAGCTTTACTTACCTTTATAAGAAGTGATGTTGAGGTCTGTGTCTCTTTGTCTGTCAGTTGCTCTATCTGCAGCTCTTCCTGTCTCTCTATGTATAAAGACTCCTTTTACTTTCACTTTTGACTGCATGAGAAGAGTGGAGTGGGGGATGGGGTGCTTATAACGGTATATCTTCGAAATGGCCGATTTCTAGGAAATTGATATATTTGAGGTCACTGATCAGCAGCATATCATGCTTGTTTATGTTTTTTTATTCTTTATTTCTTGTTTGTTTTCACACAGTTAATGCAGATTTATACCAAACTTAATATATACTACTTAAAATCTAAGTTTAAACAATGCTTTGAGGCTGTCTACAAAGAAATCTCTCTCACTATGTCGAGATGCATGGACATCTTTCACTCTTCCATAATCAGTCGACACAGCACTACACTGATCAGATGATTTTATGCTACATTTGGTCTTATATTTGTCATGTACAGAATTCAGGTCACCTCTTCAAATAGCAAACTGTGTTCATTTTAAGCAAAAAATGCACATCCTCTTCCTCTTTCTTCAAATTTAGTGCAAAATTTAAAAGATGAAATAAATGTGGGTAACAGTACATATGAATCCTCTATGCACAAGGCATTTCTAAGGCATTATAGGGTACAGATAATACTTTATAATGGCAGGCATAAGCTTGTATGGTTGCTTGTAAGTACTTATAGTTGCATAACACTATAAAATAAGATTATATAACTTAATATGTAACAATGTCAGGTTTCAGGATGCAGTGTAAGATCTCACTGTAAGCATCAATGTTGTAATGCACTGTAACATACAGTGACAAGGTAATCACTTCAACCCCCCAACATCTGTGAGAGACAATGGAGGCAATCATATATGGAGTGAGGAGGGTAAGGGCTGATATGTTGGTGGACCTGGTGCTGCTTCAAATGTGTTTTTACTTGTGGTGTAAATGTGATAGATTTTGTTTAGTTTTAACTAACTGGAAGCTGTAATGCTAGGCTAGCTTGCTGCAGGTGCTAGACTGTAGCTGTTAACTAAATTGGTAGCACAGAGAGCTACTTTTATCCAGGTGATAACAACAGTCAACCACACCAATTCACACCATAAACAATGACCTGTATTACCAGTAAGATGTGATAGACATGTTAAATGTGATAACCTCACTTCACTTAAACCCTGTAACAGTCTGGCATAAAAGGTCTATAAAGTCTTTCAGTGCATTACAACATTATTGTAATGTTGCATGTATTATAGCATGTATTAATGCGATTACACACACGTCAAGGTACGTAGAGTATTTTTTGCTTCAGATTGCTTCATCCTAACAGAAGCTACAACAGAATATTCGGGGCCTCTTTCAAGTGAATCTCCCTGTAACTACTTCGGAAACATTATACAAGCTTATGCCAGGTATTATAATGTGTTACGTATGTTATATGTCATGTAGTCACCCTGTCTGGGGACACTGTACTTGCATTCTCCCTGGCTCCACCCACTTGCACACCTGCAAGTCATCCTGGCCTCATTATTTTCCTGATTTAAACCCCTTTGTTTGGTTTAGAGTTTGCAAAGTCTCTGTGTTGTTAACCTGAGTTCTAAACCTGATTTCATTTGTTTTGTTCCTGTGTTTTGGCCCTTGCTTTGTCTCCTGGTTTGTTTATGTGGATCTGCCTTTGATATTGCCTGCATGTGTTCTTACCTCTGCCTGTTATGTGGATTCTGAGTATTAGACTGCCCCTAATAACACACCACACCACCAGTTTACCCCAGCTTTTACTACAGGTAACCCAGATCTATAATAACCAAAGTCTTTTAAAATTGGTTAAAAACTGGTTAAAAACAGAGCATTATCTGATATTTACAAAAACTATGTCACATTTTATATATTTTTTTTTATTTTATGTTTTTCCAATGTGTTACCTTAGCAAATAAACAGAAGTTGTTCACCTGAATTTGCGGGAAAATGGCAGGTTTGTAAAGGATGTATTAGTTTCTGACGTGCAAGCAAGCCATCAAACATCATACAGTGAACATTTGCATTTCTTGATTTTTGTTGAATGAATGACTGCAAAGAATAACAAGACAAAAAAATAGAAAATAGATAATAAATGCAAAATTACACACAATGAGGTTTGGAAGTGTGTCAGGTTTAGCCATGGCTAACACAGCACATGTGCCGTTATAGTACATCTGAACTCTTTAATCTTAAGATCTCCCACAGCAGCTTTTTTTACCTTTATAAGAAGTTATGCTGAGGTCTGTGTCTCTTTCTCCTCCTCTGTCTACTGCTCTGTGTCTGCAGCTATTCCTGTCCATATATACATACGCTCATTTCTCTTTCACTTTCAACTCCATGAAGATAGTGGAGGGGGAGGGGACAGGGTGGGGTGCTTATAACAGTATATCTTGGAAAGCACATATTTCTTGATAATTGACTGAAAGCATCTTTGAGGTCACATACTTGCTTACGTTTTTTATTCTTTAACATTTATATATTTTGACACAATTAATGCAGACTTACCTTGAGCTCAGAACCAAGCATACTGCCACTCAAGAGCCTGTCTCAGCCACCTTTCTTTCCCCCTTCTGCATCCTCGACTTAATGGTTTGCATCGTCCTGCTTGTGAATAAAAACTTTTGTTTTTTTGTACTTTTCCCTCTGGAGTGGAGTGTTGTGCTGTGGTCGAGCCTCTCACACTGGTGGAAAATGCAGGAATAAAAAGTAACTTTTTTTCTCTCTCACTCCTCCCTTTTTTGAGAAGCTCTCTAAGGCTACGTTTACACAGCATGTAAAAGTGTCCCAAATCTGAATTTCTCACCAAATCCGATTTTTTGTTTGGCTGTTCACATTGTCTTTTAAATGTGATCTGTATGCGACATCAGTCTGAACAGATTATGCTCCTAAACTGACCCGAATGCGCAAAAGAACAACGCTCCACGTGGCGTGTTCAATCATGACGGCCAGCGAACGCCTGTCACTCCTGAAGCTTTCGGTTTCATCTTCGCCAGCATCACAAAAGCGATTATGAAGTTCCAAGGACTGACAGCTGGGCTCATCACCCAGGATGTGTTTGAGTTCACCGTAAAAAGGGCGCGTTATTCAGCCACGGCCACTTCTTTGTTTCTCGTTCTTGGATTCTTTAAACTGTTCTCTGACGCTGCAGCCTTGGTCTCCTCCAGCTGCATTCGGCCTTTCGTTCGAAACCTCTTCAAACACAGAGCGGTTGTGATACAACTCTTTTAATTTTTTGGTACCAAAACATCGGCCTAAATGTTTATGAGCCTCAGCAGCGCATTGCCGCAGATCGGACACATATCGAATTTCAGAACCACATATGAAAGCGTCTCAAATCGGAATTGAAAATGTCAGATTCAATGCGTTTTTTGCTGTTCACACTGCCACACAAATGACACATCTGTGTCACATATGAAGAAAAAGATCGGATTTGGGCCACTTTTACCTGCTGTGTAAATGTAGCCTATGTGATAAGTGATAAAGTGATTTTCTTTTTTATTTTTTTAAGGTCATACCCAAAACATTCTGCAGCAACAGGCTGTGAAGTAAGAACTCACTCATTCTCTCAAACTTGTCACTGAGGATCTAGTAGCTGGCCGGCAAGCTGCTGACTGAGCTCACTACTGATGACGATGTGGAAGCATACCTGTTTATGTTTGTGGCCATCACAGAGAGATAATTGTGGGATAAACCTTGCCCCTTATTTACTAAGGAGACCCCATTTTGACCTACTTCTCCCTCTCACCTGAGACCACAGAGGATTATGACAAACTAAAGGAAGAATTCCTCACTCGTGTTGTCTTATTTGCCCCCAGCAGCTACTGAAGGGTATCACAGTTGGGGCTACAACAGAGGACAGGTACTGAAACAACAAATGGCTCTGCTTCTTACTAAGAGACGGCTGCAACACAATCAGCTCACTAAAGAGAGAATAGTGAAGCATGTGGTTATGGATGGATTTTTGAGAAGTCTACCTGTGGAGTTGAGGAAAGCGAGTAGGTTTCACATCAAGGATATGCTTAAAGCCCCTGACCCTGCTGAAGATCCAATCGGAAAGGAAACCTCACAGGATTTATAAAGAGGAAGACCCTCTTTAGGAGGAAAGAGTCCTTACTTGAGGCCATTAAGGGAAACCCAGAGGTCCATGACCACTGAACCAGAACCAGCTGTTGCTTCAAAGCGTTGGTTGTCCAGCTGTAGTGTACATGACAACATCTCTATGAACACTCCCCTAAAGGAAACTTAAGCTAAACAGCCAGCTCACAGCTGGATTTCTTGACTCGAGTAGGACCATAACCATGGTTCATCCCTCATCATTGTCCATCAACACCTTCCTTCCTTTGGAACCCTGGTGCTTGTGTTCATGGAGATCTGTGCTATTTTCCTGCTGTCCTGGTGATAATTGGAGATGAGAAGGGTGAGTGACCCCTTATTGTTGGTATCATGCCTGACCTCCCAGTACCCTTTCTCAGAGGCAAAGATTTTCCAGGGTTAAGTCAAAGACACCAATCATGAAGGGGGCAACGCTCAAGACCAATGGACATGGACAGGAGTCCAGCCCTCAACATCATGTGCTGTTGGCAGGTGAGGGAGAAGACAGTACCAAATCTAGCACTGAAGGTGAACCCTAAGTTCCAACTAACCCCATCTCCACTCTGTTCCAACAGGTCAGGAAGGAGGACAGTTTTGCCAAATAACAAAAGGAGGAAGAAAGGCTGAAACATGCTTGGAAAAACTTGTTAGTGCTTGAGGCAGAGAATGTTACTGGGGCACCTTTGCCAAATGAGTAATTTTTAGTGTGGGGGGGCCTTGTGTATTAAATGGCTCCCAGGAGGGGAGAACTACTGGAATTACTGATGGACTATAGCACTCCCTTTATGTCCTGCCTAATGGCTGATGCATGTCAATTCAAAATAAACACTTGTGTACTTCTCTTTATCTCCCTCTAACAGATAGATTGGTAGAGAGGTACAACCAGACTCTGAAAAACATAGGTTGTATAATGTAAATGGATTGTTATGTGCTCATCAGGTTTT